CTGACAGCGGATCCCCTTTCCTGATCTGATGGCGCCAGATCTGAGGAGAGCTGACGGAATGGGCAAGGGTGGAACTTTGTTGGTATTGCGTGTGCACAGGGCTTTCTCTTCTAGCCTCTTCGAGTTGAAAGGTTCTCACCATGACAAGTGGCATCTAGTCAAATTGGGATGATAACCAACCAGATCTGGATATTGCCGAGCTGGAGGCGTCAAGCCTGTGAGCGACTGATGTTCGGAGCGGTTCAGAGGCATTATGGTCTCCCGCCAGTCATCGGATCCGATTCTTCAAGAAAGGTGTGGTCATCCAAGAGTCTGTCCCCTGAGCTAGCGACAGGATGGTGCGAGACTGGCTACAGCTGACGGAGGGCGCAGAATTCTGAATGGCCACGGCTGCCCCGGCCGTCTGAACGATCGTCAGTTGGACGACCCAAAGTTGATGTGTGCCCCTTTCACCAGACCGGACGACAGCTTACCAGAGAAAGCAGCACGGACAAGTCGGTGCGCCAGCTCTATATGTTCGGCGGGGGAAAGATTCAGGTAGGGTTCGGGTTCGGATTCCGTTATCCGTTCACGATCTAGATGTCATCTTTTCTGGCGTTTGGCTGGCTGAAGTCTAGCTTACCACCTAGTTGCTCTACATGACCTGATGTCTGATCATTCCACACGTCAATATCTGAACTAGGAACTTGATGTCTTTGTCAGTGCAACGGGCCGCTTCTCTTTGACGTATCGAACAATAGAGATCGACTGATTGTCTTGCACTGCTAATGAAATGTACCACCCACCATGACTCATGTAATCCAATGGTCGGCGTCCTGGGCTGCTTGCGAGGCTAGATGTTGAGAGCCGAGGTATCAGACATGTCTGTCCTCCACTACCTTTCAAAGTCCCCATCAAGCCGAATATTCCCTCTCATCTTTGGCTTTACTCCTACGAGAGACAAGAAAAGGGTGCAGATAGGCAGCAGAGCCCAGGCGTAATGATTGCTTCCGAGGGGGTTTCAAGTTGAGTGCTGTTGCTTGAAACCATGACAACTCCAAGGTCTTGGTTGCACAATGAGGAAAGGCTTGTTTATTACCTATCTAGACATGTGGAACTCATCCATGGCTCAGCAGAAGGAAGGACGGCCGGCAGTGAATGACCTACTTACTTGCCTGACAAGGTTCATCTATTCGTTCTCAATACTGCGTATGCCACCAGTCTCCGTATTATCTGTATAAGACCGCCTCCGGCCGTACAGCCAAGTCATTGAGATTGGTACGATGGTCAAGAAAAGGATGGGTTGGTCTCCAATGCCCAAGCTTCCTTAGCTTCGAAGCACTGAAAGACCGAAAGTGGTAACTCGAGTTCCTGCTGTGAGAATTCCGCGATGGGTAGATCAAGAGGCTAGTCGCGGACTTAATTCCATCCACGGAGTCCACAGAATGGTTGAAGGTGACAAGAACGGAAAGGTCTCGAAGATGCACGGACATGGACCCGATAAATGGGGCCGTTGTTCGGGTCCGAACACGGTGGGGGGCCTTCCGTTCTCATCCTCCCAGCACGCGGCGGGGATACCTTAGATACTTTCTATATAGCCTAGGTAGGAACAGGAACAATGATTGCCCGAATCACTGTCGTGGGCATGGACCCGAAGCAACGCGGGGCACATTAGTAACTGCCCGCTGTCCAATGCAAAAAAATCCGCCGGGGTGTGGAGGGGTATTGATTGCATCACTCAGCATCAGGTCCGTATCTCGTTACTGATAGTGGTTGATAATCTTGCACCGTAACAAATTGCACTCACATACACCCCATGCAACAGCCTCTTTGAGGAATCGTACCTTGTGATAGGCGATATCCAATGTGCCGGTCTACCAAAAGATACTGATACTGTGTTTCGGATTTCAGTATTTTTTTGTCTACGATTGCATCTGAAGCGCCTACAATCTCTCTCTAACCACCATCGAAACCTCTCTACCCCCCACAACAACCCCGCCATCAAAATGAGTCCGTTGGCTGAGGCGCCGAAGACGGCGGTCCAGGTCCTCCCTCTCACGCCATTCACACCCGATCTCTACGAGCGCGCCTGGTGCTCTGTACCTCACCCCACGCTTCCACTCATCGCGACCGCATATTCCAAATCAGTCAAGATATTCTCGCTCTCGTCTCTTTCCTCCCACAGCTCCCTGACCGGCGGCCACACCCGCTCCATCCGCTCGGTAGCTTGGAAACCCAATCTTCCACCCCACCAGCTGTGCCTCGTCACCGGTAGCTTTGATTCCACCGCCGGACTTTGGCGCTGGGACGGCGAACTTCCATTCTCCGGTGACGGCGCCGCCGCCGCAGAACCCCTCGAGACCGACCTGAGCAAGGCGGCGCGCCGCCCCCTCGACGATGCGGATAGCGACGGTGAGAAGGACTGGGAGTTCACTCTCGTCCTTGAAGGCCACGATTCAGAGATTAAGGGCGTCGCCTTTGCGCCGTCCGGCGCATACCTTGCCACGTGCAGTAGAGACCAAACGGTGTGGATATGGGAGGATGTGGGCGCCACCGAAGGGGATGACGAGTGGGAGACGGTCGCCGTGTTGAATGAGCACAACGGTGATATGAAGGGTATCGCATGGTGCCCTGATGTGCCGGGACGCAACTCGCGGAGGAGATACAGCGCCGACGTCCTCGCAAGCAGCAGCTACGATAACACCGTGCGCATATGGCGCGAGGATGGCGACGGAGAATGGGTCTGCGTGTCGGTGCTGGAGGGCCATGAGGGCACCGTATGGGGTGTGCAATGGGAAGAGAAACCGAGAGAAGACGGCGCTTTTCCAAGATTACTGAGTTACTCGGCCGACCAGACAATACGGATATGGACGCTGCAAGTCGAGAATGAGGACAACGAGACGGGTGGCCGCGGAGGCTTCGGCGGTGGATTGGGAGGCATTCCAAATACAATGCGGCGATCCTTGCGCGAAGAATGGGTGTGCACGGCGATCCTACCCAAGGCACACACACGCGATATCTACTCGGCAACGTGGAGTGCGACGACGGGGCTGGTGGCCAGTACGGGGAGCGACAGCATTATCGCGGTGTACCGAGAGGACGAGAGCGAAGAAGTCAAGGCAGACGATGCTGGGGATGTCGTACCGATGGAGACAGATGAAGTTATCGAGGGTGCAAAGCCTGATGATGTACCTGTGGGATCGAGTAAGTGGCGTATTGCGGCAGAGGTGCCGAATGCTCATGGCCCGTACGAGATCAACCACATTACATGGTGCAAACGATACGACGCAGGGTCGGAGAGGAAGGGGGTCGAAGAGATGTTGGTTACGACCGGAGATGAGGGATTGGTAAAGCCCTGGCAGATAATCATATCATAGACGACGCTGAAGCAATGAAATCGCCTTCTTTGGGCATCTTGAAAATCATATGGACCAAACTTGCCATCAACTGGAAAGACGTGGTTATTGAGGTCTCATCGAACCCCCCACCAAGTCTCTTTGGCGTCCATTTTACAAGGCCAATCACACTCCAGAGAGTTGGTGGCGCTGGACAATCGGAATGACAAAGTTAGCGAGCGATAACTCTTCGAAACTATATGGTCGATACATTTGCATTCTGCTGCAGCGACCCCTTGGTTCTGCTGCCTTCAGGCCCAGCACCCATCAACACTCCACGCCACGATCCAAGTAGGGAGTCGATATGGAAACAAAGAAGGTTGTTTCTGCGAATATTTGCAGATCCGAGTGTCTTGTTTCTTGAACGAACGGGACATCTTCATTTATGTTTCTGCCGCCAGAGATTGTCTATCACATCTCCGGCTAAGTCTTTCTCGGTAACATAGAAGGTGTTCCGATATCTAAGGTAGTTGCTATTGACTGGGTGTTGATAGCCGGGAATTCCTCGGTCTGGAAAAGACGCTCTTCAAGCCACTTTCCGTAGAAGCCACATGTGGCTAGTGTACTGGAGATGTAGGCAGACCTGGCTTGCTGGCCGGGCTAACTCAGGTGGGCAGCTGCGACGAGAACCAAGCTTCAGAGGCCGCCCACCTCACCTCACTGCAAATGCGTGGACTGTGGCTGCGTGGTCGGATACATCCAGGATTACCTTAGCCCAAGCCGCGGCGTTCAGCATCTCTGCTGGGGCTGTGTTGAGCCGTCGTCACCTTCCATGGCGAAGACGGAAACCACGCAGGTGCAACCCGGCGATGTCTTGCAGGCTGTGAGATTTACTGTGTTCCTCTCTCTCTCTCTCTCTCTCTCTCTCTCTCTCTAATTGGAAACCCTGGTTGGAGAGGAATCTGAAATCCGCGCAGGAAGGTAAGGTAGTCACACAGTAGATGGTCGCAATCGCAGTCGCTTTGCCACGCCTCAGCCAAACCCGACTCCACCAGCGCCCAACCTAACCTAAGAGAACCGGGGCAGTTCATTTCCAATTCCAACTGTCCAACTGTCCAACTTCTGGCAGTGCTCTTTTGTCGCCCAACGTTGGCTAGGTCAGGCGCTTGGCTACCCTTTTGCTTGCCATGAAGTAAGGTACTGAGAATAGAAGTCGGTTCACGGTAGGCAATGTCCGTGAGGTGAGGACCATTCCCTTGCTGCCATCTTCCAGGTTATCCTACCGTAACCCCTCAATATTTACCGCGTCACCAGAGGGACCTTGCCCACCTTTCCTTTAGATAAGGTAGTCACATGAAGCGATTGTCATACTCTTGCCCATCTCACGACAAACTCGAGTCTTGTCTGTGCCTGTGTCAGTCCATGTGGTGGCTGAACATATCGTCCGGGCTTCTTTGTGGGAAATGGGTAAATAGTCAGTCAGAGCGCAGCAGCAATGAACGGAACTCTACCTTATAAGACCCTGGGCTCCTCCTAGACCCGGGTTGCCCTCTGTGGTCCAGTCCGTCTGCACTGCCTGTACCTTGGAGCCACCCACCTGTGTGAAGTATTAGTGCCGATACGCCCACCACCTACCCGTACCCGTACTGGACCTGACGGTATCCATCCAGACCTTAACTTGCCTTCCATTCTTCAATACCGCACCGTCGTCCTTCCCCGCCACTTTTAGTCTCTGTCAACACCACACGTCCATTGTTGGCGATCCCCTCCAGCCGTAGCATCATATCCGCCGCCCCCCTGGGTCTCTTTTGCGCCTCATACCGACTCGACGACGATTTCTGCATCCCTCTTCTATGGCAGGGCCAACCTCACCGGGCGCCGAGGGCCCCACGTATGCCCCGCCCCATCTTCCTGCTGGCTGGATTGCCCAGTGGGATGGTGCGAGCAAGAAGTACTACTTCGTGCAGCTTTCCACGGGTGTCTCGCAATGGGAAACCCCGACTGATGCCGCGCCCACCGGCGCGACACCTGCTCAACCTTCCGACCACCCCTATGGTGTTCCTCAACCCGAGGTCATCACCCATCCTGACGGCAGCCAGACGGTGAAGCACGCCGATGGCACCCTCGAACCCGTCAACCCCTCTATGCCTCCCGATACCACCAGCACGAGGGGCATCGACGGCCAGACAGGAGACCGCGGACTCGGCGTACGTTTTATGCGATCCTTCCCCACCTTCCCATACGCTACCCGCGTGTTTTCCGCCGGCTGCTTTGTTCCTGAACTGTACATGAATACGATTACTAACTTGAGTCTCTCCCCAGAGCATGGCTATGAATGCGCTTCTTGGCAGCGGCAAGAACTCGAACCACGGCTCCTCTTCCGGTAACCAAAGCAGTTCAAGCCCCTTCGGCGGTATTGCTAGTCAATTGATGAACGGTATCGGCGGGCACAATAACAGCCACGGGAGTAGCAGCGGGGGCGGCAAGAGTTCACTGGGCAAGATTGGCAGTTCTCTGGCTTCAAGCCTGCTCTCGAGCGGGAAGCAGAGCCAGTCGCAAAACTACCATGGCGGCCAGTCCTCGGGTCATCAACAACAAGGTGGTCTGGCTGGATCTTTAATGGGTGGCGTTGCCACCATGTTTGGTGGAAACAAGCAGAGTCACGGTGTATGTCAGAAGGCATACAATACACTCTGAGGCGCATGGCTGACTTGAGCATCTAGGGCAGCAACGATTTCGGGTACTCCAACAATGCTTCTGGGGGCGGCGGAGGCGGAGGCGGAGGCTACACCGGCCAGGCTCCTCCTACTTCTTACCAGCCACCTGGTTCGTCTTCGCACAACCAGCACTCATCTACTCCGGCCGGGGGTTCATACCACTCTCCTGCGCAGAACCAGGGACAGAACCATTCGCAGCAGTCATATGCTCCACCTCCTAACCAGTACCCCCCTCCGCCAAACCAAGGCCAACCTCATCACAACAACACCTACGGCGCATCGACTCAGCAGTCCCATACTCAGTCATACCCCCCTCCCCCGTCCAGTGGTGCCCCTTCGTACGGTCAGCAGTCCAGCTATGGTGCCCAGCCAAACCAGCCAAACCAGCCGCAACATCAACCGCAACAACAACAACAACAACAACAACAACAACAACAATATGGAGGATATAACCCGGCCACCTATAGCAGCGGTCCACAAGGCCCTCAGACTGGAGCAGGATATCCCAGCCAACCCTCGTACGGCGGCCAGCCTTCCCAACCCAGCTATGGCAACCACTACTAGATGTCTGTCAAGAGACTGTTATTCAGAGAGTGCTCCCGTAGCCGAGTAGGATTTGATGCGACTTTCGACGTCAACAGTACACATGGGTTGTTGCACCTTGACATTCGTTTCCTCCAATAAGGTGTGCTCAAGATTGACGCATGGGACGCCAATTTGGCGGGTAAAGCGGATTTAATTCCCACCTTTGCATACTTGCTGCTTGAGGATGGGGGATGTGCGACTAGTCTTGGATATTGTTTAAAGCAAGACGCGGGGGCTTTTTGTACCCAATGGAATTACTGTCCTTAGAGGTCCTTTCTTTTTGAGCAAGAGATGAATGCATGGAGATGGCGACGCGTTGCATCAGTTACGTGCTCAGAGCCTCTTCTTCTTTTCCGTGGACCGGCCTTCAGCGGCGAGCACCGGTTGAATCCAAGCAAGAATGCGTTTAGATAGAAACCAAGCTGAAACCGCTACGAGGACGACGTAAGCGACGGTGGGCACTAAGGATCGTGGCAGAACATTGAACAAGAACGGATCGAGGATTAGGTCAACGCTGACGGGCTCGACCTGGGCCATGAGTGTGTCGTTGTCCGTGAAATAGTCTGCCGAGGCCGAAACCCGGAGAAACAGCAGTGAATTCTCCTGCTCTCGGTTGCTGTTTTGCGAGGCCTGGTGTGTGCCGGCATCGTCATGATCAGATTGACGCGAGAATGCGTAAGTTGCCAATGACGACATGAGTTCCGGAGTATCCCATACGGCGGGCAGCTCAAAGACATCGAGCGCGAAAGCAGTAGGTTGCTGTATATAATAAGCATTAAATGCTAGATAATAAGAAGGGTTTAGCGAACAACGTACCGTGGCCGACCAACAAACTCGGAGTTCATAACGCTGACCTTGGGTCAAGTTTGTGAGCAGCAGCCAGGACATCGTCCCCAAAGGAGAGTCCGAGGTTGGAAAGGACGCTGGCAATTGCACCCGTTTGGACCATTCATCGGGCGTGAGGACGTCTAAACGGAGGTCATGGATTGTCGGTGGCGTAGCCGGAACATTGACCGTCTCGGGGCCAAGAAATATGACCTTTTCGGTATTGGCCCGAACAACATCGAGGCAGCAGGCCAGCGCGAGGCCGGCGATGAAAGCTAGCCGCATAGCTGTTTGATGGCTTGGTAATCGACGAGGCAGCAGGTTCTAGTTGTGAGGAATCCGGAAGCCTTGGGGAGTTAACCGGCTGCCTGGGCTACTTTTGTTGTGATGAGATGTGTCGGCGGTGGTCAATAGTGATCAGCAATGTAGCTGAGTGAAGCTGTTTGATAGGTAGGGATTACTCGGCGAGCCGAGTGTGAGACAGGGGTGGATGAGGGAACTGCCTGGGACGCTTGGGAGGATGGAACATTGGTCTACCTACACTACCTTTCTTCAACCCTACCACAGTAAGGTAAAGTACCTATTGCCCTGTACCTGGCTGCTAGCAATATTTTCACAAGATGCCTTTGATCTTTGATTTTCTTTTTTGTCTCCTCTCACCTGTCTTAGATCTTAGGCTTCTACTTTACCAACGCATGAAACAACAGACGTTTTTATTGAACTCCATTCTGGCATTGGATAACGCCGGGCTGCTGCTTTATTACCGCCACCACGGTTCGCGGATGGGGCCTGTTTCCACTCGGCGATTGAAGACTCCTGGAGCCTGGTGATTTGCGGAACCCGCCTTACTAATTGACTTCCCCTTGGACTTCGGATGGAAGGGGACTCTTGTGTGTTTGGATTCAGCCGCCAGTCTCCGAACCTGAGTTTGAACCCAGTACATTGAAAGCCGTTGAGACTAACCTCGGAGCCAAATAGAAGATGACCACCCTCCAATGACCTAAGGTATAACCTCGTCTACGGGTACATCGATTAGGTATTCCGCTCAATGGATATCGGGACTGTTTCTTCAACGGCTATTCAATTTTTGGGTTGCCCAAGATGAGTTTCTTTAGTGCTTAGGTACCCATACATGAACGTAGAAAGGCCCGGCTGGGGTCTCCATTTCTATCCGTCGTGGAACACGCCGAGAAAATATTGGATCAACATCAAACCAGCCTATAAGTTTGCCAGAGTGTAAGGTACATAGTACTGTGTGTTAGTGGGAACAAATCATTTCCCTGACTGAAAAGGATTCTGCTCCTTCACTCTTGCCAACGCCGTGTAGTACACTCACTACAAGCAACCTAAGGAATAATATCAGAAGAGACCTTAACTCACCTTACCTAAGCCTGCTAAGGCAAGTTTCCTAGCAGGGCATGTTCGGGGCCAGCGAAGTGCGGTGAACCTTGCCTGCCAATGGCAGATTAGCCCGCAGAGCGAGTTCTCCAATGTTTCCCAGGTTCCGAGATACGTACCCGAAGGCTGCCCTGTACCTGCCGAGTCCCCCCCATTCTGAATTTCAGGGGGCCAATAAGACATCCCCGGTGCCTCCCGTCGTGCGCTCTTGCCATTGGACGGCATCGTCAACGACAACAGACGTGGGCAGACGCGCTTACCATTTCGGGCCCGTTCATATCAACAAAACTTCGCTGGACTCGCTGCACGGCCCCTGGCGCACCAAATTTCCTACCCCACCCCGATTTTTTGACCACCTGAGGAACCCGGTCCCACGTCCCACGTCCCACGTCCCACCTCACCTCACGTCCCAAGGTCTCCGCGCCCCGGTCCTGCCAGCAAGCACCCATCAGTTGGCAGTCCACAGTCCACCACTGCACCACCCAAAAGACACAAGCACGAGCCCAGCACCTATTATTCCTTCCCCTTGCACTTGCCAGGTCTAACCTAACCTTTTCAACCTCCTGTCCGACATACTCTCGTGATAGCTGCAAAGACGACATTTTTTGCTTGCTTCTCACCTCCTCGAGTCCTGCTTCTTCGCTCTCCTCTTTCAGTCGCTTGTCTATACACTCATACAACTTGCCGCCAACATGCGTGAGGTCATCAGCATCAACGGTAAGCAGATCCGACTTTTGTTTTGATCCTCCGACCCCACGCGTCCGCCTTCACCGCATCCTCGCCCCCAGCTACAAGATGCGCCTGCGGCAATCCTATCATAACCACTGTTTGATCTTTTGCCTTTGAACACTTGCTAACTTTTTTGTTTAGTCGGTCAGGCCGGTTGCCAGATTGCCAACTCCTGCTGGGAGGTATGTTTCTCGTGTTTGCTCGATATCTCCATATCGCCGAGTCGGCTGTTGAAATCGACTTGTCAACCCGATACTCGAAGAAGACAAAACTCGGCACCGCCAGCTAAACGAAAACAAACTAACTCTTAACCTCTCATAGCTTTACTGCCTTGAGCACGGTATCCAGGTAAGCTTTCGACACGCCTTGTCTCCATCCAGTCCAGCATTCTAACGTGCAACTTTCTCACCAGCCCGATGGATACTTGACCGAGGAGCGTAAGGCGGCCGACCCCGACCATGGCTTCAGCACTTTCTTCTCCGAGACTGGTATGATTTGATCTGACAAAACTCCCAATCGTCTGTTGAGCATTGTACTGATTAAACGGAATGTGTCTAGGCCAGGGCAAGTACGTCCCCCGTGCTATCTACTGCGATCTTGAGCCCAACGTCGTCGACGAGGTCCGCACTGGCCCCTACCGCGGTCTCTTCCACCCCGAACACATGATCACTGGCAAGGAGGATGCCTCCAACAACTACGCTCGTGGCCACTACACCGTCGGCAAGGAGCTCATCGACCAGGTTCTCGACAAGGTCCGCCGTGTCGCCGACAACTGCGTTGGTCTCCAGGGCTTCCTCGTCTTCCACTCATTCGGTGGTGGTACCGGCTCTGGATTCGGCGCTCTCCTCATGGAGCGTCTGTCTGTCGACTACGGAAAGAAGAGCAAACTCGAGTTCTGCGTCTACCCCGCCCCTCAGACCGCCACCTCCGTTGTTGAGCCGTACAACTCTATCCTCACTACCCACACTACCCTCGAGCACTCCGACTGCTCCTTCATGGTCGACAACGAGGCCATCTACGACATCTGCCGTCGCAACCTGGGTCTTGAGCGCCCTAACTACGAGAACCTCAACCGCCTCATTGCGCAAGGTAAGTTATACAACAATTATAAAGCGCTTCTTGCTAGAGATATGGGATACTAACTAGTGATCCGCAGTCGTTTCCTCCATCACCGCCTCCCTCCGCTTCGACGGCTCCCTCAACGTCGATCTGAACGAGTTCCAGACCAACTTGGTCCCCTACCCTCGCATTCACTTCCCCTTGGTCGCCTACGCGCCCATGATCTCGGCCGCCAAGGCCGCCCACGAGGCCAACTCTGTCCAAGAGATGACCATGTCTTGCTTCGAGCCCAACAACCAGATGGTCAAGTGTGACCCCCGCCACGGCAAGTACATGGCCACTTGCTTGCTGTACCGCGGTGACGTCGTCCCCAACGATGCGCACGCCGCTGTTGCTACCCTTAAGACTAAGCGTACCATCCAATTCGTCGATTGGTGCCCTACTGGCTTCAAGCTTGGTATCTGCTACCAGGCTCCCCAGATGGTGCCCAACGGTGACCTCGCCAAGGTCAGCCGTGCCGTGTAAGTTCTGCCACGATATCGCAAGAGTGAGAATGTATGTCGCTGACAGTTATGACAGGTGCATGCTTTCCAACACCACTGCCATCGCCGAGGCCTGGTCCGCCCTCTCAACCAAGTTCGATCTCATGTACTCCAAGCGTGCCTTCGTCCACTGGTATGTTGGTGAAGGTATGGAGGAGGGTGAGTTCTCCGAGGCTCGCGAGGACCTCGCTGCTCTGGAGCGCGATTATGAGGAGGTTGCTGCCGACTCCCTCGAGGGTGAGGAGGGTCTTGAGGCTGAGTACTAAGATGTGTATATCCTGGCGATTGGATGCGGATCAAGTTGCGCAGCAACAACCCCGATTCTTTATGGGGCGCAGGCTTTGGTGTCATGGATGTTTGCAATGATGCTGTCCTACGGGGCCAAAGGCGTGTTTACTTCAGTTGTTAGAGTGAGAAAAGAATAGCCGACTTTAATACCACGGGGATGAATCACCCCAAAGCTTTGGAATGTGTGATGCTACGTATTTGTACTTGGAGTATGCGTACCTTGGGGGTAAGTATTTCACATTTTATTCAGTTCAATGGCTATCACATGGTGTAAAGACAGGGCTTCACGGGAGACTAGATGTAAACTTTGAAGCTCTGTTATCGATGGCATGTAAGCTGAAACTGCTCCATTATACAACCACAATCATGCTCGGAATGCTCTAGACAATGGAACCCAAGGTCGGATGGAAGTAGACGGGATGCAGTGGCACCGGAAGCACGGCGCGGAGGAGTCGGATGCGTCGAATACGGATGGGGGTGCAATGGGAAGTGTGCCCGAGCTTTAAAATGGGGCGCATCTGTGCAGGTCGCTGGTCGACACAGACGGGAGCTAAAGTACGTACCTACTTCTTCAAGGCAGAGGTACCTTAGCACGCTTGAGTGGCTTGGCTTGCGAATTACCTTGGCCAGCCTGACGAGTTGCCAGCGGAGACCAACAGTTCCCCCCAGCCGTCTACAATCGACCACCTGCTGTTCGCTACCTAATTACATTGGGAGGAGCCAACGTCTAAACACGAGATACGTCCTGTTGCATCTTGCTCTGTGAGATAACGGAACCGGGCACAGCATCTGTGCACAAGGTAACTTCAAACTGTTTCCATCTTTCCGCGCCAGTGTTTGTGGTTTCTAACGTGCTGTTGTCCCGGTTGATAGAACCGGAGTCGATCGAGCCCCCAACCCCCCGGAGGCCACATCGAAACTGACGACAAACGACCGACCTTCCCGCCAATCAACCAATCCTGGGCCACCCCAAGCCGCGCAACACTCGTAGCTCCTACTGCAAGGAGCCTTGATATTCCAAGATGTCTGCCGAGGGCGTCGATGCTGGTGAGTGCGCAACTACACGTAGCGCTTGCGCGCCGACCGGAATGGGTAGGATCCAGCGTACTGATGACAACCGTGTATCATAGCCGCGCCGAATCTGAACCTGAACCCCGAAGAGAAACGTCTCTATGGCCAACTGTTCCGCCAAGCCGATACCGAAAGCGTAGGAGTTGTGACGGGTGAAACCGCTGTCAAGTTCTTTGAGAAGACTCGACTCGATTCAAGAGTATTGGGAGAGGTAAGGAGCAGCCAATCCCTGAGAAACGGTGACGGTAGCTGACAACAACGACTGCAGATATGGCAGATCGCCGACAAGGAGAACCGGGGGTTTTTGACGCCAGCAGGCTTTGGGCTGGTGCTGAGACTTATCGGTCACTGCCAAGCTGGACGTGAGCCGACGACTGAGATAGCCCTCCAACCAGGACCTTTGCCGCGTTTCGATGGCATGCCTCCTCCAGCAGGTCTCGCGTCTCCTACACCTCCGCCCGCTGCCGCTCTACAAGCCCAAGGCACTGGCGGTGGATCCATCAGAATCCCTCCTCTCACACCTGAGAAGGTCAACCAATACTCTGGATTATTCGAGCGTCAGCCGCTGCAAGCAGGCAATCTCTTGCCCGGTGACGCGGCCAAGTCCATCTTTGAGAAATCGGGCCTGCCGACCGAGGTGCTGGGCAGAATCTGGCAGTTGGCCGATACTGAACAGCGCGGAGCATTGGTTCTGACCGAGTTCGTCATTGCCATGCATCTGCTCACATCCATGAAGACGGGTGCTCTTAGAGGCTTGCCCAATATCCTCCCAGCACCTCTCTACGAGGCCGCAACTCGACGTGGACCTCCCGCTCCCAGGCAATCACCCACCGCAACTGGACCTATCTCCGCAATTCCGCGACAACTCAGTGGCACGGCCCAGTATCGTGCTGGCAGCCCCCTTGGTCGCCCGCCCATCACTGCGCAGACAACTGGCGCTCCTGTTAGCGACTGGCTGGTCACTCCCGACGACAAGCAGCGCTTCGACGTCCTTTACAACGACTTGGACAAAACTCAAAAGGGCTTCATCACTGGTGAGGAGGCCGTCCCCTTTCTCAGTCAATCGAACCTCCCCGAGGACGCTTTGGCCCAGATCTGGGATCTCGCAGACATCAACTCCGAGGGGCGTTTGAATAGAGACACTTTCGCCGTTGCCATGTACTTGATCCGTCAGCAGCGAACAAGACGCGACGGCACTGTTTCCCTCCCGGCATCACTCCCACCCAACCTCATTCCGCCTAGCCTGCGGACGCAGGCCCGCCCTCAGACCTCAGGTTCTCCGTTTGATGCTCCTCCCCCGCCCCAACCCCAGGCACCAGCTCCGGCTCCCGCCCCGAAGTCTGCTCTCGATGACTTGTTCGGCCTCGATACACCGCCAGCACCCGCTCCTGCGCAAGTTGCCCTGTCTACCGGTGGCTCGAATGCGAACGATCCCTTCGGCTCCGGCTCCGCTGTACTAGCACCCTCTTCCCCAATCCGACCGTCGCCTACGGGAAATCAGTTCAAGCCATTTGTGCCCTCTTCCTCTTTTGGCCGTGGACTTACAGTTCACAACACAGGAGATTCTAACTCCGGTCGCCCCCCTGCCCCTTCAGCGTCCGAAGATCTTTTGGGAGACGGTGACCCTGAGGTCAGCAAGAAGTTGACAAACGAGACGGCCGAGCTCGCGAACCTGTCGAACCAGGTCGGCTCTCTGTCCAAGCAAATGCAGGAAGTTCAGGGCCAGCGCACGACAACGCAGAATGAACTGAACCAAGCCAACTCGCAGAAGAAGAACTTTGAGCACCGCCTCGCCCAACTCCGTACCATGTATGAGAAGGAAGCTAAAGACGTCGAATCTTTGCAGGTGCAGCTCAATACCTCGAGAAACGAGACGAAGAAGCTACAAGGCGAATGCATGACATTGGACGGCACCTACCGAGACTTGCAGACGCAGCACCAGCAAGTGTACGCCGCACTGCAAGCTGATCAACAAGAGAATGCCAATCTGAAGGAGAAAATCCGCAACCTTAACGCAGAAATCGCTCAGCTCAAGCCCCAGATCGAGAAGCTCAAATCCGAGGCGCGGCAGCAAAAGGGTCTTGTTGCTATTAACAAGAAGCAGTTGACAACTAACGAGGGTGAGCGTGACAAGCTTCAAACTGAGATCACTGATCTTCACAAGAGCCACGAGGAGTTGTCTCGCCAGGTGAACACAAGCTCTCCTGTAGCGTCGTCGGCCCAAGTAGCTAGCCCAACGCCCTCGACCGCCAGTGGAAACAATCCCTTCTTCAAGAGGACAGGTAGCACTGATATCATGGGTACTTTCACTTCGCCGCCACCTGCTAAGCCTTCGAGTGGTGACAAGTCCTTTGACGATGTCTTTGGTCCAGCGTTTCCTCCCGTAGGCTCTGCCAGTACCCCACCGCCTGCTACCTCGTTCAACCCGCAACACACAGGTGCGTCGACCGCTAGCTTGGGCTCGTTTTCGACACCTCCTGTTTCCACGCCTCCTGCTATCAGCAGGCAAGCTACTCTTACAGCTGAGCCTCCTGCTCCTCCGCAGTCAAGACAGATCAGTTCGAGCTTCCTGCCGTTTGGCGACGCAAATGAATCTCTGAGCTCTTCTCGGGCTGTTTCACCGCCTGCTTCTCGAGCTGAGGGCGATGTTGAGACTCCTCAGGCAAATTCCCTGCCTGGAGCCTTCCCCCTGGAGCCTACGGCTACGGGTCAGAGCACGGCATCCACTTCAACTGCGAGCTTCCATGAGCCCGCGGCTCAAGGTGATGTAAAGCCTTCGAGCAACGGAGCTGCAGCCGCGGGTGTGGCAGTAGGAGTGGCAGCAGGTGCGGCAGCGGGGGGGGCTGCGACAGGCAGCGCTGCGGCGGATTCTGACCCATTTGCAGCAATGGGCCCGAACGACGCCAAGGCTGATTTCGATGATGCATTTGCAAGCTTTACTAGCGCGCACAATAACTCTGACAAATCCGGTACTGACACAACCAAACCCTTCTCAGCTTTTGATTCTGAATTCCCACCCATCTCCGAGCTTGATCGCGACGACGATGACGACGATTCGGACACTGCCAGTGAGGGGGGCGGCTTTGACGATGACTTCGCCCCGGCATCCCCTCAAGCCAAGAAGACTGAACCTCCTATGGAGCCCAAGGATGCCACTTCTCCGACTGCACCTGTGGCTGCGGCTGCTCCTCCTGCCATTGAGGACCCGGCCTCTCCTGCGCCTATCCCCGAAGCTCCTGCTGCGGCGTCTACTTTCCCCGAGACATCAGAGGCTGACGTTGCCCCAACGCCCGCGACTACGCAACACCCGGAGCCCAAAGCTCATTCCTCCTTTGACGATCTTGATGACGAGTTCGAGGGTCTAGAAGATGCCAAAGAGGGCTCTGCCGATGATGACTTCCAAACAATCTCTAGATCTGGCCTGGACGATTTCAACCCGGTCTTCGACAGCAGCCCGCCACCCAGCCAAGCCAAGACAGAGTCTACTGCGTTTGGACAAGAGAGCAGCTACGACTTTGGATCAGTGTCGCCAAACCCGGCCGCTGGTGAGAACGCTGGTGCGGCGTCGAAGAGCCCAGCAGCGGCTCCGGATGCACAGGACTGGGATGCCATCTTTGCCAGTCTCGACTCACCGAGTGACGCCAATGCAAACCCCACAGTAAATGCTGCTGCTGCTGCTGCTCCTGCTCCTGCACCTCCTGCAGAAGAGACTCGACCAACCCCTGGCAGAGCCCTCACACAAACCGGCGAGCATGATGACCCGATTCTAAAGAACCTCACCAGCATGGGCTATTCAAGAGAAGACTCCATTCTCGCCTTGGAGAAGTATGACTACAACTTGGAAAGGGTAAGTTGATTTTCTTTGAGGACTGCATGTATGCCTCCTTTTTTATGTGACTAACTCTTTCGACAGGCGGCCAACCATCTCGCGAGCCAGTCTTAAGAAATAGCAGAGCACAATTTAGAAGAGCACAGAAACGCAGTTTGATTTCCTGATGGGAGGCAAAGGGACGTGAACCCCCATGATTGCAAGCGTCTTATTTCCCCTGCTTGGCCTAGGAGATACCTGAATGTGTTTGGAAGTTATTCGCAACCCACCCCCCTTTACGCCAGGCCGCTTGATTCTCTCCTTGGATTATGGTGGACCTCGGGCAATTAATGTGTATGTAGGATGTACATGTCGATTCAACACCACTAGCATAGCAATGTTACAAACCTTTATTGACGTTATGTCTCCCCGCTCATGTTTAATTATCCGAACAAGTAAAAAGTGACAAGGGATTGCTGGGAGTGCCATGATTCCCCGTTTGGGGTGTGAGGATGCATCTCTTGGATACTACAGACAAAGCTAGCTTTGTGCGTTGCAGTCTGGACCCATCACTCGGGACAGTAACATCATTCTCATATAAGCTCATCACATGTGCAACTTTGGTGTTGTTGTTGAATGTTTGCGCCGTACCCTGAGTCCGAAAAGCCGTATGATCGAAAGACGAAAAAAAAAAATGCCCAAGTGTTTCCTCAAGCATCCATGTTTACCGCCTAATTTCACCCATCACTGCACGATGGAGAAGAAAGAGAAAAAAGAGTACGTCAAAACGTGATTCATCCATATTTACAACCTCTTCAGAGGTAGAAAGCATCGTTTCCACCTTCCACCCTTTCAGATAACTTCTCACATCCTTTGCGTGCCCATTGTCCTCGTCACTCGGGCTCGACCACCCCCCTTTGGGGGCACTCGAAGCCATTATTGGACTGCAGCTCGCAGTGTATATATAAACAAGGCCACGTAAAGGCGGCTTCTCCTTGCACCTCCACTTCGAAATGTCCATTCTTACCCGACGTGTCCTCGGCCATCACTTGACCTTGCCCATGATCGTCTCGGGCCCCCTAACGACGTCAATCTGCGCCGCCCTCGCCTTGACGGCGTTGAGCATGCTCCTCTCAAAGTCGTCGCGCGAGCGCAGCACCGCCTCCACCCAGTTGACCTGCAGATCCCAGTACGCCGTCTTGAAGGCCTCAAACGTGTCGGGGATGGCGTCCTTGTCGACCGTGATAAGCTGCAAAAAGTACTCGGTGACGCGCCACGTCTGCTTGACCGAGTTGCCGACGTCGGGGTTCGGAAGGGCGCTAAAGTACTCAAAGGCCGTCGAGATGTCGTTGAAGAGCTTGTCCTGCACCGGGTCGGCGCGGCGGAACTTTGCGCCCTTGTTGCGCACCGATGAGAGGTACCGCACGAGGAGCTCGTCCGAAAAGATCTCGGTGAAGATGTCGACGAGGGAGTGGTGGAGAACCTGGCGGTAGTCGCCGACGTACTCCTCAAACGTAACCACCATCTGCTTCATGGCCGTGCTCGTGTACCACTTTGGCGTGAAGAAGTCTGCCATGACGAGCTTGAAGTCGACCGAGAAGATGAGCTGCACAAACTTAGTGATGCACCACGTGCTGAAGTCGATGTAGCCGTCGCGCAGAAGCTCGACTTCGGTCTCGGCCCGCTCCATGTACGCCGGCGACACGAGCGGCTCAAACTTTTGCTTAAAGTTGGAGAGGTAGCCGAACCTGTTTTCTTCCTCGTTGTCATCGACGCACGCAATCTGGTCGTTTGCCGTGCCGACGAGCCAGTCCTGAAGGGGCTGAAATCCCTCGAGCTCCGGGACCTTGCCCGTCTCAAATCTGATGGCCTCCTCCTCAAGCATCTTCTGCCACGACTGTTGTCTACCGCGTAATCTCAAGAACATGGCGTCAATAACACCCTCAATGACATCCATACGCTTCGAGTTGGCCGCAGCGTCAATCTGTTCACGCATCATACGCCACATGTCGACGAGGTTTCTGGACCTAAAATAGCCGTATTCGTCTTGGTCCAGGTTGGAGCCTTCGACATTGCGCTCTGCAAAGTCCTTTTGTTCTGCATTGAAGATGCGCTCGATCCATTCGTCGAGGAACTTGATGATGAGCTGTCGGAAGTCACGGACCAATTCCGCCTCTCTCGAGTCTATGACGTGGGGTATGAGATCCTCCTGCTTAAAGCCGAGCTTCTTCATCTTCTTGTAGTACTTTTCCGGGTAGTTGATAATCTCCAACGTGTTGGCAGAAGCCGCGTCTGGGTCGTCAATCATGCCGGTGAGAAAGTCGTGCATCGTCTGGTGGTATATATCGCCGTACACCTTGAGGATCTTCCACTTCTTGGGCATCAACGGCGTCATGCCCATCTTAACGGCATTCAAGTCGTTGAAATACCACTTAAGGATCTTGTCGAGCGCTGAAGGGTCGTCGAGGAACTCTCCTCTGGCTTCGTTAAACTGGCCCTCTACACTTATCTTGATGGCCTGTGTAAACTTGTCCTTGTACCCTCGCACCTTTTTCGCGCCGTCCGTAATGCTCTGGAACCTCGTTGCCATCTCCTTGTGATCCTTGAGCGCCTCTTGCAGTGCCAGCACCCTCTGATCACTCTTCTCTTCAGCTTCGATGACCACGGCGAATCGTACCACTAGTCCGTTGTTGTCGTTAACCACCAAGTTGATAAGATTCAGCGCCAGGATGCCAATGTGCTCGTCAAACCAATCAATCATGGTGTCGAGCCTCTGGAAGTAGTCCTCGAGCGTCGATTCCAGGCTCGGGTCTTCCGCCCTCTGTATCTGTTCCATGGCATCGTCTCGAATGTTTCTCAGCTGTGTCAACTCGTAGTGAATAGGCAGCAGGTTAGGCATATTCTCCTTATCCCCCTCGTCCTCGTCCAGCAGGCGGTCGACAATTGCGAGCCGCTCGTTAAAGGTCTCGAGGTTCTTGCGCATGGCCTCGACGGCTCCGAAATTCCGGTGAGCCTGGGAAACGAGGTTGATACTGTTGAAGTCCTTGATCATGTTCTGCGACTCGGAACACAGGCGGTCGATCTTGATCATCTCCTCCTTGATCAGCTGCACCGTCTTCTGGCCGTCCGTCAGGCCCGTCATGCCAGACTGGGTGGTTTCGAGCTGCTCGCGCAGGCCGCTGCGGAGCTGAGAGTCGACAGCTGTCTTCTTGCGAGAGAACTCCTGCTTCAGACCGGCGATCTTCTCGAGGTCGTCTGGGTGGCGGAGGAGCTCCGCGAGCTTAGGGATGGGCGCATCCATGGCGGGCTGGCTCTAGGCAGCTGGGCTGGGCTCGCCAGCTGTTGTCGGTTCGTATTATGAGGAATTCGGTCGATGAATGGTTGGCACTTGTTCTGTCGGTTGGCTAGGGTATCAATTGCGCATTCGGTAGTGCAGGTTCGGGGGTATTTTCAGTGCTTCGTCATTAATCATGTCGTTGGTGGGTGTTACTGTTATGTGTTGGGCTGGGAGGTCATCGCATTGCATGCCGCGACTCGGTTTCGTGTACCTTGCATGGGGGGGGGGGGGGGGGGGTCCAATTCCCACCTCAAGTCCCAAGGGAGAGCTGGGGTTCCTTTGTTGGCCTGTGCGTTCCCGTCCCCGAGTTCTGCGAGTGACTTTCTGCAGCGGCCTGTGCACTCGAGAGCTGCCAGGACTGCGCACTGCAGCACATCTACCAGAGGGTATACAACAATGGGTGAGTTGTATATGTGATAATGTGTGATAAGACACTGTTCGTCTTTCGCTCCTCTGAATGATAAATTTTCTTTTTCTCAAGTCTATGAACCCCATGGTACCTCACCCAACTTTCGTTTTCCTCCCTTGAGATGCTGCCAATCCAAGAAAATGCCCCTCCGCTCAATGCCAAAAGATGAAAATACATAATGCTCTAAACTACAGATCAAGTAGAAGGCGCAGGATCCCGTCGCATCATTCAATCATGGACTTTCCAATCTCGCTCTGCCAGCCCTCGGCCCTCTCAAACCCATTAGAGTGAGTCTGGTAGTCCATTAGGGCCTGATATACCTCGGCCTTGGAACTCAGAACAAAGGGACCGTACTGCACGACCTCCTGGTCAAGAGGTGTCCCGGCAATGAGAACAAACCTCGCGTCCTTGTCTGCGCCGGCATCAACCTCAACATTGACAATCTCACCTTCCTCCTCAAACACGACGTTGTGGAACTCGTCTACGACCCTCTTCTGCGTCCCCTCGCCAAAGATGGCCTGCCCCTCAAGCGTGTACGCGAAGGCATTCCACCCCTTGGGCACCGGCTGCGCGATCCGCCCGCCGGGCTTGATCTGGACATCCAAGATCCACACGGGCGTGTACGCCAGATCCCGCACCGAGTCGACCCCGTGGCTCTGGCCCGAGATGACCTTGACGTGGACTTTGCCGCCGTCGACGTCGACGGTGGGAATCTCCTTGGCTCGCAGGTCGCGGTACCGCGGCTCACAGGCCTTGAGGTGCTTGGGCAAGTCGACCCACAGCTGCAGACCGACGTTGGCGCTGCCGTCCGGGTTCTGCTTGGGCATCTCGGCGTGCATGATGCCGCGGCCGGCCGTCATGAATTGCAGGTCGCCGGCCTCGATAGTGCCCTTGTTGCCGGCAAAGTCCTCGTGGTCAACGCCGCCGTGAAGGAGGTAGGTGATTGTCTCCTGGCCGCGGTGGGGGTGGTCCGGGAAGCCCGAACCGGGGGCGATACGGAAGTGGTCTTGTAATCTCGTGTTAGCAAAGCTTGGACTCTACTGCGTATCCGTAGGCAGGCTCAACATGAAGAAAGGTGAGCGGGCTCTTTGGGGGGGAAGGATAACTCACCAAGCATCAAGAATGGTGAAAAGTTCTTAAGTTGAGGGGTGCCGATGGAGCGGCGAACACGAGCACCAGCGCCTTCGGCCTGTTCCACGGCCAAGAAGACCTTGCGGATCGCGCGAGGGACGGACATGTCGGTGGCGTACAGGTGATGGTCTACTTGTGATTCCTGCTGCTGCGAAGACTTGGCTTCAAAGTCGAATACGCTTCCGTCCTGAATATTGCTCAGAGAGTTGAAGAAGCTCGTTGCGGTCGCGAAGGCTACGCCCACTATGTATTCTCGAAAAGTTACAATCGATGCGATTCCAATAATGATGGATAGCCAAAGTGAGAGGGACTTCATTGATGAGGGGCGGCGACCAGGGGTGATATTTGTACGTGAATCCCTTCTCAGCGGGCTTTGGTATGAGAGTGAGAAGAAGAGAGGTAAATAGTCTAAAAGGAAAAAGATGAATCTATTTGATCAAGGACCTAGAGATACGTTGCCTCTCTCCACATTGCGAATGTTACTCTAGCATAAAAGGGCTGCAATGTGCACAGCAATAGCATCGTGAGGAATCGTCTTATGCGCTTCTCTGGTAAGCAATGGCGCATTAGTCAAATTTACATCAGCAATGGAAAAGCAGGTCTCTCAGTCTCTCGGCGCGAGCTTAGCCCACCCTCTGTGCCTCTCTGCCGGGGTCCATGCGGCTGCTAAGCACCTAAGGTATCTTAGGTAAGGCAGGGCAGGTGGGTAGGTACGACGGTACACTCTCAGCCTCTCGCCTAGCAGGGCATCTTTACGTCAGCTATCCGTATTGAACACTCAGGGACGTGGGGACCTTAAGGAACGCTAAACTTGCTAGGAGGCTGCAAACAGTTTGTTTGCTTGGTAACTTGCTGGCTAATGATGTAAGCTCGTAGCCAATCACCGTGACCAATGACACCATGCAAGAGCCGCCAATCAGCAGCCAGCAACCTTCCCCAGTGCTCTCTCTCCTCCCCAGGTCTCTTAGCGGCTTGATCTGATGTTGAGCGCAACTTATTGCTCCAGACTGTCCTCACAAATATCAGAATGGAATAGGTATAGAGTTTGCCTCACTCTGAGTTTGACTGCCCCAACTCCTCACGGTAGCTTTTGCGTCTACTTATGCTCGGAATCTTGCCTGTGCGAGTGAACTCCCACGTTAGTCAGCCTCTTGGTCTCACGCGGTGCGACGTCACATGCAACCGTCAGCTTGGCTAGGAAACACAGAGTGTCTATTAAAAATATTGATTCCTAAGAAAGATCTGATACTAACTCCAGGTCCAGCACAAGTTCAACCTTTCGAAAAAGATCAACGTCCGCCGAAAGTCAAGCCGTCTTAACCGTGCCCATCAACCTTGAGGGAATATCGGGCGCCTTGGCGGGCGCCATCAGCCCCGGAGGAGATAGCCCCAGTTCGATTGGCCTCCGGAAATGAAGGGCCGGAGCGGCGCACTATATGCCTTTCTCTCTCCACAATCCCGTCTCTCTCTTGCTCCCTCGTACACCACTGGTTGGAACAAACAAAGGAAAAACCAACGTAGCACACAAAAACAGTACATGAAAAGCTCTTTGTACGAGGTATAGATTCCGTTCCTTGCTTTATGTCGTAGAAGCGTTCGCCATCATGACTGCGGTCATAGAACCTGGAATTGGTTCAAGATTGCCGCCGAGGGAGGGAAGGGTATATGAAATGGAGGGGGGAGGTAAAACATCAGCGAGCTGTACAGTTACAAGCCATTGCGCTTAGTTGTTGACCTTCTCGTTGACGACCTCCTTGGCCTCTTCCTTCTTGTAGTGGATGACGTCGCCAACCCAGATAATGAGTTCGCTGGTGGTGATAAGGGCGGTTCCGATGAGAGCCTTACCGTAAGCAACAACGTTCTCGCTGCCAACCTTCTTCTTCTGCTGGCTGAACGTCTTCAAGACGTGGTCCTTGGCCTCGAAGCCAGTGCGGATAGGCAGGGCAATGATACCCTTGGCGCCGGCGTAGAGCTCCTCGGTAGGCTTCTTGACGACGGGAAAGCGCTCGTCAACCTTGGTCAGGGCCTGGTCGCCAAGGTTGTCTGCCTTTTCGGCGTAAGGGCGCAGGTATCCCCAAGGACGAGCGAAGTAAGGGAGAAGAGGCTCGGCGAAGGTCTTGTAGGCAGAGTCGCTGTAGACCAGGGACTTCTTGCCGACAGGGTGGTTTCTGAAGGTAACGACACCGTCGTGTACTACGGGGTAGTCCAGCAAGTGCTGTTATGGACGGTTAGTTGGGGGTTCCGACAAGAGTCAAAGTACAATTGCATTCATTGAGAACGCACCTGAATAGCAGCCGAGGATACGCTCGGAAGGTCACCGTTGACTTGGGCCATTTTGGGCATTTAGTAGATTAGCGGGGGTTGCGTGGGAAAGTTGAGGTTGTTAATTCGTCGAAGCGTGAAGCTCGGCGAATTGTGGTTGAGAGTTCGAGGTGGGTTTGCTGCGGAGTAAGCTCGTGCGCGCAGGGGAGAGCTTGCAGGTTAGGAAAGCTGCGATTGAGGCTCGGGAGCAAGGATTCGTGGTGGATATGGAGGATTTACTGAAGGACTCGATATCAGAACAGGTCACGTCCAGATCAGAGCTGCAAAGGCTGGGGAAGTGAAGCGAATCGAGGTATTTGTTGGACCGAAGAGTTGGGAGAATAGGAAGACGGGAAGGTTTTGGTTGTTGGAGGGGGAAGAATCAAGAGCAAGACGTATTGGAGGGAGGGGGGGGAAGGTAGTAGGTAAGGCAAAGCCAAAAGGGAGGGAGACAAGACGAGACACATGAGAGAGAGAGAGGCGTGGAAGGAGGAGAGGGCAGAAAGGGGAGAAGGAGGGAGACTCACAGATAGCAGCAGAGGGGTGTCGGAAGGCAAGACTGAGAGGAAGCTGGTTGGATGGAGGAGAACGGCTGGAACGGAGAAGAGCGTGTACAGATGGGTGGTGACGAGGTTGACGCCACAGACGGGTATGGACTGAAATGAAAGTATTTATCTACGTCTTGGTCGAGACGAACAGACACGAAAGAGAGGTGAGAGCTAGAGCATGAGCATGAGAGCCCACCTCATCGCCCACGTCTTGTTGTACGGGGCTGGCCTAATGATGTTACCTGAACCCCTTAGGATGCGAGACTAGATTGATTAGCGTGTGCTTCAGACATTCACAGGTCGAATGCGAGGAAAGGGACGCCCAGGAATGCCGTGGTGGCGGGTCCGGCCCAAGTATCCCTACCAACGAGGTACATGCGCCACATGCCAGTGGGATGTCGTCTTTTTTTTTTTTTTTTTTTTTTCCTGGTGGTCCTTCTTGCTGCTCTGTTGCTGGTCCTGGTGCTTTCTTGTGTGCTCCTCTCTACGCATGCACTGCTGCAATTCTGGATTGGTATTACCCTTCCCTGCTCTGAGTCAGGTATTTGATGCTGCTGATGCTTTTGACGAGATGGAAAAATAATAATCATATTTCTCTGCCTGCTGGATAATGTCGTAGAAGATTAATACAATTGGCAAGGTCAGGTACCTAGATAAATGTTCAAGAGGTAGCTGCTCAAGCCACATGCAATGGCACCTTGCACTGCTGACGGCAGCTTCTAAAGCACCTATCCCTGTCCGTCCCGCCCGTGGGCAGTAAAACCCGCAGGGCAGGTGTGTGTGTGCAAGCACCTCACATTGGTCGTCTAGCTATCTCTCGTTGGACGGAACAGCTTCGGCGACAAACCCGGCGATAGGAAGAACAATTAAGGTAAGAGCATTATCAAGGTAGGACGGGCAAGTACGTTTGGTAAGGCGACCGAACAGTTCTGTAGGTAGTATCAAACTTGTCTGTAGCTGTAGCAAGCAGCAGCAGGAGCAATGGCTTGCATGCGTCCCTATCGTGACCCCGGCTCGTGACATGTGAAAGTGGTACACGAACTCTCGCCCCGCCATATCGTGTCAAAGTGGAATGCTGGAAGGGACGGAGAGAGTTAAAAAAGAAGAACAAAAGAGGGTCTCGGCCGTGACGACTGGGCAGGGAAATTTCTTAATTCTCTCTCGTCAAGAGTCAGCAGATAGCACATTAAACATATGATCCCGTATCCATACTCCATACCCCGTGAGGGAATAGAGATTTTTTTTTGTGGAAGGCTCCAAGCAGAGGCATGTGGTCCAGCAACAGACACGAAACGGATGGTGAGGCCAAGGTGAGGAGGAGGGGGGGATAAGCTCCCACACTCGAGCAGTCGCAGCCGCGTTCCTGAGATGCCCAAGTACTGTGTGTCCTGCGAATTGTTGGCCAATTCGGTTGCGTCTGGATCAGACCATTGCAGTCCTCCAACGAATGAACGGAATCGCCCCCTTCCCCTCCCCTTCCATCCGTGCCATTCCCTCCAGCACGGAAGACATACGCGAACGCACGGCGCTTTCCTACATGCCGTGGACGGACCTTGGGACCCGTCATTATGTCATCATGAGAGTTGATGGTGCAAGCAGCAAGTCAGCAGCAATAAGGAAGCACGGAAGCTCTACCTACCTACGGAGTACATACCTATAGCACACCGAAGGGAAAGGGAGGAGAGGAAAGAAGCGCCTGGTCAACAAGTCGCTGCTCAACACGTATGCGTGCCTTATCTGACAGTTTGCCGGAGCACCCGCTGATCTGTGTCCCAGCGGACGGGTTACTTCCACCCGCCACACACTCTCAGGTTCTGTGGTTCTCTCCACTGGTGTCCAGTCTGTGTGTGAGTTGCTGGATGATGGATGAGACGAGGCGCTTTGAATGACATCTGCCTCGAAGCTGTCATGCAATCAGTCACTCATTTCTGCACGAGTAGTGGCTCTTTTGGAAGATGATCTTTGCCAAACCATTGGGGGTCCCCTTTTCCTCCTCTCCATACCTACAGCATCTTGTCTCCTTGACTTTTCCCTGTCCATCCTCTCACATAGGTACTCAGATATCTCGCGTTCCTACTTCGTACTCCGTACGCATACACCATCTTGAGTGTCAAGGAGGGGCAAAAGACCCCCAAGCTCCTCCCGCAACCCAATAGGCCATGCCACCACCCTTGCTTATCGCTTCACATCCCCCAAACTTTATCACGGGGAGATCCCAAGCCAACGGCTGGCGCTGGCCCTGCACGACCACGCCCTAGACCCAAATAGCGGGATACAGCAAGCCAATCTGGAGGACGAGTTTCACACTTTCTTCACCTCTTGGTGCTCTTGGTGCACTTATTGCTCCTCTACTCATCAAAATCCACTCCATCGCGTACCGACTAGCCCAAGGTACCTGACCTAGGCGGCCTTGTGGCATACGCTTGGATGTGATGCTACGCGGTCCGGTCTTCAGCCCACTCGAGCTTGCGTGAGGTGGACCGTGGGATGGTGAGGGGGCCTCTGTGCCTCCAATCTTGCATCCCGTTGCTTGTGAAGCTCCTCCGTCCTGGCGCTGTTTCCTCTTTTGTTGGCAGCCTTCGTAATGCTGGATGACGCCGTCGCTTGCCCCCCAAGAAATTAGATATAACTTGACCCGTGACGCGCCAGTCGTCCCTTCCAATCTCTATCTGTCTTCGTGAAGCTATGGCCTCTTGATGAACACAAGAGCTATCCTTCCTAATCACTCGACCCGCCAGCACAAATTCGCCTCCTCGGGCTCGGACTGTGGCCTCCACCTTACTAGGTATGCTGCCGCGGCTCTCATCGTCGACGATGCCGTCTTCGTCCAGCTCGGCCGGGTGAACAATCAAATGGCACCTCGGGAGCCAAGCATTGGAGGGGACAACATAAACCCACCTACCCGTACGCCGTTGCCACTTTCAAAAAGGTCTCATCTCTCACCTTACTGGCCATCAAAGCGACGACCCTTTTTTTCGGTCTTCCCACTGCAAGTACTACTCGGCCATTTTCTGCTCCTACCCGTCAAAGATAAAACCTGGAAATCATCGAACAATTTTGACGTGGTAGGGGAGGAAGGGAAGCAAAACCCCTGTTCCCTGATTGTGTCCCTTCGTTCCCCACCTGCACCAGCCACATGTGCCCACCTTCACATGTCAGGCTATGTCTCACCTACCTGCAGGGACAACCTCAACGTTGAGAGCTCTTGCGTCCCATTCTACATGCCAGTGAGAAGTGACGTGAAATGCCTACGGGCACCTTTCTTCGTAAAGTATCGGAAGCTATAGATGCTGGAGGAATTGGTGAAAGTTCGGATGACGCTGATTTAAAGTGTCATTTGGCTCTCGTGCTCAGCTTCTCGCACGTCGTCATTCTGCGAGTTTGCGACAAAGTCGTCATGGTCTGCAGCCGCGAACGCGCTCGAGATTGAGTGAACGCCACGAGCTAATCATTCAAGAGAGACATGATATCAAAAGGTGTGCAAAGACGGGAGTCCTCCCCTCCCGTCCCATCCATCCCTTGCGAAAGCGAGTACCGTAGGCACACGCTTCCCTCTGTCGTGGATACGTGGTTGACGGAAGAAGGACAGGTGCAGCGGGGCGTGGATGCCCCTGCATCCTGCGCGAGAACTCAGCATCTTGAAGTGTGCCATCCATCTCAATTGTTGGAGGGAACGCTTCCTTCTGCAGCGTAAGCGGGAAAAAGAAAGAAGAAAAAAAAAAAGGTCCAGTTCGCCACCTCTTCCGATGGGAACGCGGCACTCCGCAACTCTTGGCTGGGCTCGCTCTTTTGGCTCTCCATAGCCGAGGACCTTTTGACCGCTTCGGTTGGCCGGAGAATGCGAAGCTGCGGCGGACCGATATCGTTAAGCCCGACACTCGGGGTCTCGGGCTCCGGGAAAAGAGGGGCATGTTCCGAAACCCCCGGCTCCTTGGGATAGCGGCCCCATAATATCACCGCCTCTGGTCCGGAATGGCCAGGGGTGGGACGAATGGAACCCGGTTTTGAGAATGCCCGGGCGCTGGAACAGGGCTGGCCTCAGAAATCGCTCTGCAACGTCGCTTCATTCGACATGACCCCAGCAGCGAATGTGAGCTACGGTTCGCAGACCAGTAGGAGATGGTATGAGTCGAAGGATGGCGAGACGGTGTGTCCAATGGCACTGGACCTGAAGAAAGTTTCGAATAATCTCTTGTTTGAGCAGAGCAGCCTCGGAGTTACATGAATAGCGTCTGAAGCTGAGGGGAAACGTGTTTTTGTTGATGAATCGGGTCCTAGAAGTGGCTCGTCGAGTTGGCTTCTTTGAAATCTTTTCCTTGACAAAGAAAGGAGAGGCGCCACGAAGTAGGTGGCCCCGTCAAGCTTCATAAGCTTCACTAGCAAAGGCCTTTGAACCAGAAACTTGATCCAACTTGTGACGCTACACATGGGATCCTCTACCGATATCCGCTAGTGACGACGGGAAGTGGAATCGAAAACGGCTTTGCCCGCAAAACCAGGGAACAAGTCCTCCGCCTCCGAGAATAACTCGACGATGCGAAACGCCGTTTTCTCGGTCTCGAGTTGTTTCGAAACATGGAACTAAATCTTTTGCCCAGGCCCAGCCCGTGTTGACTCGCCATCACCACGGAGCGGCCGTGGCTAGTACTGATGCCGTAGCCCCGTCGTTGAGCTTTCACCAGACGGGTATGGCAGACCGGCCCGCTTGAGCACCCGCTCAGCCTTGGAATAGCATCACGCCGTCGTCCAGACCCACGAGTCTCGCCCCGTTTCGATCGCGCGGCTCGTGAGGCCAAAAAAGCCGGTTGCCAGGCCTCGTGGAAACTCGTGGACAAGGGCACATATTCGATATCTTGCGGAGACAAGATCTATGCTCCTGCGGTAGCCCGTTTGGTTGCAGATACCGCGTCCTCTCGGCGCGTTTCTGGTATCTGGCGGATTGATTTCATATCGTCAGTCATCTTCGACACGCAAGCCAGCAGAGGCTCTTGCGTTGAGAAGCGAAACGTAGTTGGGCCATGACCAGGGATTCCAATATCACAACACGAGGTGAGGTTGACAGGGGCTCTTCCAGGTGACAGATCACCCGCAATGGAGAAGGCCAAGAATCTGGTCGGGCGTCAGAGCCTCAGAGACGACGCATAAGGTACTCGAACGAAGGAAGGCGCTCAGTCGAAGGAACGAACCAGGTTTCTTAGGGCTACGGGCGGCAGTCAATATTGATTTCCATCCATCTCAGGACGGACCCGTCGCACGGCCCGTTCAGGAGACATGAAATGCTGACCTTGGCTGTCAAAGTTTTTGTAAACCACCTCTTTCACCTCTCTCAATAAATGACGGCTCATACTCTCGAGGGACAGTGCGCCGAGAACTCATTTATCATGGGCTGAGGTTATTTCGTATTGAACGATTGGCAAGGCTCTGGAGACTGGCACAGCGTCCGTCTGTCCGTGCTGCCGGGGCCACCGGGAAGGGCGTGACCGTTGAGAGAAGTCTCATTGTGATGGAATCTTTATACGTACTCGAGGGATTCGACCTAAAGATGAAATTGCGCAGACAAGAGCATGGCATACCACGCTGCCTACCGCTGACTACGTCGCAGTCACATTTCAGGATCGAGGCATTGTTTGGCCTTGAACTCTGAGTTCATCGGCAACTACTCCGTAGTATCACCTTCATTTTGTTTCACCGCGTTTGGGCCACTTTTCCCTTTCTTTTTCTTCCTTTTTTCTCGTTTTGACGAAGTGACGGTTCACTCGGGTAGGTACGTACCGACAAGACCAGGGTTTCTCATCAACAACGGTGATTGAGCCAGGGATACGGATGGAGACTTTGACCCAATACCACTTTCACGGTCAGTGTTTGCAGCCTGCAGGAGGACTGAGTGGATTTAGGTATGTATACGGAGTATACGCAGTTTGCCCCCATGCGGACTTTGGACCAAAGAGATCGAAACCAGCCTCAGATAGATAGAAGACGGGGATCGCCCGAGAGCCCGCTGTCGAACATTCAACGAGATGGGGACCCGGGGCTGCGTTGCTGTCGACGAACGGGGCGTTGCTGTAACTGGCCCTCTGTGAATCAGTGCGTACCGCAGTATGTAGGAGATAAGACAGCGATCAGGACCTCGGGACTCGTGCTCAGATCGCGACAGGGTCCAGGTCAGTTCATCAGTAGAACGCGCAGCTGACAAGTGTAAATTGATCCATAGCTGGGTGGCACCAACAACTTTGCAAGGAAGAAGCCAGGGTCACCAGAAGTGGAAAAGAAGGAGGAGCGAAAGGTTTCTTCCTCGAGGAAGCTCACGACCCCCCTTCTTTGGTCGTTCTCCCAGCCTCCGGGGCTGTGAACAATAAAGTCCCCGCCGTATAGCCAGGCAAAGTCGGAGCAACGTGGAACTGGGCCTGTGTCCGGCCCGTGGGGGGGACCATTGTTCGGGTTACAGATCCACGGCTTGCGTTTTATGCGGACCATTAATACAGCTGGCCAGCTCTTAATACGGACGAGATATCCAAAGTCGCTGTGTGCGCCGGCCCCGGGAGGGCTCGCCAGCGTCACCCAGACTGCCAGATTTTCCCAGTATCCAGAGTGGCGGGTCAAAGCGCCCTGATGGATGTGACGCTTTTCAGACATCTGCGGTAGTGCAAATCGGGCCGCGTCTGCTGTAGATGACAGACGGAGTTCGTGGATTCAGCAAAATGGGACGGGCTTATTCAAACGATGGTGCGTATGGCTGGCCTTGGTGGATACGCGGGCATCTCCAGTTCCAGTCCACGGGACGCAGATTGACGGGGGGTTTTTTTTTTTGGGAAGTGAAGGCGCAGGTTTCACTATATCTGGTGCATTCAGATAAGTAAGCATACATCAATGGGTTTGAGGAAGCAAACTGCACTCGCCAACAGACAGCAGTGCCCCTGCGAGGCTGCGATCACTTGGTAAATCAGCACATACTAGTCTTTTTTAGTCCATCTATTTGGAGGTGATCTCACGGATGTTTGCGGTCCATCAAACACCTTGTTTAAATGGAGTGAGCAGCTCCCACTTTCGCAAAGATTGGACGACATTTGTTGATGAGGCCCATCCGTTAGCGCGGCCAGCGCTTCGTTGATGTCCGGCGACAGAGTGTACGGATAGTTTGCACTTTGCACTGACAGTCCGATGCCAAGCACGAACAGTTTTGCCTCCACCAGTCGAAAGCCATAGATCGCCGTTCTTGCACACCAAACCGGCATCGGGCTGGGTCGCGGGGCTTTCAGCGTGTTCTGCTTCTGCCCTCTGTCGTGATCCATATCCTGTGGCTTCCAGTCGTCCCGCAAACCGGTTCAGTTGATTTGAGATGTTTTTTTTCTCCGTCGTGGAACCAAGGAAGCCCCTGATTGAAGATGCAAAGCTGCCGCGGATGAATCGCGTCGCGCAAGATACTGAACGGAGACTTAGTGCCATGGAGCCAAGGTCCCGCCCCGGCAGGCCGCCCACTTCGGCCCCCGGGGCCTAGCGTTGATGCCCATGGCCATGATTTGCTCGCACTACGGAGCACCTGCTGAGGCCCGATGGCTCGCAGCTGGCTGATGGGCGTAGCGCGTGTGCTAGATTTTGTGTGACGGCTATCGCTAAAACAGTAGTGGAAAATGTCAGCATCCTTATATCAAAGTACCGTGTCCTGGGGGCACAGGTAGCCTGCAGCACTCAGTGCAGCAGCCCACACGGATCTGTCCCATCGTCAAACACACAAGCCTCTCTGTTTGTGTGGGATGTGCTGCAGGTGCGTCGATCCGGGTTCGTTGGTCGTGGACACCCTTCAGCCAACCAGTCGAGGAGCGACCAGGAGCTGTCGAGTTAGGTATCCTGTAGGATGTCCTAGACTCCAGGGACGACCCGTGCAAGGAGAGAGTGTCTTTGGGGGGATCAGAGATGGGGCTTGAGCGCTTCGGCAGATGATCTTTCTTGAGCTTGAATTCGTCATCCATCTGGAGAAGACCCCTAGAAGGTTGCATTTTGTGCGCGTTATTTTGCAGGATGGCTGGCACGCCGCACGGCTGGCTGGAACAGTGGCAAGTTGGTTGGCAGTGCACGTTGAAGGTGACTTGGGTTCTCACGCCCGCTCGGATGCCTTTTCCCTCGGTGATTTGCGGTTGCGATAGAGTGCCATCGAAAGTGCTACATGGAGACGGATTAAAAGTCATGATTCGTTGTTGCGGCACATGGCACATGGTGACATGGACCTTCGTATCGGAAGGTCTGCCCAGCATTCTATGCGTGGAATTGCATAATCGTATTGAGCTGATGTTTAATGATCTCCCTGGTCAAAGAACAAGCGGATCAGCAGAGTGCTATTCCGTCCAAACTTTTGAGGCGTTCCTACCATTCAAAAAAATTACCCTATCGCCGGTCCGTCCACCATGCACAGCACGCAGCACACCCCATTCGTTCGCCAGGTATCGAAAGAAAGTATCCGTACTCCGTAGGCGGCGCGCCGGAGTACAGACGAAGGCGAGAGGGGGCGCGTCCCATGAGCCTAGAGGGGCGAGACGTGAAGGGTTTGGCGGACGGTAAGACAATGCAAGCACTGGCAGGCCGCAGCAGCCTTTAGACCGGGGACGACAATCGTGACCCAAAACAGATAGCTGTCATCGTTTTAGGCCCAATAAACCAGGGAACTGGTGTAATCGCCAATCATTCCGTGGAAGTGTGTGGTGAGGAAGAGGCGATAGAATTTCCAAACGAGACTGGCCAATTTCTTTCGAGAGCAGTCGGTACTGAGCGGCGTCAGCTATGACTGCCATTGGCTGTAGACCATATATCTCCACTAAAGAGAAGTGGAGATGCAATATTAGGTGAACGACCAGGAAGGTCCAGATTTTGCAGGGGTCGTTCTGGATTCGACCGGGGGGCTCCTCCCTCATCCACTTCTTCTTTGGAAGCAGAGGCCCGTGCGTGTGATGGGACCTGATGGGACCTGAACTGAAGGGAACATTTCAACGTGCAGCAGGAGAAGAATGTCAGAAAAAGAAAGAAAGAAAAAAAAAAGGTACCATCACCATTCATCGAGGGGATTGGGGCAAGCCGCGAACACAAAAGGCTGGAAGGGAAAAAAGAAACGGAGAGGAATTGAAGGAGCTAGCATGCCGCCGCATGACGCTAGCATTTCGCAAGTGTACGCTAGTTCCTCACATTTTTGCGGGCTCCCACGAGTCGACTTGTATCTCTGGAGGAGTCAAGGACGGGAGTCTACCTACCTTAGGTCAGTGACTACTGCCGCTACAACTGCAAGTGCTGCAAAGAGGCTTGACGGCTTGCAATCCCCGGAGCCAACGGCAACGGCAGAGAACAGAGACACGACTCGACGGCTCTCCCACTGGTGTCGAGTGTCGAGTGTCGAGTGCAAAAGGGTCTTTGCTTCTGCCGATTGGGCTGAGCTTGTGAAGCGACTGATTCAAATCGACCATCGGATCGTTTTGAGGGGCTTACTTGCTGCACGAATTGCAGTATTAGTTTGAAATTCGGGGTCCTTTACGTGTGCCGCGGTGTACTTTTCAGACAATGTTGATGTATCTGTACCCAAGTACACCTGAGGAAGGTAGTAATTGCCCGAAGCGGCTTTGTTTCGTTTTGTCTTTTATTGTCTTCCTTTAACCGCTTGTTCCAACGGTTCTTCTGTCTGAGATGGATAACGCTTGGCTCATTGGGGGTTGGTTGGCTGGTGCTGACGGGATGGGTTCGTCCTGCTTTCCCCTGTTCCAGCTGCCATGTGTCCCGTCTCCCATCCTTATTCCGAAGGCATTGCTAGGTTTTCGGTGTAAATCGGGATTTCGAAGCCGGATAAGCTATTGGAAGCTCTAACTGAACTCGCTTGGCTTTTGCCGATCGACTGCTTCGTTCCCTTAATCGCGGCGCATGGCGGAGCTGGGAATGTCTCAGTACACAAAGGAACAGAGAGAAAGGAAGAGAAACGGTTTCCACCTCAGGGTTCTCTTGTTGTCTGAAATTTTGAACTGACCATTACTACGTAGCTCGGGCAAATAACGACCTCACTTTTCATCCTTAATCGACCTTGGTCTAGGTACTCCGCATAGCTAGCTGTATGCAGTAGCTAGAGGCAAGATACGGATAGTGCGAGTGCGAGTGAGGCGTGCCAGGTAGTGCTGTCCAATTCCAAACAAGGAGCCTAAGGTGCCGTACGGAAGAGTATCATGCCATGGCCTCCCGCCCGAGATGCAACAGCAGCAATTGCAAGAGTCAACCCCCCGGAACAGTCCCCATATCGATGGCCACGGTGCCATGAAGCGACTCTAACTTGACGAGCCATGAAGCTGCCGTCTCCATATGGCGCGCAGTTGGCGTGCCCATCATAATGCCCCTCTTGTTCCCAAGGTCAACAGTAGCAACCCTCAGTACGAAGCAGTTGGATGGCGGTACTTGATGTGTACCTTGCAGATATCAAGTTGGGGCTTTCCATGAAAGTTGAGCAGATGGTGTGGCCCCTGTCCGCGTGTTCCTGAACCCCACCTCGTCCCCTGTCGAACAGTCGTACCGCAACACTGCGCTTCATGCCCCCTTGCACACCCGTCCTCTGCCCCATCTGTGTCCCGCCCTTACCTGCGAACGGCTCCTCTCCGTGCTTCCTCCCCTCACAGTGCTACCTCATCACCCCATCCCTTCGACTACGAAGTGTACCTACCTGCTGCGTAGCTGTGTGCTCAGATCCTGGCAGGCTGGCACTACCTACACTAAGGTACTGCTCCCTTTCCTTGCTGAGGTGGTGCCCCCGTGGTTTTTACTCGTCCGAATCTGCGGTTGGTTCTATCGAACTACCTATGGAATAAGGTACGGATACCAACCTGCCCTGCTTTGCCTGCCTCGAGATGCGCTAAGAATACCGGCCAAGGTACATCATTGGAACCTGCATCAAGGAACAAGACTACTGCGTGCGCTGCTGCACGTTGGCTGCAGACCTTAATTCCCCGTCCCCCGGTCTGTTAGACTGCTCTCAAAGCCGCTGCATCTCTTGGCCTGTGTTTCTGTCGCCGCCCCTGTCTCTGCTCGTCTCTTCTCGTCTCTTCTCTTCTCTGCTCCCTACAGTCAGGTATAGGTACTCCGTATGCACATACGGCCACACAGTTTGTAGGTACTCTGACCTGTCGCTCCTGCTCCTGCTCGACCGTACATCTCTTTCCAGCTTCGCGTCGGGTGCTTGGTCCCCCTTTCGCTTCATCCTAGCTCGCCCGCCAGTGGCTCACCCTCGTTTTCTCGCCATCTGCCTCTTGTTTCTCCCACACACCCTCTCTTTCTCTACTCTTCCTTCTCCCCCCCGTCCTCCTATTCAAACACCCCCCCTGGACACCACTCTCCCCTTTTACCTCAGCTGGAACTGCCTCTTCTTGTCTCGTCTCCAATTTCTTCCCCTTCCTCCCTCCCTCCTTTCTTGTTTCTTCTCTCCCCCACCTGTCACCGAGCAGTCAGTCAGTCAAGCAACCAGTCTGTGCTAGAGCCTCACAACTCTCGCTCAACCAGACCAGACAATTCAAGTTGCTCCACGACCCTCCTTCGAATGGCGTCCTTTTGAGCAACTCTCTCGACCGACGACTCCTTGACGAGAGCTTGCTCTCCGGATAGCTTCCTTGCCGTCTTCTGGTTATTCGTATCAAACTACGCCCTTTTCCTTCGACACGCTGGTCAGCTCGTGTGTGGCCCGGATCATCAATCCCATCGTCACCTTCTCCTTCGCTCTCACGTCCAACTATAAAACGTCAATATAACTTTTCTTCTTAACGACGACTAATCACTGATGAAATGGCGCCTTCGCTGAACGCACATTCTTCCTTCACCCGGCCTCGGACCGGCGACCGCGATGGTCGACCTACCACCCGTGATCAAGGAGATAACAACCTCATTATTCCGAGCCGCACTTCCTCCCTTCACTCGCGCATCACCCAGCCGATCCCCTCGACCTTGAACGCGAAGCCCCAGCAGCGCACCCCGAAGACGCTTACTCACGCCTACATGGTATGCGGTGTTGGCAGAGAACCTTCGCAATGGGTTAAGGCCCCTGCTCCTGCACAGGGCAAGATTGGCCACATGAAGGGCGCTGTTGGTCAATTCTGGCTGCCCGAGATTCTTGGAAGCAGTCCAAGGTTGGAACAAGACAACGAGATTGCCAGGTCGTTGCACGCTGCCATGCGGGTTAGTGGCTGTTTGCCATCCGTTTTGTCTAGAGTTTGAGTGGCTGACTTGTTATAGGCTTGCTTTCCCCACGACGTTGAGATCTGCACCGGCCGCAGCCAGCCTCACTGCGTCCATCATGCCTTCGTTCTGCAGCAAGACTCGTCTCATACCTTGTACGGAATCTGCCTCCGTGTGTGGTCGCGAGCCGATGAGAAGAGGGCCGAGACAATTCGCGATCTGCGTAAAAGGACCGAGCCAGACTACTACGACAACCCGGATGAGACGTATTGGATTCCCTACTGCTTGTCATTCCTGTCTCGGTACCCGCTGTACAACCTTCTTGGAGACTACTTGCGAGGCATGTGGATCCACTGGAACAAGGCTACCAACCTGTTCCACGCCGAGGAGGTCTCACGCATTCTCAGTTTCCCGGCTCCCAGACTCAACGACCTGGTTCGCATCGACATGAAGGATTATGCTCTTTGCTACCAATTCCCCTCGTCGCCTACTGGCTTCCAGAACTTTGCCATGTGGCCGTTGTTCTGCTGCTTGTCCATCCCCAACATTGTTGGTGTCGTTGAGGCTGCTATCTCGCCAACCCGCCGCATCATCTTTGTCAGTCACTACCCGGCCATGCTCACCATGGCTGCGGAGACTGTCAGATATTGCGTTCGCGTCTACGAATGGAGTGGTCTTTATGTACCGGTTGTGCATGCTCGCCATGCCAAGGATTTGGTTCAGGAGCCCGGTCCGTACATCCTCGGTGTCACGGCCGAGTGCCGCTCTTTGTTCACGGCGCCAACGGACGCTCTGGTCGTGGATCTTGACCGCAACTTCGTTCTTACTTCCAGCCCCCCGACTGCACTCAATCCTAGCCAGCGCAACAAGTTCGTCACTCGCCTTACGCAGTCTCTCAATGGAGATGTCACTCCCTCTGGCGTCCCACCTCATCTCCGCTCCGCTTACGGCGGTGGCAAGCTTGTTCCCGCCGGCCAGATCATTGTCATGCGTGGAGAAGTCGAGTCTATCCAAGATCCCGAATGGTGGAACCAGGACACCGTTATGGCTGTCATGGACCATGTCTGCGAGAAGATGGGCCGCAACACTGGCATTAAGGCTGTCTTCGGTGGCTCTGTCAAGAAGCCCCTGATGACCAAGGTCTCGATGAGACATCTCAATGAGATTGTTCGCGAGAGAAACCAGTACTCTCGTGATGCTCTCGAGGCTTGGCAGGACTTCATCAACCTGAAAGGCCGTATGGATACCGAGCTCAACAAGGTTACGAAGCGCAACAACTATCTCAACGAGGAGCTCGAGAGCTGGAAGCAGCAGTTCCTCAAGTTCCAGGCATTTGCTGAGCAGCTCACCAAGGAGACTCAGGATCTCAAGGCCAAGATCGAAACTCACAAGAGGGAGAACAGACGCCTTGCGGGTCTCATTGATCAGCAGAAGGACGACAATGGTCGTCTCAACGTACGTCTCGGCGCTACTGAGAAGCAGCGTGACGATGCTCTGGAAGCTCTGGTTCTCCAACAGGAGATTGCCGAGGAGCTCGAGCGTGAGCGTAAGCGCAACAAGAAGGAGCTTGCTGCTCTTCAGCACACCAACGTCACCATTCTCAGACAGCGTGACGAGGCCCGTCGCGTTGTGCTGCACCTGCGCAGCCTTATTGGTGGACAGAGCCACCACATGGAGCACTTGGTTCAGTCTTTGACCAAGCCTGACGACTTGGCGCATGAGATTGAGGAAGGCTTCGAGCCAGAGATGGGCGAGGATGGCATTACTCCCAGAGAAGCCGACGTCAACCAGGCCCGCCTCCTCTCCGCTGCCGCTGAGGCAAACAAGAGGCTCTCTACCTCGAGCTTCAAGGATGTGGCCGACCGTCACCTCAAGGACAAGACTGATGCCATTGCGCACATCATTAGAAACATTGCCGAGCAATGCCAGGCCGCAGTTGAGGGCCTGCAGTTGGCTCAGGATGCCGACTTCGACGAGCGCTCTGCCAGCGCAGCCCGCCTTCGCGCTCAGCGCCGTCGCAGCAACCTCTCCGCCACACACAGCGATGATGGTCACGAGACCCAGTCAAACGCGACGTCCGACATGGGCGAAGATAGCCTTCTTCACCCTGCTTCTGGCCGGATATCCAGCATCCCCCCTACCCCGGACCTGGTTCCCAACCGGAGCAGCACGGCGATGTCCTTCGCTTCCAGTGCTGCGACTCCCGAGCGCTCAAGTCAGCAGTATATGATCCATCAGGACATTCCTACTAAGATTGTTGAGGACGATGAGGACTTCGAGGAGGATCGCAGCGAGTCGGAGACGATGCCCCAGCAGACTGTCGGCAAGCACACTGACAGCCTCATTCACCGTCCGTCTGGAGCGCGCATCAGCGCTCTTGGCGGCACCCGCTGAAGAACTATCGCTGGCGGTTTCGATATAATTCATTTTGAGTAACAGGCGACCAAAGAGGATTTCTTTTCTCCCTCTTTGGTCGATGGGGAGGACGATTTACCGACATTGTGCATACATCTTTTTGCCTGATACCTTTTTGCACTTATGGTCGTGGACAAAATCTTGTTGTGTCCGGCGTTTGCAATTTTCTTCTGTTTTTTTTTTCAAGAGACTAATGTCTTCCTCTTTTTTTTTTTTTTTCTGCCTGGGATAATTGAACAGGGCTCGCTGGTGTCCGGATCGGACGTCGTCACGATTTTTACATCATTTGTATCTCACAAGGTTGGAGCTTCCTGCTTAGTTCAGTTCACGTCCCTCCTTATCTAGTACCCACTATCCGAATCCAGCGAGAGTTGAAGGAAACTACTGTTTTAAACATGAATTTGTGTGTGCCGTGAATGTACTATCAATCGTCCCAAAGGCTTTATCATGTCTTGATTCCATGATTGCAGAGTGCAGACATGTCCTCGGGCTGAAGGGCATGGCAGCGGTATGCGAACTCGGAGACTGTTGCGGTCTCAAAGGAGAGTGTCTACCCTCCTCACCCTGCTACAGTCCAAGTCCTAGTCTACAGGTGAACCTCTGAGATATACGTTCCCTTGCATATTGTTAGAGGATCTACCTAGCACGCCTCAATCCAGCGCCTTCGCTTAGCTAGGTAGTGCTGCGAGCATCCATCTTACACCAGTTGGGTGTGAAAACACAGAAGGTATTGAAAAGAATGTCTCATATGTCAGATTGAAGTGCTCAGGAGGCTAGTTTGTCGTCATAGTCACACACATTACCTTCGTAGATGTCGAGGCAGTACGGACGTACTTGCCCCGAAGATATCAAGAAACATGCACAACCCGAGCGACGTCCTCTTCAGTTTCCGAAGACTTTGAGGGTAACCCCTGTAATCGTTGAGTTCCTTCTACTCACTTAGTTTGCTCCCGTGTACAGCACATGCCATGATTGGACTAGACGGAGAGGCTCCTTTTACTTCTTCTTCAATCTCATGCAAGGGGCAAAATTATTCATTGCTATATGGGGCATGACCCTCATCATCTCTATGAGTTCACTTCCGTTTCCTTTCCTAGGTAATACATGTCTTCCTTTGTGGCTGAGTCTTCGGACTTCGGTACTAAAAGTTGCTCTGCCAGTCCTTCTCAGAGTGGGCTCGACTCCAGGGAAGATCCTCCGGTATCACTATTACGCTGCTCATGGAGTGGCCTTCAACATGATAGAAAATAGCTTCAATGATGCAATGATCTTTAGCATAGGGACCTTATGATCATTAGTTTTTTTACCTAGTCTATTGTAGGCTGGGCAGGCTTGGATTCGATGAGGTTCATTGCAGCGGTGTCGGAAGATGTATTTCGCCGGCAATGTGACGTCTAGCTTCGGTGGATCCAGACCCTCCAACACCGATAAGCTAGCGATAACAGAAAAAGTTCCCAGTTCCCGTCGACTGTATCCGTACCTGAGTTCAGTTCAAGGTCCCATCGCCATCCCCAGCAGTACAAGCCTGTTACAATCATTGCAGCCAGCAATTGGGCTGAAAATATACTCCCTCCCGTACCAATTCAATTCCTGATTCCATTGTATCCTATTACAGTTGTCGACAAAGCCTACCTCGTATACGAAAGCGGCCATGGCCGACCCCCTCCTCACAAGCCTCTGCGCAATCTGCCACATCGAGCCCCCCAAATACAAGTGCCCGCGCTGCACCCTCCAGACCTGCTCCCTAACCTGCACGAAGCGCCACAAGTCCTGGTCTCAGTGCAGCGGCATCCGCGACGCGACAGCCTACGTCCCGCCCTCCAAGCTCAAGACCGCCGCGGGCGTAGATCACGACTTCAACTTCCTCTCGGGCATCGAGCGCGCCGTCCAGCGCTCCGAAAAGGAGATTGTCGAGGAGCGGCACCTCTTGAAGCCCGAGGACCTGAGGCCGGTCGAGGTGCGCAGCGTGCAGTGGAAGACGGGCCGCGATGGGCGCAAGAAGAGGGTCATGGTCACCGAGGTCCTGAGAGGGGACAACGGCGGCGGCCCGGGGGGCGCGCGGTACGAGGCGCTCTCGAGCATACCCTTCAAGAAGAGGCTGGCGACGTTTGGGATCCTGCTGAAGCGTGCGCCGGTGGGAATGGTCAGGCAGAGGGAGAACGGGACCAACTTCAGCAAAGCCTCTGCTAGGATCAACTGGCAAGTGGAGTGGCTGCTCGTTCCATCCGCGGACAACACAAAAACACCATCACAACAGCAGGAGAGCGGAGGGGACGCCAATACGACAGCAACGAAGAGGATACTAGCCAAGACGCTCGACGATGTGCCACTCTACAAGGCCTTCGTCGCGGGCCAGAAGTCGTCCAACGACGAGCAGGCCAGGAAGGAACAGCAACGCCAGCAGCCACAAGACGACAACGACGAGGCCCAGGAAGCCAACACCCACCATACCAGTGGCCCTGGCCGAAACAAGAAGCGCCGCAAAACCCAACACAAACCGGGCCAGTCCCTCGCCACCGCCCAAGACACGGAGACGGGCGCCTGGCACCCCGGCCGGTTCTTCATGCAGTCCTCGCCGCGCGGCACCTGGACCTCCCACACCGGCGTCCAACCCTTCACAGGCACAACGGAGGAGGAAGAGGCGCAGAAGAGCAGATACACGTTCTACGTCGCGGGCACGACCTCGGCGGCGACGGCAGCAACAGGCAAGACGGTCGTCCACCCCGTAGAGGCAACGACGTCCCTCGGCGAAGCCCTGCGCGACCTCACGGTCCCCGAATTTCCTACACTCTACGTCGTTGAAGCTGGCGCGGCCCTACCGGCGACGTTGCTCCCCGAACCGAAGCCAATGCACCTCACCCCTAAACGGAAGCACGAGGGTAACGGCAGAAAGGCAGGCGGCGGAGGCGGCAAAGCCAAGAGACCTCGCAAGAACCTGGAGGATGGTGAGCTGCCGAGTGACGGGGACGACAGTGACGGTGATCTTGCCGACGCCGACGTTGATAGGTTCGCGGCTGCTGTAGACCAGATCATCGCCGAGCAAAGTCTGGGCGAGGAAGACGACGATAGCACGACGAGCAGCTCGGGGTCGGATTCGGAAAGCGACGAAGGGGTCAGCGCGAGCCTTGCTGCCAAGTTGGCATTGTTGAAAAATAGACCGGTGTGAGATGGACAGGCCTTTGTACAATACCACCTTATATAGAAGATCATGATACCCTCGAGGCCCTTCATACAGCCTGTGTACATTATGACAGCCAACATAGAATTAAGACTTGCGTGATCGTCCATTACTGTTCCCATGGTACAAATGCAAAGCTCCATAAAACACGACAACCATCAGTATGTTCGGATATCGGGTGCTCAGACGCAATGGGCCGCGAAGTGGACATTTCATAGACATCAAGTCACCACATGACAAGGGAAGATCAATATCTCATAAACGCGTCGCGTCACAAGTGAACAGGTATAACAGAAGGGTGGAAAATTTTGTTACTACTTTTGGACAGACATTGCCCCCAACTACCTCACCACCATTTTACGGCCAAATGCCTACGATGTGCCCATGATGGCCACCAGAACCACATTGGATATCAGTCCGTCAAGTCATTACGTCCTTTGTGTAAAGCCATTTGTATCGTGAAACCATTGTTAATTGCCGTCCGAAAATCGACAGCCAAGAAACTCATTGTGCCTGTTTGACCCTCCAGAAAAAATTCCGAGTCGTCCATGTTCCACACCTCATCTTCCCTGTCCATTTCACTAAAATGTGCCCGTCACAACCGTGTCGTGTCAAGTCGAAAATTGGTAGAAGGCGAGGATGAATCCGGATGTCGAAACCAAGATTATGGGTCCAGGCGGGTATTTACCGCAACTTAGAAAAGCAAGTACATTGTCATCTGAGCGAAAGGCGCTTAGATGAACATGGCGGCAAAGCCAGCGGCAGCCAGGAAGCCAGCAACGGGGACAGCAGTCGCCTTGGCCTAGGTAAGAACGTTAGTATGGGAGTGTACAGCAATGTGAATGTAGTTGGGCAACTTACAAGGCCGCTGGAGCTGGAGCTGGCAGCGGTGCCAGTGGCAGAGCCAGAGGCAGAAGCAGAACCGCCAGTGGTGGTGGCACCAGTAGCCTCGCTGGCCTGGCTGGAGAGAGCACTAGAGGCCGCGCTTCCAGTGACGGAAGAGAGGAGAGTGGTCGAGCCAATGGTGGAGGTGATGACGCTGCCATCGGAGGTGATGGTGCTAACAATGGGCTCGGTAGTGACAGCAGTCTGGGGAGCAGAGGTGGCTCCGGGGACACCACCAATGCCGAAGAGGGTGGTCTCGCCAGTGGAGGTGATGGTAGATTCGCCGCTGGTGATGACAGTGGTGAAGGTGGAGGTGGAAACCGGGCTAGGGGTCGCAGACTCGCCGCCACCAGAGGCAGCACCAGTGAGGGTAGTGACGCCAAGGAGAGTGGTCAGAGTGCTGCCACCAGAGGTGATCTCAGAGAAGATCGAGGAAACGATCGGAGCGGCGGTGGCAGTGGCAGTGACAGTGCCAGTGGGCTGAGTGACAGTGGCACCGGGGATCACGGTGACAACAACACCGGCCTCTGACTTGGGTGTTAGTGGATCCAGAAATCAAATTTGAGAGATTGCGTGGGAAAGCAGAACTTACGGCGGCAGAGCTCAATACCAGAGGCGACAGCGGCCTCAGCATCAGAAGCCTGGGCGCAGCTCTGGAAAGAGCAGTCGCGGATGCCATAGGCGAAGTTGGCGTTGCGGCAGAGGCAGGCGTTGTCGCCGGCGGTGCAGCCCAGGTCAGAGGCGAGACCCTGCATGGCGGAGATACAGCCAGTCTATTGATCGAGTTAGAGTCTCAGATGCTTGGAAATTGCCCAGTAGGAACATCTTAACATGAAAATCCATGCTGCTGGATTTCCATGTTCACAGCGGAGGGAGAAATTTTACTTACGCCACAGGCGCCCTGAGCCATGGCACCAGAGAGAAGGCCAGCACCGAGGATGATGGAAGACTTCATTGTGAATGATTGATGATGGATTTTGTAAGACTGGAGAAGAGTGAGTCGTTTGCGAGAACAAAGTCGACAACGAAGGACCTGTACGTAGAGGATCAGTAAAGCTCGGATTTTCGCAATCAAATGAAATGCGAAACAAGATATGCGCGTGAGGAGAGGTGATCGCAAAAGCAGTAAAGGAATGAGGTTACCTGGAACAAAGAGCGTGTGTGGGCTTGGAAAGAAAGCGTAAAAGATTGTTTGCAATGTGAAGAACGAAAAAGGCGGTGGAGTGGAAGTGGGAAGAGAAACAACTTTGTGGGTGAGTGGAAGGGGAATCAGAAGGTCACGGTGTGGTGAGTGGGAGGTGTTGAAGGAAATGAGTGTTACGCAAATTTGGGAAGCTGCGCCTGGGGGAAGTTGTGATGTAACTGGGGACAGAACGAGGCAGGTCCAAGGTCGCACAAGACCAAGTAAACAAACTAACAGTGATATGCTGCTGTTTTGTTTCCCTTGTCCTCGGAAATTCTGACCAAGAGGCTAGAAAATGAAGCAAGCAGCTTGCGATGGGGAGAAGGAGAAAATGAAGCCAGCGCAAAAGTAAAGAAGGCTCCTGATATCAGATATCCCGAGGATATATCGACTTACCTACGATTGATATTGATGTCGGAGCTGTCGGGGCTGTTGGAAGCGTGCTTGAGAGTATCTCGCGAGAGTGGCGGAGCGAAGGTGTGTGTTGGTGTGAGGTGATGATGGGAGCGTGTTGGTGGTTACTCGAGGTGAAGTGAGGTGAGGTGTCTCGGTGGATAGGGTGGCGGGGGGCAGATATTATTCGAGAATAGGTGCCGAATCGAGGTAAGGCAGGTAAACAATGGAATGTCACGTGGAGTATTAGAGTACCTTAATTGAAGGACGGGAGGAAGGAACGAGGAAGGAGAAGGGAGTGCCTTCCCGTTTATAAGTCAATCGGGGGACGAAGGTGCGGGATGGCAGTTGGGCACGACGTACGAACCCAGTTCCGTGCCTTCCTACTTGGCTACGTTGCTACCTACCTACCTTACCCTGTAGACCTGAGATCATGGGCAGGCCTTATTTCCTAGCCACCACCTATTCGAGTTTACAAACCATTGGACAAGGTACCTTAACTTGGCCTGGCCGACGGGACCCCGACCTTAGCATGCACCGATGCAGTCTGCAGAGCATCTGCGGTGAAGTGCAAAGTGGGCTTTCCCGTCGATCAACGTTGGGTTGTTTGATACCCAGATTTTTGGAGAACCATGTCATTTCGGCGGCCCCAACTTTAGTTGGCTTTGCCTCTCACGCTTGTCCTGACGTTGACATGCCGCTAGCCAGCAAATGAGAAGCCACCCGGAGCTAAGGTAGTCAAGTCGATGTGGGTATCTGATGTGGAATTCGTCCATCTTCCAGGTTAGTGCTGCAGCAAAAGTGGCGCCAGGTTGGGTGTTCACAGCTCAAGCTCGGCCCCAAGCGAACCTCGCTCGTTGCTCTGCGCCCGTCACCGGCAACTCCTCCAGTCTCCAGCACCCAAAGTCAACACAAGAAAAACCCTGCTTGGATCCTCAGCCACAAACCCAAAGCTGCATCTTGATCCTCTGCCCACTACCGAGACCCGAGAGTTGTCGGCCCGGTGGCTGGAATCTCAGCTAAGACCGACCACGCTTGTATGCTTATCATGCGAGGCAAGCTGAAATCTCTTTTGTGAACAGCGAGTCGCGCGCAAATAGCCAGAAGGGTGAAATTGGCTCCCGGCGAAGTGCCCCTCGAGGAAATTGTAATATCCCAAGACACCAATCTTGGGGGCCAGCGCGGGCTAGATCTCACAGCGAGATGAGAGATGCGACCTACTTTCGGGGTTGATATGCGATGGTAACCAGGATATGCCTGATGTAACCCTCCCGTCGCCGCCAGCCAGCGTCTACCTTAGTCGGGACATTTCAACCCCCGTCCTAAGCTCTCCGGTTCCAGCAAGTAAAGAAAAGAACTGGTGCCATGTGGTATCGTTCGGCCTGAGCTCTGACGCACTTTTGAGTCCATCCCTTCCGCTGCAACGCTGTCAAACACTGCCAAACTAAGGCAAGAAGGCTGGGGGACGTGCGAGCCTGCAGGCTAAGGCAATAGATGCGATGTCAAGAAAAAAATCCTTCCCGTTGGAACCTTGCCCAGCAACTAGAACCTCGATGGGAAGAGGCTCTACCGGTAAGTCCTTCCTTATCGGACGCCTGGGTCAACAATTCAAGCGACTGCGAGTCGAGGGGAGTGAGCAGTTTGCTGGATTCGAACCCTGCCATCCAAGATACCCATGCCAACCTGCTTTTTGCAGCACTAACGAGGCAGGAGGCAAGGCTGTTTCTCGATGCGACAATCAAGCTTCCGCGGCCAGAAATGAAGGACAGGAAACAGGGACCCAGCATTGAAAGCTCGAAACAAATTCCGGGGCTTCGAGAGGCGAGGTCGGTAAGCTGGAGGTAGCCGGAAAAGCTCGCATCTACCCGCACGACGCGCAAGCCAACGTAGTTTGTATCTGCCACGTGAAGCTGGCTTCGGTCATCTTGCATCACAGTGGCCTTGATTTGGGAGGTGTACACCGCCCGACGCTTGGCCTCTCGTCATGCTAGAAAGAGGCAGCCGGAAGTCGGCAACATGATAGCTTACAGGTTGACCGTTAGTGACGAAGGTTGACGGCAGAAGAAAAATCATCGTGGGCAGACAGATCCCGCCGGACCATGGCCCATTGGTGAGTCGGTGACTGAGGGGTGAGTTGCAGTCAGTCACGGCTGGAAACAAGGAAAAAAGTGCTAGCTGTCAAGGTCTGGGGCGGACGTGGTTGCGTGGCTATCACCGTACCAAGAGGGGATGAGGTCAATCAAATGCACGTCGACGCGTCCGATTCGCCAATGACCCCGGACGTCCTCTGTTGTGGCGCCGTGGCGCTCCACTCTGTGTACTCCGACGTTTAATTGGGCAGGTTCGGCAAAAAGGGAAAGGACGGGGGAGGAAAGGAGACAGGGGTTGAGCTTCCTACGCCTGGAGGATCAGAGTCAATTCCCACATACCAACGACTTCTCCCGCACTTTCTTTCCCATCATTCATTTATTCATGCTTTTGCGCCGAATACCATGAGACACTACCGCTTCATTTGCGCCAAAACTTCTTGCGAGCCAGCCCATGTTGCTGCTTCCCTTCGACATGGATTGGTTCGTCTGACGTCGGAGCGCACAATGATCTCCCGAAGCAAGCTCTTTCTCCTGAAGCGACCAACAACAGGTCAATTGTCATGGTGACCGCCAGCTTCCACACTCTGCACCACGCTACCTCTCAATAGAGCGTCGGCGGCGTGGTGGGACCTGGAGATCAGTACCCTTCTACGCAGTAGCCTCAAAACCAGCTCTGCATCGCTCTGCATCGCCCTTTCAGCGTCGGCACATCCGTCAGGTCCCCGTCCCACCAACACCGCCATTCGCTTCCCCAACGTTGCGCTCCCGCCCTGGCCCACGCCAGGGCCCAGGGGCTGGTGGTGGTTGCCAAGGCCTTTAGTCAAATCTTGTCGGGACTGGACCCATCCCTCAGCTTGCCAAGGGTTAGTCCCGCATCCAGAGGCAGCCCCCCCTTACTCGATGAGCTTTTTCCAACTTTCCACGCTAGGTCACCCACAGCGGTTGACCTCGAGAAGAGAAACAAGCAAATCTCTGCTTCTAGCCAACCACTGCGGGGAGGTCGTGTCGAGAGACAGACAGGACGAGGGTAGCAATCTCGTTCTAGACGCTCCGAGACATTAGAGATGAAGCACCCAAATTCACCGTGGTCTGCGCGCATCGCAATCAGATTAGCCCGACCACGATGGGTGGAGATCTCAAGATCGGTCAACGAGGCCGGAAAATCGGCCCTTAAGGTTGAACACGTCTTCGTCGCGCTATTGCTGGACCGGCCGCTATCTGGGGCCACGATGAGGGAAGCTTCTGACGTATTGCCCTTCGATGGCCGATCCACAAAATACCTTATCGCTGCGACTCACCTGACGACGGCCCGAACAGTCGAACTACACCAGCCACCCACTTGACGGACTCCCAACGAGGCGTCACGGCCTCGTCCGGGGACCTTGACCGTGGGAGTCCATCCCGATCTATCGGAAAAGTCGTGCCTCTTGCAGGTCCTGACAGTCCGTACTGAGAGTCACGACTGAATTCCATCAAAGCCCCTGTCATCCGGACTTCTGCTCTGTTGGAAGCGAAGGTGCGACGCGGAGCGAGAGAACGTGACATCCCTGCCGACTCGTGAACCACTGGCAATCCATGTGGTGATCGGTGCGTTCCCCCTCAAATGCCTGCCTCGCGAAACGCGTACCATCCGTGCCCTTCCATCAAAACACCTCCTCGAATATATAGGTCTCCCATTGCCAGGTCATCTACATAGGTAGACAACCGCCCCCGCCCCTTTTCTCGTGTCATGGTAAGAGGGTGTGACCGTTGTGTTGTCCGTCGAGTGGCATGACGCGGGTAGCCGAGAATAGTGTGAAACAAACAAGAAATAGCTGAACTGCGACGGCGCCAAGAGTAGACACCACGATGCCGTGAAGGCAGATATAGCGAGAGTTGCAGAGTTGCGGCAAGATGGAGGTCGGTAATCGTTAGCCGATGGCCGTCAGAAAGTCCCTTTTTACCCCCCTAGGCTGTCGCACACGGACACATCTGCCGTGGAGGCAATTCAGAGGAAATGTCTGCTTTGCTAGACTGCTTGCAAGAACGGTCAACATTGTTCGACACTTTCCATCGACACTTTCCATCGACACTTTCCATCGACACTTGGCACGACACTTGGCAAGTGTCGAAGGCTTTGCCCTCTGGTGTATCCACAAACCAAAGGACATTACAACGGGAACAGCAAACATCCATTTCCCGCATCATCGCGTCACTCTGCCTTCACCAATGCCTCCAATAAATTACACATGGCAAAAGGATCGACGACGTGAAATGGTCTCAGAACCGAGAAAGAAAGACAAACCGCGACTCCACGCACGAATCAGTGGCCGCCCATCTGTCTTCGACCCATTCCATCGAGCCGCGCGTGGTGTATGGATGTGTGTGTATAGATGTGTGTATGAACAACCGACTCAAGTGAAGCACAATAGCAAATTGACCGTCATCACAGTATCATCACTCTCACCATGAGCAAAGTCATTTATTCGTTCCGATTGATGCATACACGATCCGCCACATGCGACCCGTCCCCGAGGTCTCATCTATTGCCACCCAAGCACGTCGCCGCGGCCACGACCTCCATCTCTTTGAACTCCCAATAGCTGTCCTATATCACTGACTGCCTTACCTGGGGCCCAACGTGTACACGTACGCATACATGTGTAAGTGTGCGTGTAAATGTGTGTTGTGTGGTAGCCTTACACACAGCTGAGGCCACACACAGCTGATGTTGTCATGATCGGCCCCGGCATGTTTCCCCGCGCATGCGTTTGTCTAGGCCTCAGGTTGCACAACATACAGGAACCCGACGCACAAGACGGAATATGTCATTTGCAAGAGAGGTCTGGCCCGCCAGTGCCCGCCCAATGTCAACTCATGTGTCGTTTGTCTAATTACACATCGCGGGATGAGATGTCTTTTACTAATCGAAAAATGGCCAAGCTTGGGAGTGATGTTCAAATTAATGTTAAGCAAATTCACGAGATTGCAAGTCGCATAGTTGATGATACGAGTAACAATTATACTACTGCTAAAGGAATTGTGACCAAACCAAGTTTTCTTCCCAACGCCGTGATCTGTGTGTGCAACAGTCAAAATCCTAGCATCGGAACCGTCGAGCCCTCTGGGCCGCGGAAGACCGTCTAAAGACGAGAACCTCTCGTAAACAGCCCATGCGAGAAAGCGAAAAGGGCAGCCTTGCCCAGAGCGTTGTACGTCAAAACAAATACAGATAGGGTGTCAATGACCAATGCCACCCATGAGCCCGAAACATAAAACTATTACCAACGTGATCCCATACTCAAATGCCCCGAACCCCATAATATGCCATCAACGTGTGTCATCAGCCGTCAAAATCCATCACAACTTCACCTCCTGTGTTCTTCAGCCGCTGCACATGATGCAGGACTCGGGGTTTTCGATGCTGCCTAATGAGGGGATTAGTGAGTGTTATTGGAAACGGTTCAGTGAGGAGTAACTTACAGGCAAGCACAGCCTCGGAGTAGATATCCAACTCTCTCTCCTTGCTCTCCTCGGTCTTGTCCTCAGCATCAGGGGTCTTGCTGCCAGAGACGGGGAGCTCCTCGATCTTGACAGTCTCAACGGGCTCAGTGGGAAGCGCGCGGGGGCTGTCACCCTCGGCAACATCGGCGGTGAAGTTGTCAGGTTTCTGGGCCGGAGCAGTTCTGGGAGGAGGAGGGGTGACGCTGGGGGTGGGGATGCCGTTATCCTGAGCAGAAGAAGAGTCCTTCTTTGCGTACATGGGCCTGGGGACGTTCACAACGGGGGAGGCGACGTGGCCAGGGGGAGGCGCACGCTTCTTGAGAGCCTTGCCGACGGCGGCGTCAGCGACCTTGAGCGCTTCTTGGTCGACGGTGAACTGAATGGGAGCAGAAGCTGCCTGAGTACGCAGGTAGTACATGCCCGTCTTGAGACCAAGCTTCCAGCCAGCGAAGTGCATGCTGGTGATCTTGCCCATTGTCGGGTCCTTCATGTGGATGTTGAGGGACTGGGACTGGTCAATGAAGGCACCACGATCGGCAGCCATCTGAACAACGGTGCGCTGGGAGATTTCCCAGACGGTCTTGTACAGAGCCTTGACCTCGGCGGGGATGTTAGGGATGTTCTGAACGGAACCGTTCTCGGCGATGATACGGTTCTTCATGGCATCGGACCACAAGCCCATGTCGACAAGATCCTTCAGCAGCCAGGGGTTGACAACCTGGAACTCGCCGGCGAGAACACGGCGCTGGTAGATGTTGGAGGTGTAGGGCTCGAAGCACTCGTTGTTGCCTAAGATCTGGGAAGTGGAGGCAGTAGGCATGGGAGCAACAAGCAGACTGTTGCGAACACCGTGCTCCTTGATTTGCTCCTTCAGAGAGTCCCAGTCCCAGAGGTCAGAGGGCTTGACATTCCACATGTCGTACTGAAGGATACCCTGGGAGATAGGGGAGCCCTCGTACGTGGAGTAGGTACCCTCCTCCCTGGCCAGTTGAACGGACATGGTCAGAGCGGCGTGGTAGATGGTCTCAAAAATCTTCTTATTGAGATCGCGAGCCTCAGGAGACTCGAAAGGCATGCGGAGGGCGAGGAAGGCATCAGCAAGACCCTGGACACCAAGACCGATGGGGCGGTGACGCATGTTGCTGTTGCGAGCCTCAGGAACGGGGTAGTGGTTGACATCAATGATCTTGTTCAGGTTGCGAACAACGACCTGAGTGACCTCGTGAAGCTTCTGGAAATCGTAGACACCCTCATTGTAGTCAACGAAGGTAGGCAGGGCAAGAGAGGCCAAGTTGCAGACAGCGACCTCATCGGGGGCGCAGTACTCAATAATCTCAGTGCAGAGGTTGGAGCTGCGGATGGTTCCGAGGTTCTTTTGGTTGCTCTTGCGGTTCGCGGCATCCTTGTAAAGCATGAAGGGGTTGCCGGTCTCAGTCTGAGCCTCGAGGATGGCGTACCAAAGCTTCTGGGCCTTGATGGTCTTGCGACCCTTGCCCTCGCGCTCGTACTTTTCGTACAAGGCCTCAAACTCCTCGCCGTAGCAGTCAGCCAGGCCGGGGCACTCGTTGGGGCACATGAGGGTCCATTCGGCGTTCTTCTCGACTCTCTTCATGAACAGATCGGGGATCCAGAGGGCGAGGAAAAGGTCACGGGCACGGACCTCCTCCTTGCCGTGGTTCTTGCGCAAGTCCATGAACTCGAAGACATCGGCGTGCCAGGGCTCAAGGTAGATGGCGAAGGCACCAGGACGCTTGTTGCCACCCTGGTCGACGTAGCGAGCAGTGTTGTTGAAGACACGAAGCATGGGAATGACACCGTTGGAGGTGCCGTTGGTGCCGGCAATGTAGGAGCCAGTGGCACGGATACGGTGAGCGTTGAGGCCAATGCCACCAGCCATCTTGGAGATCATGGCGCAGGTCTTGAGGGTGTCGTAGATACCCTCAATGGAGTCTTCCTTCATGTCGACGAGGAAGCATGAAGACAGCTGGCACTGAGGGGTACCGGCATTGAAAAGTGTGGGGGAGGCGTGTGTGAAGAACTTGCTGGACATGAGGTTGTAGGTCTCAATGACGCGCTCAACATCGTCGCCCCAGATACCGACTGCGACACGCATGATCATGTGCTGCGGTCTCTCGGCAATCTTGCCGTCGAGCTTGAGCAGGTATGATCTCTCCAGAGTCTTGAAGCCGAAGTATTGGTAGTTGAAGTCGCGGTCGTAGACGATGGCAGAGTCTAGCTCCTCCTTGTGTCTCATAACGGCATCGTATGTCTCCATGGCAATCATGGGAGAGGCACGGTTGTTTCTGGGGTTGACATAGTGGTAAAGGTCGCTGATGACCGCAGACCATTGCTTCTTGGTCTGCTTGTGGAGGTTGGAGACCGCTATCCGGGCAGCGAGGATGGCGTAGTCGGGGTGGGTGACGGTCATATAGGCGGCAGTCTCAGCGGCCTGTTCATGAGATTATTAGCATCCGATACGCGGGGCAAGAGGCGGAAGAGCAGTACTCACCAAGTCATCAAGCTGGACGGTGGTGACACCGCCGTAGACACCGGAGATGACCTTTTGGGTGATGGCAACCGGGTCGACGTGGTCCATGTCGAGGCCATAGCATAGCCTGGACACTCTGGCAGTGATCTTGTCGAACTGGACGCGCTCCTGGCGCCCGTCTACATTCAATTAGTATCATATGTGATCACTTAACGCGTCTAAGCAAAACGTACCGCGCTTTCTCACGAACATCTTGCCGGAGTATGGCTGTGAGGTTGTGGGAGTCGGGGGTTGTTGCGTCGCCTCGTGGGAGACGTAACACTTGAGAGCAAGAAGATGAAGGTGAATGCTGAGGAAGAGAGGGGGTATCAAGAGCACCAAGAATTAGAATTGTACTGGTGCAAGTAGACGTTGCGTCAAGAGTGTTTGGGTTTGGGGAGATTGAAAAAGAATAGAAAGGTGCCAGGAGGTGCTGCAGATACTTATGGCACTGCCAATTCGCGTAGAAACGCGTCCACGGGTCTCAACGCCAAAGTGGACTTTAGCGCGACGAGGTAGGGGGGCAGGGGGGCCACGTCAAGGCATCAATAATAAATTGGCTGGCAAAAGCGGTTTTCCAGCCTGGTAAGCTAGGCATCTCCGCCCGTGCCCCTCGGTTCACGTTCGCATCCCCGAGCCAACACTTGCCTGGAACACAATGGACGACGGGCTTTTGCACTGTAAAAAGATGGACAATCTCAATCTCACAGCTGGCTACCACTTGACTAATGCTACGGCAGGCTTGGAAATCAAGTCTGACAACACACTCCACTGTGGATGTTGTTTGTCTCTTCCCATTCTTCTCTCTCTCGTCTGACGCGGGTTGCTGTTTGCAACGAGAAATGACCTCACACTTGGCCCGGGGAACTGGTCTTGCTTGGAATGCACTCAGAAAGTCTTTAATTGATTTCGATCGCGTCTCGTTACTTTGTCGGGTGCACGCGTTGACCCCTCCTCATCGTTTCAGAGCAATGATGCAGTGCACTTTAATGGATTTTCTGTAGGCACTTTACGCGTGCGCTGCACGTCGCTTCATGGTGGGGGTTCCACTTCATCACGATGTCACGTGAGAGAGGCCAAAATCAATTGAACACCCTCAGTGAGATTGAGGCCAAACGACGTCACGACTATATCAATTGGCATTTTCCTGCCTTCAAGACAGAAAATTTTGAAGCTTGAAGACATCATTGCCCATCGTTCATGAGAGGATTCTCCGCTTTGCTTCTTACCAGAGCACGGCCGCAAAAGTTGATCCAACCCTTGCATAGAAGCTTTCTGTCATCGCCATCAACCATAGTCACAATGGCCGCTCCCACTGAGCCGTCTAAGCCGGCATACCAGCCCCGGTACATTGATGTGTGTTAATCATAATCGTCTACATACCCATAAGTCAGCTTAATAACCCTTTCTTCCTGGTAGATCGGCATCAACCTGGCCGATCCCATCTTCAGAGGTCTGCACCATGGCAAGCAACGGCATCCCAACGATCTCACCGGGGTCATCTCAAGAGCAAAGGAGGTCGGATGCACCAAGCTCATAGTCACGGGGTCCGACTTCACAAGCTCCAGGGATGCCTTGGATATTGCAAAAGACTACCGTGAGTCAAGAAAAACGTGCCATTCACGTCAAGCCTGTTTGTTGACGTTGCGTTTGCAGCTGGCGTCGTGTATACGACGATCGGAATCCACCCCTGCAGCAGCGCAATTTTCAGCAGCTCGGATGAGGCCGCAGAAGGCATCAACACGGACCCGGACCCCGAAAAACCTATCCCCGAGCACCACGAGCCGGATCGGAAGAAGACAGTGGCCATCATAGCCGAGCTCCGTGCCCTCATCAACGAGTCGACCACCTCCCATTCCGGCGTCGTCGCCTTTGGAGAGTTTGGGCTCGACTACGACCGCTTACACTACTGCTCAAAGAAGGTCCAGATCCACGCTTTCGCGGCGCAGCTTGATCTCGTCCTCGAAACGAAGCCTCAGCTGCCCCTTTTCCTGCACTCCAGAGCTGCCCATGCGGATTTTGTCCGGTTACTCAAGGACAAGTTCGGGGACAAGCTCGAGAAGCTGGAGAAGGGTGGTGTTGTTCACAGCTTCACTGGTTCCATGGAGGAAGCCAGGGAGTTGATGGATCTCGGCTTGTACATTGGTATCAATGGCTGCAGTTTCAAAACCGAGGAGAACTGTGAGGTCGTCAAGCAGATTGGCCTGGACAGGATGATGATTGAGACCGATGGTCCTTGGTGCGAGATCAGACCGAGTCATTTCGGCTACAAGTATCTCATTGAGAAGAAGCCGGTGGTCAACGGCACTGCGAACGGCGCTGCTAACGGCACTGTAACCCCGGACGCAGCTCAGAAGCCCCAACCCAAGAAGAAGAATCAAAAGAAGGAGCACGAAGTACCAGAGCGCTTCAAGGTCGTCAAGAAGGAGAAGTGGGAGGAAGGTGCCATGGTCAAGGGCCGGAACGAGCCATGCATGATTGAGCGTGTAGCAAAAGCCGTCGCGGGCATCAAGGGAGTGGAAGTTGAAGACATTTGCGAGGCCGCATGGAAGAATACTGTCAAGGTTTTCGGCGTAGAATGAGGCGTAGAACACGACGTAGAATAATAGACAAGACTTTCGAAGAAATCAATTTGGGGTATCAAATTCATTGAAGGTACACGCGCAACGCAACGACTGCGACCTACAAGGCTCTCCTGTCGGAGAAGGTTTCATATGCCAGAGCCATTATGGCCCCTGATCCTGCCATGCCGGACGGCCCCTACTGTAACTCCCTCTTCGCCAGTCATCCAGCCCGGTACCCGCTCTCCGTCTATGATGCCGTTCTCCACAAGCTGCCGTATGCCCGCGAATACATGTGAACCGTGCAATGTCAGTTTAACGTTGGGAGTCCAAGTTGGTGACTTTGATGAGGCCCGCTGTTCCGCATCTGATTCGGCTCGAAGGCTGTTGCTAGGAAAGGGGTCTTCCATGATAATGTCCACCCGCTCGATGCCCAACCCATCGTCAATCTTGCCGGTCTCGCCGAATCTGGCCTGGGCACATAGACGTGCTCTCTTGTAGAACTTTTCATCTGCATCAATGGCGCCGGCTTTTCGTTTGAGATCTCTCTTTGTCGTCGAAGCCGAGGCGTCGTCTGCTGAGTCTTCCGACAAAGGCGGCGTCGGTAAGATGGTCTCGAGTGGTGACTCATTATTCTTCTTGTCGGCATAAATGTCCCAACCGCCGCCTGCCGCGTTGGTTCGGCCAACGCCTCTGGATTGCAACAGCGCATCGAGGTTTTTGGTCGTGATGTTTGTGGGTTTGAGTGTGTACCGTTCTTGGGGCCGAGAAAGCGCCTTCGGTATCCCCTCGACGACCAGGTTGCGAAAGCTTTTGGCTTCGCTTGATCCCAAAGACCCGACTGTCTGTGCTTTGGACAAGTAGACGAATGGCGAGGCATCTGGAAAGGCAATGTATAGTGTCCGTGAGCTGTCGAAATCGGACTCCGACTGCGCAGAACCATTTCCGAGTTGTGTTATACTCGTGCTATAGGGAGACTCGACGATGAAGATACGCAAGACGGATAATGTAAGCCCCTGAGGTCGATGGAAATGAAAATGAGCTTTGACGTCGGGCAAAACATGAGATTGAAGGTTTTGGATGAACGTGGATGGGTGAAATCGAGGAAGAGTTAGAGACGCAGTATCGACTTCTGGGGGCTGCTCTTCATCATCGACGTATGAAGCCTCTTTGAGAGGCACAATGCGGTAGGCATTCCATTTCTGCGATGCGGGGTGATCTTCAAGGTATTGGGCATCTGCCAGCGCCATTTGGTATAGGGTCAGACCATGGTTCCAGTCGCCGTCGGTGATGCGATCAATGACCTCTCGTTTGGACCCTTTCCTGAACTGTAGATCCGCATAGATGGTTCGTAGGCCTTCCAGAGAAGATGCCGGAGGGTACAGACCGTCATCGTCTTCCTCTTCTTCGTTTAGTATAGGCGCGCATAATGATACATTCTCATCACTGAGCCATTCGAGGACCAGAGACAGCAGAGAGGATCGTGATAAGCGGCCTAGAGCTTTTTGAACGGAAGAGTTGTTGGGCGGCAGTCGAACGGTCGACGATAAGCGCCCTGTAGTTGGGACTGAGAAGCGTGCCATGGCCGTCAAAACATTGTGCTCGAAGAAAAGCAAGGCAGTGTATTTGATGTATCCCGAGTGCACTGTCTCACCGGTAACGTCGCGGGTAAGTACAAAAACAGGAAGAAAAAAAACAATGTCGCGATACTAAAGCCTCGAGGTTGTCGTGAATCACCCCGGTAATCGAGGCTGAAGTATCTTAAGCGGAGATGGGCTTTACACAGGTATTGTTGGTCGTGGGATCGTTGTAAAGCAAAGACGCGTCGCGTATCCGTACCTCAAAAGCTCACATGCAGTTGTGGTGCACGGAGCACATGTTGCATACGGGGTCGGGGGGGGCTTGCCGCAAACAGGGGGACACGGGCCACAACGGAGGGGCACGGAGCAGTGGCTCTGTGGGCGGCAGACGTTAAGGTTGAACAAGGGAGGAAAGGCAGCCAGGGACGCTGACAGACGGATTATGGGTGTCCGATCCGACCAACCACGCAGGCGGGTCCCTAGAGGAGAGGCCGGCGGCCAAGGCACCCGTGGCACCCAGCCCGGAGCCCGCAAACGACGGGAGCAAGTTGCTGACAGTGGAGGGCGCAGGGGATATTGACGGCAACGGCGGGGTTCACGATGTTCTGGGACCGACATGTGCTTTACCCAAGCTGGTTGGCATCAAACGTGCAAGACCAGGGCGTGGGCAGTGAACAAGACATGGTTGAACGGGCAGATTACCAGCTAGCGGGGCTGTTGTTCATCCCTGACCATCCATCAAGTTCAATAATGATGCCCTGGCAGCCTGGTAATGGCTGGGGCCTGGCAGACGGCGGTCCTGGTCTTGCGCGGTAAAGTCCCTGAAGCCTGAAGAAGAATACTGCGCAGGACCTAGGTGCAGGATGCAGCGGCTGGGAGGCACGGTCGGGCCTACTTACCGAACATGGCCGGTAGCGCTTCCGAGGGTCGGAGGGGTTGCTTAGAAATTCAGATTTAAGGGTCCTTTCACAAGTATCTGTAGGTGTGTAAGAGACCGTGAGACGATGCCGTGCCCAGACACGCCAGAGGAAACACGGCAAGGTTGACACCAGAAACCCGCGACCATGCCCAAACCAGACCAGCCGAGTCATGATGGACCCGGGTTTTCACCGTCAGCAACGAACAACGTGGTTGGGACTTGGGATTGCTGCTTTTTTTTTTTTTTCGTGACCGTAGCGCGGGTATTGCACTTACCGCCGGTATTTAGTACCGAAGCATTAATAATCTTCCACGATCGATGCAAGCCACAGCGTAAGTGGACTCATGTGTGCGCACAAAACTTAGAATCTGTGTAATAACGTTTCGTCGGTGGAAATGTTTCTGGAACTCAATCCAAGAGAGGCCACACTGGCTGGCAACGTCAGAATTTTCTCACACCCAAACATTTTACATAAATACGGAGACATGGGAGATCAAGTGAAAGATGAAGCCCCGGAGATAAATGTCGATCAACCAAAAATGCGACTTGAAGACGTCAATTGCCAACAGCCCGAAAACGAGGGGTGTCGGAACACTGTCAGGCCAGAGATGCGCAATTGCCGCGGGGCTCTCAGAACAGTGGCCAAGAGATGATTCGTTCGCCAGCCCTTGGGTAAGTGATGACGGGTGGATGTGTACATAGGCACTGTGTCCACAGCAGTGTGGAGAGGGGCTCCAAGATCGAGTGCTCATGCTTCCCGGTCATGGTTCCGGGAGTTGGAAAGGGTGCGCTCGGAAAGAAGGCAGGTTATGAGAGTACTGCTGTTCGGAATGTCCTACGGCTGTGACTTGGCTGTAATGTCATTCCCGGCAAATGTAGAAGCTTAGTACATGTCGACTGGGATTCTCGTAGGTGATTGGATGAGACATGAGATGGAGCACGGCCCCGTCCATCGGCTGGTGGGGGGCTCACATCGCCCCTGTGGTACTAAGGACCTTCGGATCAGGGCAAAAATAGCGCAGCGCTGGCGGTATTCTCAACATCCGAAAGGGCGACATGCTAACAATTCCGGTGTGATGTTTACCTCTTGCGTGTGAGAATCAGTGGAAGTGGTGGGAGAGGACGTGGGTGGGTGGAGGTTCCAGGCCTGGATGGCTAGCATATGCCTGGCCACCACTCTCAAGTCTCAATGGAGGTATCTCCCAGGCGAGACTTGTGTAGCCTGCAGCGGTACGTAGATGCGTGGGGTGCCCTCTCTGCAGGGAAATGAACATGGCCGTCGGCCAATGGTCGGAGCCAACCAGCAGCGCGGAGCACCCTTGGGGCATTGGGGGGGCCCCTCCCCTCCGGGCACTGAAAGTCGCGCTGTCGGGTAAAGAAGTTGACTAATACTATCCACTCGGCCTGTGTCCGCAACCTGCCTCTCCGAACAAAGGCTTCATTCTCGCCCAATTTGACTCCTCTTCCCCCATCCCATCCACTCCTCCCTGAACCACCCAACAGTCCAGCCAGAGACCGAGACGAACCTCGCACTCGACAACCCAGACAGACAGACACCCGTTCAGGAGAACATCCGACCGACACATTCGACTTCTACCGACCATCGCCAGGTCTCGTCTTACATCTACCCGATTCGACGCCAGATTTGCCCCTCCATCGTCGCCGACTTCACTGCCGAGCACGAGCAAAAGTTGGAATCGATCCCGGTCCTCAACCCGCGCGCATTTAATTCAACTACATTGGGGGGTTTACAACCAACGCGGCCACAACGCCAACCCACTTAACGCCATCGCCGCCGTCCTCGACTTGATCTCTGGGACCCAGTCTTTTACAACCACAAAACAAATCGACACCCTCGTCCTCGAGTCGATTTGAAGGAGCCCTTTTGCTCTTCTGCCTCTCTATTCTTTGGGTCCAATACCGCCGGCTTCGCAACCGAGAGCCTTCACCGGCCGAGCGACATGTCGCCTTACACAAGCACTGGAGGTGGGCGCGCGCCCAATGTGTCTCGCTACCTGCGTGACCTGAACACCGTCAAGGAGCCCGGTTCCGCCGAGGAGAACTTCACGTTCGAGGATGATCTCGCCATATTCACAAACACTCAATTTTTCGACTTCGAGACTGGCCAGCACACCGACTACCAGGCACCGCCCAAGAAGGCCGAGACCGCTACCGCCGCTGAGCCCCAGGCTCCATCCAGCGCCGTCACCGAAGAACTGACCTCTCCCATTGGCGACTTTGGCAACGTCGACTTTTCTCTGCCAGGTGAGACGATGCTTTCTTCATGTTTACTTGGAATTGTTGTATTGTCTCCTTTTCGTTCACGCTGAGATAGTACTTGGATCTGTTTGGGATTTTGAATCTGATTTTGGTTGTGCACCAAAAGTCCCAGCTCACTCACATCGTCGTCATTTTTACTCCTCATCACTATGTTCTTCACTCACACCATAACTTTTCCTTCAACCATCTGCCACGTTACAGACAGCTATGGGCACGATCACTTCAGTATCGGGCGAATGGGAAACAGATGACGATTCACCGTTCAGACATGAGTCAAGTGGCTTCATTGAACTTTAACCCCAAGCCCTCATCAGCGATCAGCTCAACTTTCACTCAGGGTCGCAGCCAAGTGCATGCGACCGCCTTATCACCACCAGCATTTCGAACCTGTCTTTTCTTACCCCACCCTGTTCATGCGCAGTCCATGTTTCATTCGGACGTCTTGATTGGGAGAAGCTGCCTGCTCTTATGCAGGTTGCCGGCGTGCGGTATCGAGGGAGAGCTGCGACTCTAGACTGGAGCTTACAAATTGCCGGGGGATGGTGCCATATCCCGTGACTTTTCGTCATCCATCCTAGCAGGGATGCTTCGACCATCTGGGCAGCCGCCATCCGACACCGATTAAGCAAGTGCTATGGTTGATGGTCTTGTATCTCCAACATTTAGACTCGTCGATGCGGTTGTTCTTTCGATCAAGCGCTATCCGCCCCGTCTTTCCCCTCATTCCGCCGTCTCAACGACGCCACGATGCCAGGAACTGATACCTCCTGCCTTGAATCATCCATCTGACCATGAACAATGACAGGCGAATTCAACTTTCACGATTTCACCAACCCCTACCCTGCCTCGGGCGTCCCGCCCTTCGCCGAAGGCCTGGGTAACCTTCAACCTCTCCAGCCCAACCCGCAACCCACCTACGCGGCACCTCCTGTATCTCAGCAGCACAACCACCACTATGCCGCTCCCACGCCCTCAGCCGCCGACACCAGAACTCCTGAGTCTTTGAACGGAGTCAGCAGGCCCGGCCACAACTTCGAGGAGCAGTCTCGCGTTGCCGCAGAGGAGGACAAGCGCAGGAGAAACACCGCCGCCAGCGCCAGGTTCCGCATCAAGAAGAAGCAGCGTGAGCAGGCTCTCGAGAAGAGCGCCAAGGAGATGTCGGACAAGGTCTCAGCTTTGGAATCGCGCATCAACCTTCTCGAAACCGAGAACCGCTGGCTCAAGAACCTCGTCATGGAGAAGAACGAGGGCAGCGAGGACATTGCTTCTATGCTCAAGGAATTCCAGAACAAGCAAACCAAGACGACCGCGACATCTTCGGACTCTCTCAAGGCTGAGGAGGCAAAGTAGAATTGGGAAACTTGGTCAACACTCGGAGGAGGCACTATATTCTCTCCGACTGACGCCTGTATGCAATGCGTTTCATGTTCAAGACATTAGGTTTTATTCTGGCACCAAATGGAGTTTGATACCGTGGAGGGACGAAGAGGCGTGCTGTGGGGTGGGAGTCGTGATAGGGGGCTAGATGGGAGATGATCGGGCGGTACTATTGAGCGGCTTGTTTTTACTGATTGGCAACATGTGATGAGATTTTAACATGTATCTATACCTGCACGAACTCATGATCTGGGACGTGATAGAGTATATCACAGCAATGAATTATACGGATGGGTTAATCGACCCAAGGCTATTGACTTAGTCAACTCTAAACTATTCAGGTTTACCAACCGTTTACAAGCTCTTGTTCCTCCCAGCGTGTGTGCTCAGGTTAGAGTCGGGTTAGAAGGTCTCAACATCCCGCAACTCGAAGGCGTGCTCCCGCGGTCCCCATCAGGTAGAGTTCAACCACCCCGAGCCTGCGCAGGCATCCCCTGGCCTCACCTGCTCTTGTGTCCATGGCGGATCGGAGGAGAAAGAGCCGCTGCTCGGCTGTAATGTTCGTGTTCACCGATAACCCCCGCGCTCTTCTCCACCGCACCGACATGCCCCCATTGAGGCAGAAAACGGGCAGGAACTGATGGCCAAGCCGCCACAGACTCGAGGGTCCCAGGGCCTAGTGTAGAGTCAGTCGGTCGGGGGAGGTACGTAGCGCCATGTCTCGCCCATGGCCGGGCTGGTCAGGGTAGGGTTGGATGACTCTACTGCCAACGGGGATCCGAACGGCTTGGTTCGTTACGGGTACGGGTACTCCATCAGTCCATCGGACTCCAGACTCCAGACTCCTAGAGAACGATGAAAATTCAGAATCCGCTAATCCTTAACGACATGCCCTCCGCGGAATATGGTGGGCTGGGTGAGGAAGTAATACGCATTATACGGCGTGGGATAGGACGGGACGAGGGCCGACGATGGCGAAACGGAAAATCCTGTCTGTCTAGGCCAAGGGGCGGGCGGGCGCGGCGCGGCGGGCTCAGGACCAGGTTGGAGGAGTTTAGGAGGACGGTAGGACAAGACGGGATGCGAGACTTTTGGTTGAAAATGGAGACGATTCATTTCTCGGGTGCTTGGTTCTTGACTTCTCGTGCAGTAGTTTTACGCAACTACTCGGCCTTACCATCTGAACCCTCGTCGATACTCTCAAAGAGTCAAGGGGGGAGCGATGGGAGCGATGGGGGTGATGGGGGATCCTCTTGCTATTGGGAACTACTATAGTACATCCACTTAATCCTACAATATCTTTGACAAACTCTTTCCAGGCTCTTCTCACGAGTCTTTCCGAATGAATGAGTCTCACCGAGTGGTACTTCGTTACAGATGTGAATATAGAGACGGGGTAAAAAAGGGGGGAGTGTCTCTAGGTGTTCAAGTAAATTTTCTTTCCACATCCTCACTTTCCAGCCTCGGCCCCGTTGTTCTCCTTCTCCCCCCTGAGCGAAGCAAGACGAAGCTGGTTCCTCTTACCCAAGATCCTCACCGTGTTGCGCCTCTCAATCTCCGTCATCTCGCCCCAGTTGCTGATTCGCGACATGGTGCCGTCCTGGTTGACGACCAGGGGGCCGAGGTGGTCCAGCTTGGTTGAGGCGTCGCCGCCGCTCATGTCGAGCGTGATGGTGTTGCTTCCGCTGCTACTGCTGCTGACGCCCTTGTTGTCTCCTCCTCCTCCTCCTCCCACGGAGTTCCCGCCAGCAGCACCAGACGACGACGAGGTCTCGGTCTCGGGCAGCGGCGGCAAAGCCAGGGGTCCATCCCGCCTCTCAGCACCAGCAAGGTCCTGATCGTCGCCCTGGGAGTGAGGCTGGCGCTGGCTAGAATCGGCGCCACTGGTGTTGGGACTGGCCTCCGCGGGGGCGTTTGATGTCGTTTTTTTAGGGGCCGGTGACGTGCTTTCCGTGGGGTGGTGCTCTCGGTGGCTACCAGTACCAGTACCCGTACCACCACCGTTCAGGTTCCTCTCTTCACCTTCACCTTGACTTGCAGCTGGCCACATTGTCGTCGACTGAGGGCCCGATGATGTGCTCATCCTGCTTTTGAACGTCAACCACGTTGTCGTCGCGGTGGCGGCGGCGGCGGTCAGCGCGGGTGACGGTCTGAATGATTGGCGGGTTGAGAGTCGGAGAGGCGCGTACAGACGTGGGATGTAGCCGAATGGTGGTCTCATTTGGGCAATGTCTTGCGTAAATGTTTTCGTTTTTGGTATGATAATTATAGCGAGTTTTGAGCCTTTAAAACCCGAGGTTTGGGGGGTTTGAAGTTTGAGAGGGCTTGTTGATGAGTTGTGGTGAGTTTATTGACGATGCTCAAGGTGAGAGTGAGGTGGGTCTCCCCCCGCTTGGCGTCCGAGTTGCCAAAAGCATCTGCTAGCAATTTCCAGACCCCGTCGGTTTTTCTCCCTCTTTCTTGTCTTGTTTGATCATTCCCACAATCCAAACCACGAAAGTGGATGACAAACTCGTCTGCCTGCCTCTCTATGCATTCTCTCTCTTTATCACAATTACAATCGTCGCTATTACTCATAAAAGCTTGGGTTTCTCTTGGCATATTCTTTGCTTTGATACGCGTTACAGTGCTGATGAAGAAGATAAGTTGAAATATATCAGCGGCGGGTTGTCTTATCACACACTTGCGGATGTACCAGCCTTTACATCGTAACTTGGTCACATTTCCCCCCACGCGCGCGGACCAATATTGCAATTTGGTTAAGTCTCATTGAAGAGAACATTTAGTCTATGGTTACTATTATATTCTCCACTGATGGGGAAGGTGGTACATCAACCTCCTCCGATGGTGTGAGCCATGCAATCATGGTCTAGGACAACTCATTGCCTGTCTCTAAGGGAGATCTATCCAGAAAGCCTTCCGTTGGGTATCAGGTATCGGCTTGCGCCATCAACGGCCCTTGTGAGGGGCCCGGAAGCTGATTCTATCCTCCCAAACGCCATTGATGCCCGAAATTACTAACAAAGGAGAGAAACATATGCAGCTGGTCATTCTTAGCGACGGCTTTCGCCGCTTGTGCGACGACGGTCAAGACGTCTCACTACCGCACCGAGAACGACCTTGAGGATGTTGTCTGCTGTGAGCACACCGCGGGTACCGTTCTCCCAGGTAACGGTGTCAACCATGTCTCGAAGATCGCCGTCATATCTGCCGACGAGGTCATCGTCGAGCTCTCGGAGCGCCTCGCGGGCACCAGGCTCGTTGCCGACCTGGAAGAACTGCACACCAACCTGGTGCATGGGAGCGTCGAGCTTGTCGAGCTTCTTGGCTGCGTACAGGATGGTTGCCTCAACGTCATCGGAGGGGGCACCGTCGGTGATGACGATGAGGTTAATGGGCTTGACGCTCTCGATGTTGTTCTTCTTGGTCTCGAGGAGCTGAAGATAAGGTTTGAGGATGGCGAGGAGGCGCTGGCCCGTAGGCGTGCAACCGCGGGGACGAACCGACGTGAAGATACCCTCGACCGTGTCGGCACGACGGATTCCGTAGTAGCCACCGGCAGCTTTGCCCTCCCGAGGGCTTCCACCTGCCTGGTTCTCATGGTTGAGGAAGTAGAGGTCAATGCCGTCCTCGTCATGTGACGTGCAGATCGGGGCGACGTTGCGGATGACACCCTGAACCTCGGGCCACGAACGGCCGGACATGGACCCCGAATCGTCAATAACGAAAATGGTGTCGAAGGAGGAAAGGAATGCGTAGGGGTCCTCTGGCGTCGAAACGCTCATGCCGGTGCTGGACATGATGGAAGCGGCGGCGGACGGGGTGGTGGACAGGGCGGATGAGGGGCTTCTAACAGGTCCACCATTGCTTGCCAGGTATCCGTTTACCGATGGAGCGGGTGCTGTAACCGAGTAGGCTGGAGGAGCATGGTCGGGAGCTGAAGGCTTATCAGCGCTTTTGGTCGGAGGTGGAGGAGTCACGATAATCTGGGGTGAAGACTCACGGTTGGTGGGTTGGACTGCAGGGCTTGAAAAGGTATTGTTGCTGCCGGGTATCGACATGTTTGATTGGGATTTCTGCCTGGACTTGCGAGATGACTTGCGACCAATCTTCTGCTTGAAGGCTTCGAAGATAGACATGCTGATCTCAGGCTTCTCGCTGGTGGAGAAGGAGTTTGAGGAAGGGAAAGAATCGCCGAGGTAAGGCATTGTGAAGGTAGTGTGTGCTGCTGCTGCAGTGAAGTTGTTATAAGTGTCAAAGTGGGGCAGAAGCCGTCGGGGAAGGCGATGTGGTTGTTCGTTCTCAAAGGAAAGTTTGCGGTAAAACAGAAGTTTCCCAAAGTTTGACTTGATGGGGTGAGCTATTCAGTCAATATTATGGGCCACAAAGGTGTAGTGTCAAGGTGTCAAATGAGTTGATATCAGTCTTTGTTGTTGTCAATGGTTTGGGTTTCATGGGTATGCTGAGTTACTTCAAACCAGTCATCTTATATTGATTCTATCCATATCAAAGGACTCAGAGCCTTGACAAAGTAGTCTGCCTGATATTCAGCCTTAATTTGAAGTTGAAATACCGCTTTGGCTATCTTCTCTTAAAGAGATTATGACCTTTGAGCCTCAGGGGCATTGCTCTCGTGACTGCGGAGAGGGCTTACAGGGTGAAGTCACAATACGCAGTTTGATTGGGCAGTGTACCTCAGCCACATACCTAGGCTTTTTTGGCACAGCCGTGCCTCCGCCTACTTCCAATGTTCAGACTTGGAGAAAGTGCGCCTGATAGCCAACACGTGGTTCGCCCCTCCAAACTTGTTAGAAATTGAGTCCCTGGATGCCTCGGACGGACCTAGATCTTTCCAAGTCGAAAGCGTCATGATTTGTCTACCCAGATTCTTGGGAATCAGATTGCATCGTGGCGTTTGGGGAAAAGAGACGACAAACGGTCACGTGACATTTTGGCTGCCTCTGGCCGGCCTGCATCGTCGGCCAATGAGAACCTGGGGCCAGGACTAGCCACGTCCAGCCACAGAAGGTTCGCCACTTTGGAGCTTACACCAGAGAGCCACCCCGGATCGCAATTCTAGACCCGACTAATGCATGACAGAAAATATCGGTGTATCCAGTTTTATGTCTTATCGAGCTGAGCAGACGAATGATATGCAAATTTAGGTCAGCTGTGGAAGGTCAGCCGCCGTACCTACTCATGTGGGGCTATAGCTTTTCTCCACCAGTCCAAGACAGATTTGCCGCAGGCCCGTATGAACCCGACCGCCTACTCCCGAGGACCGACAAAGTTCCGTCTTTGCTTGCCTCCTTTCCATCTTTTCCATGCTCATCCAGCTCACGGCGTTGACCTTCCTCCACAACCGCCCTATCCGCCACCATGTTGCGAAGCTCTGTGTATAGAGCCGGCACCCGGGTGCTTCACACCTCAAAACCTACAAGCTCATCATCATGCTTCTCTACCATCGCGTCGCGAACTTCGACGAGGAAGCTCGCGGCTGCCCGTCGCCCCCTGGCCTTGAACAGCCAACGTCACTATGCGAGCGCGACCGACAATGCCCCGAACCCCAACGATAACTTCCTGTCCGGCAACACTGCCAACTATATTGATGAGATGTACATGCAGTGGAAGCAAGACCCCAAGAGCGTGCACGTCTCATGGCAGGTCTACTTCAAGAACATGGAGAACGGCGACATGCCCATCGCCCAGGCTTTCACTCCTCCCCCTTCTCTGGTTCCTGGAGCCATTGGTGGCGTTCCAGCACTTGGTGCTGGCCTCGGCCAGGGCTCTGAGATCACAAACCATCTCAAGGTCCAGCTTTTGGTGCGCGCCTACCAAGCTCGAGGCCACCACAAGGCCAATATCGACCCCCTTGGGATCCGAAACGAGTCTCAGGGCTTCGGTAACATCAAGCCCAAGGAACTGACTCTCGAGCACTACCAATTTTCCGAGAAGGACCTCGATGCCGAGTATGAGCTTGGACCTGGCATTCTGCCTCGCTTCAAGAAGGAAGGCCGCGAGAAGATGACTCTCCGCGAAATCATTGATGCTTGCGAGAAGATTTACTGCGGTTCCTACGGCATTGAGTTCATCCACATTCCCGACAGAGAGAAGTGCGACTGGTTGCGCGAGCGAATCGAGGTCCCCCAGGCTTTCAAGTACTCGATCGACGAGAAGCGCCGCATCCTCGATCGTCTCATCTGGAGTTCCAGCTTCGAATCCTTCCTTGCCACGAAATACCCGAATGACAAGCGTTTCGGCCTTGAGGGCTGCGAGACTCTCGTTCCCGGTATGAAGGCCTTGATCGATCGCAGCGTTGACTACGGCGTCAAGGATATCGTCATCGGCATGCCTCACCGTGGTCGCCTGAACGTTCTGAGCAACGTTGTAAGAAAGCCCAACGAGTCCATCTTCAGCGAGTTCGCTGGAACTGCCGGCGCCGAGGACGAGGGCTCTGGTGATGTCAAGTACCATCTTGGTATGAACTTCGAGCGCCCTACGCCCTCCGGCAAGCGCGTCCAGCTCTCTCTTGTCGCCAACCCTTCTCACTTGGAGGCTGAAGACCCCGTTGTGCTTGGCAAGACTCGCGCTATCCAACACTACAACAACGATGAGAAGACGCATCGCACTGCCATGGGCGTTCTGCTCCACGGTGATGCTGCCTTCGCCGCGCAAGGTGTCGTCTATGAATGTCTTGGATTCCACTCTCTGCCTGCCTTCTCTACTGGCGGTACAATTCACCTCGTAGTCAACAACCAAATTGGTTTCACCACCGATCCCCGTTTTGCCCGCTCCACGGCTTACTGCACCGACATCGCCAAGGCCATCGACGCGCCTGTCTTCCACGTCAACGCCGATGATGTCGAGGCTGTCAACTTCGTGTGCCAGATGGCTGCCGACTGGCGTGCTGAGTTCCAGCAGGATGTCATTGTCGATCTTGTTTGCTACAGAAAGCACGGTCACAACGAGACCGATCAGCCCTCCTTCACCCAGCCTCTCATGTACAAGCGCATCCAGGACCACGAGTCTCAGATTGCCATCTACGTCAACAAGCTTCTCGAGGATGGCAGCTTCACCAAGGAGGATATTGAGGAGCACAAGCAGTGGGTGTGGGGTATGCTGGAGGAGAGTTTCTCCAAGTCCAAGGAATACCAACCCACCTCCAAGGAATGGACCACCTCTGCGTGGAACGGCTTCAAGTCTCCCAAGGAGCTTGCGACTGAGGTCCTCCCTCACAACGAGACAAGCGTGGACGGACAGACCTTGAACCACCTCGGAGAGGTCATCGGCAGCACCCCCGAGGGCTTCCAGCCTCACCGCAACCTCAAGCGTATCTTGTCTAACAGGACCAAGTCTGTTGTCGAGGGCAAGAACATCGACTTCCCCACTGCTGAAGCCCTTGCGTTCGGTTCCCTCGTCACTGAGGGTCACCACGTTCGTGTTTCCGGTCAGGATGTTGAGCGTGGAACTTTCTCTCAGCGCCATGCTGTCTTCCACGATCAGGAGACCGAAGACACCCACACTCCCCTTCAGCACGTCAGCAAGGACCAGGGCAAGTTTGTCATCTCCAACTCCTCCTTGAGCGAGTTTGGTGCCCTCGGTTTTGAGTACGGCTACTCGCTGTCTTCTCCCAATGCTCTCGTCATGTGGGAGGCGCAGTTCGGTGACTTCGCCAACAACGCGCAGTGCATTATCGATCAATTCATTGCTTCCGGTGAGGCCAAGTGGATGCAGAGAACTGGTCTTGTTGTGTCCCTGCCTCACGGATACGACGGCCAGGGTCCGGAGCATTCTTCCGGTCGTCTCGAGAGATGGCTGCAGCTGAGCAACGAGGACCCTCGCGTCTTCCCCTCCCCCGAGAAGCTGGACCGCCAGCACCAGGACTGCAACATGCAGGTCGCATACATGACCAGCCCTTCCAACTTGTTCCACGTCCTTCGTAGACAGATGCACCGTCAATTCCGCAAGCGTAAGTTCACTCTGATCATTTCATCTCCGTAGGTCCTATCGCTCACATTTACTAGCTCTCATCATTTTCTTCTCCAAGGCTCTGCTTCGCCACCCCTTGGCTCGTTCCAACATTGAAGAGTTCTCTGGAGACTCTCACTTCCGCTGGATCATCCCCGACCCTGAGCATGAGACTGGTGTCATCAAGCCCAAGGAGGAGATTGAGCGCGTCATTCTCTGCTCTGGCCAGGTCTGGGCTACTCTGTCCAAGTACCGCGCCGACAACAAGATCGACAACGTCGCGTTCACCCGTATCGAGCAACTGAACCCCTTCCCCTGGCAACAACTGAAGGAGAACCTCGACCAGTACCCCAACGCCAAGACCATTGTCTACTGCCAAGAGGAGCCCCTGAACGCTGGCGCCTGGAGTTTCGTCCAGCCCCGCCTCGAGACTCTGCTCAACAACACTGAGCACCACGACCGCAAGCACGTCATGTACGCTGGCCGTGGCCCTAGTGCATCTGTTGCCGCTGGTAACAAGGGTCTGCACAACAAGGAGGAGCAAGAGTTCCTGGAGATGGCTTTCTCTGTAAAGCAGGACAAGCTGAAGGGCGAGTAAACATTACTTAACATCAAACAGACATGACATAGCGGGTGAATGGGAAGAGCCTAAGGACAGGCACGGGCAGGATCAGATTAGTGGGAGCGACGCCTTCCTTGTACAATTGTAAAATATACCTCTGAGTAATACCACAGACGTCTCCATGGTGGAGAGATTGTGCCATTACAAAAGTCAGGTAGGAAGGCATGGAAGAAGACCTGGCTGGTAAAAAGTACATGCCGTCAGAAAACAGCCTCTGATACTTGATGTTAGAATCCAGTTCATTTGTTCAAGTAATGCAACCATTTCCCATATTGACGATCATGAAGCCGTGTGGCAAGCTTGTTCAAGAACACATTGCCGATCTGGCGCAGTTTGACGTTACATTCCATTGCTTGCAGAGATAAGGATACCATCCCGAATTCTTGTTTGTGCACAAGGTATTACCAGGAATCCTCCAGAAGGTGTAAGTAAGCAGACGGGCACTTTGCATGGCCCAGACCGCCTTTCATATTCGCCTTTTCTGCCGACTGCTCAGATTCCAGCACTTACCTAATCGCCCAAGTCAACCTCCGTCCAATAGATATCGCCTAAATACCACTCCCTCGACTGGCTTGCATCATCGGCCGTCTTCCGTCTTTGACAGGGGCCGTGACGGGGCCAAGATGGCGCTAATGAGGTCTCGGTACACGGGGCCCAGCGAACTATGCACTCGCCGTTCGCCGGTTTCGTGAGATTCTGCAATCACTGTTTCCGGTTTTCAGAGATTGGTCGAAGGTTATTTTATTTCATTTCATGTACTTAACCCCGCTGAGTGGCCATATTTCACTAAGTAGCGGCTCATTCTGCTGGCCGTGACTGCGTTGCCCGATTCTGCTGATTGGATTCTTCGAAGACTTTCATCACTCTCGGATCTGGAGATACTGTCAAATTCGATGATCGGGTGCGCCGGCCCACGACGACAACACAAGCGCCCTGAATGTCCCGGCAAGTCGTGTGCGGGATCCGCCCTAGCTCCCACGATTGGGCCAGGAGTTCAACAACCCAGAGACGCTGTGCAACATCCGCTATGTGTACCGTGAATATTTACGATGAATCGAGATATCGTGCCCCTTAGTAGACTCTGGAGACGGTCTGGCAAGGCCGATTCCCCCCAGAAGTTAGGCCCTCACGGCCCTCAATCCGGGACGGGAGACGGCTACCTGCAGTGATTGGGCACGAATCGCATTCGCAACTGGGTACGGGGCAGGCCGCGATGCGGAGATCCGCTTTGGAGCAGGACACTGACTCTAGACACCGCTTTTTTTACGTACTGTAGTAGTACCAACCCGAATCGTTGACGTTGGCGAGGAAGAACGAGGGGCATAGGAGGGGCAACTTCCGGGCACAGAAACGCGCTGGCGTTGCGTTCCTTGATGAGTGTCCTCGCGAAACATAGTACTGTCCTCAGCGCTGCGTTCCCTCTCGTCACCGAACATGTCTACAATACATACTACCTAGATCGACGATCCGGGGCTTATTGGGTTTTGCCTGAAGACGGCACAAGCGGCACGGATTCGGCGCGGACTAGACTGTGACTGGGCTCTGGCTGTAGACCCAAACACTGTTTGTTGCTGTTCTTCTTTCAGGACCTGTTTTGACCCCCCGTCGCCCTGCGAGACTCGGTGACCATCCGCCCAACTTCGTCAAGTGACAGTCCCACGTTCATCTTCGAGAAGGAAGAAATCGGTTCTCTGGCCTATCAGCTTCCCTATCGCATTCTGAATACTCCACCTCTGGAAGAGCCTGCATGGGAGCTGCATTCTTGACCTGCAGGGATTCCCAAGCCAACGTCAGGACCCAAGTGCCGGTGAAGAGAAGCCTTCCAGTTCGCAGCTTCCCCGTATAAGACGTTTTCTGTGCCCCTCGCTGCTTCACCTTGAAAAGGTGAAGAGCCCTTTTTTCCCCCTTTTGTTTTTAGCTTCACCTTTCCCGCACCTGCACTCTCCCTTCCTCACCTTCCCCAGATTTTGCCCCAGCCAGGTGATATCGGAGAAACCTCTTTCACCGACCACAAAACTCCCGTCTTTCCCCCCTTTCAATCGCAGCTTCTACCTATATCCAGCTGTTGGTACCTTCCACCGTCACTTTTACAACAAAGCCCACACACATCAGCTGCGCGCAACAAGGCAACATGTTCAGCAATCGCAAGTTCTCCATCAACCGGCACACCGGTGTGCCCAAGCCGAGACGCTTCAGTGTCGGCGAGGTTGGAGGCAACGGTAAGAATGAAACCCTTTCCCCAATTCTCTACACATTCCACTCCAGCTATCCGAACGATATCTTCCTCTGCTCGATATTTTTATGGCTTCAATCAAGCTATGCAGATACGCACAACAGAAAGGATGGGAGAAAAGCTTGTTGTCGAGCTGCGGTGTTGAGTGCGGGGTAGGAGCTGAGCAGAGTTGCCCCTCGTTCTCCACACAGCTCCAACTCAAGCTCGATATCATTCTTGGCTTTCCGATCAGCGCTCTTTAGTTGTGATAGCTTCACCACAAGAAAAAAAAAAGCTGACATTGCCCCTCAGAGGTCCAGTCAAAGACTCACAGACAGTTCCGCAATGCCCACGAGGGCCATCAACCCCACGCTGGTCTCGATGCTAGCCGTGCTTCCACTGGTGTCGTCTGGTGTACTGAGCGCGCCTCCGAGTACGGTTTCCTCGAGGAGCCCGAGGCTTGGGCCAACTTGGGCCAGGGTGCCCCCGAAGTTGAGGATGACATTGCTGGATGCTTCCCCCGTCCTACCACTATCGACATCTCCATGGCCGGTCGCGAGTATGGTCCTACTGCTGGTATCAAAGAACTCCGCGAAGCCGTTGCCAACCTCTACAACGTCATGCACCGCGAGGGAAAGGACAGCAAGTACACCTGGGAGAACGTCGCCATCGTCCCCGGTGGTCGCGCCGGTCTGATCCGTATCGCTGCCGTCCTCGGAAACTCTTACCTCTCCTTCTTCTTGCCCGACTACACGGCGTACAATGAGATGTTGTCTCTCTTCAAGAACGTACGTATCTATTTCTGAAGTTGAAGCATAAATACAAGTAGCATCTGACACCGGGTACTCAGTTCTCCGCCATCCCCGTCCCTCTGGCTGAGGAGGACGGCTACCACATCCACCCCGACCGCATCGCCGAGGAGATCTCCCGTGGTTCCTCTGTCATCCTGACCTCGAACCCCCGCAACCCCACCGGTCGTGTTGTTGCCAACCCCGAGTTGGCCGAGATCCAGGATATCTGCCGTGGCCGTGCCACCTTCGTCAGCGACGAGTTCTACTCTGGCTACAACTATACGAGCAACTGTGACGGCAGTACCATCTCTGCTGCCGAGAACGTCGAGGATGTTGACGAGGATGATGTTCTCATCATTGACGGCTTGACCAAGCGCTTCAGACTTCCCGGCTGGCGTGTCGCGTGGATCATTGGTCCCAAGGGTATGTGATTGATGTTCATGAATTCGATGAACCACTTGCTAACATGGCTTGCAGAATACATCAAGGCGTGAGTCATCCTTCCATATTTCTAGGATATGGTGACTGTGAGATCGGGATCAGGGACTGAGATACTGACACAACTTTAGCATTGGTTCTTGCGGTAGCTACCTCGATGGTGGTGCCAACCACCCCTTCCAGGAGGCGGCGATTCCCATGCTCGACCCTGCTCTCGTCAAGACAGAGATGATCTCCCTGCAGAGACACTTCCGCGTAAGTCAAGTGAGCGGCTTTGGGTTTGACAGTTTCTTACAAGCAAATAGGACAAGCGTGACTACGTCGTTCGCAGACTCCGCGAGATGGGATTCATCATCAAATACGTCCCTGACTCCACCTTCTACCTGTAAGTTACTGCCGTTGAAAGAGCTGTGAAGATGCGCCTAGACTGACAACGTCTAGCTGGCTTAACCTCGAGGGTCTCCCCGAGGCTATTGCCGACGGTCTCAACTTCTTCCAGGCCTGTCTTGAGGAGAAGGTCATCGTTGTTCCTGGTATCTTCTTCGACCTGAACCCCTCCAGACGTCGCGATCTCTTCGACAGCCCTTGCCATCACTTCGTTCGTTTCTCCTACGGCCCCAAGATGGAGACCCTGAAGAAGGGATGCGACGGTATCGAGCGCGTCGTCAACAAGTTCCGCAAGTCGTCGGACTAGACGTAATAGAGTGGTTCTAGGATAGAGAATTGGATGGAGTTGGAAACAGACGACTCACGACAGATGAAGATCAAATACCCTAGTCTTCATTGCCTGCATGTATACACGAAGACGGCACAGCTGATGCCGAACTGACCAACGCGCCAGTAGAGCGTGTTGGCTTGAATGAATTATCGCAACGCACTCAAGCTTGTCTTTCTTTTCTAGTGATGTAAAAGCGGCGATGGAAAATTTCATCTCACGGGCATGTCGATTACTCGCAACCCAACACATTACAGCGTGATGAGCCTACTATGGCAGAGATTCCTTGGGCAAATCGTTGAAGCCCCGCCTAGTTCTCTTACCTGCAGATCTACCTTGTCACGTCCACGTTTTCAACCCACGATCAGCCGGGAGAGATGTTTTTTTTTTTTTTTTAAAAAGTTTTATGATTTTTTTTGTACTTTCCTACCGCCAATTTTTTCTGAGCCAGATCCAGTCCCTTGGCCACGGCACATGTTTCCTCGAAATTCAGCTAGAAACTTCAACGACCAATGTAGCTAGCCAGGGACCTTCCCCCCTGGAAACAAAAGGAAAAGAAACCCGAAAAGCAAATGAATCTTTTGTGATTTCGTCGTTTTCTTCCGCAAGTGCCAATCTCGAACCCAATTTTTGTGTGTATCCGTCCCAATCCTCCGAGATGTTCCAAAGGTCTCGCAAGTTGGTTCCCAATGGAGCTGAAGGAATCGGGGACGCATGTCCAAATACTCCAACATGTCGAGAGAGGGGGAAGGAGTCCAAGTCGTGAATTCCCAAAGATCATTAAGGCTTTTGTCGTTTTTGGTCCTATAGACCGCGTCCAGTACTGTACTGGTGAAGGCACTGTTCTCTGCGTGTTGAGAACGTTGCCTGTTGGTAACACTGCTCTCTCGATATGGTGAGAGTCTTGCTGATGATAATAATGATGATATTGACTCTGATTTTGAGCTCTCGGAAGGCAACATTGGCGGTGATAAAATCGCCGCTCTTTCTTTTTTTCCTTTTTATGGTTGCCGTCGGAGAGCCCTGTAGAGAGACCAGGAGATAGCAAAATCGCAAGTGTGTCGTGAACCGTAAGTCGTACATCGGCTTCCTCGTTCTTAGAGGAAGCTTCAATGGTGAAGAAGAACACAGAGTGAAAGCAACGAAGTAGGTTTGACGCGAGACCACCGACTACTTCATGCAAATTACGTGAGCGCTGGTGATGGAGGCAACAGAGATGGAAGTGCCCGTATCATTGCGGACAGTGATGACGGGAGTAACCACCAATTGCACGCGCCAATGTTCAGCCTGTAGAAGCTGCGGGCCAATGTTGGGCGCGATGCCAACCATGGTTCCGGTGTTGAACCGCGCTCCAGTGTGGGGGAAGCGGAACTCGAAAGTCCATCTGGAGGTAAACATTTTCGCCGAGATGGACCATGCCTTCTCGCACATCTGGCGAAGCACCTCGTCAGCCCTCTCGAGGTCGGGACCACCTTCTGACTCGGGCAGCAACAAAGGCGAGAGCATCTCGCGGAGCTCAGCCTGGAAGTACTCGATGCGGTGGTTGCGGTAGGCGTCGTAGCGCTCGTGGTTGACGCAAGAGTTGACAATAGATGCAACTCGATCAATACACACCTGAAGAGCACCGCCTTGACCCGCTATATAGGTATGTCAGCAATAGTCTTGCATCATAAGAAGTGAGCGATCAAACTTACCAGGGAGATTCTTCATCTCGTGGCGAATCTCACGCAACTGGCGATCAGCATCAACCGAAAACCCCTCCCAGGCCTCAGAAGTGAAGATGCGATTAACTAGGAGGTCAATCATGGTGCGAGAGATGAGACAAGCGCGGCTCATGGGGTCGTTCATGTGCTGGCGGATGTAGGACCACGCCTGCTGCTCTCTGAAGGGAGCATAGAGCTTCATCATGTAACGAAGGATGGCAACATCGCTAGAGCGCGACAGAATGCTGAGATCAACGTCCGAGGCAAACTGGAGCACCTAGCTCCGCGCAAGACCCCAGACGCCTTCAAGAGCACGAGCGTAGCGTTCATTGTCGCCGCCTTCGTCCTCACCAAAGCCGTTGCCGGGAGCCAAGGGACTGGTGACTGCATGGCTAGGGCCATTACCACCCTGGCCAAAGGGACCGGGACTGAAAGCTCCTTGTTGACGGATGTTAGCCGTATGGTAACTGTTACCGGACGAGTTGGGGCCGTGGCTACGAGTGCGCTGCGGAACCATCGAGTAATCATTGTTGTATCCCATCTGGTTCGAGCCCATACCGTACTGGGAACCATGAGAGTCTTGACGATCCGAAGGAACTAGAGGAGACGGGCGACTAAAGCCACCACCATGCCCTTCAAAGTTGCTGTAGTGAGCAGCGGAACGAGGGGTCGGGCTGCGGAAAAGCGTGCTGCCTCCGTTGAAGTTATGGCGAGAGCCAGCATTGGATCCTGGACCGTAACTGATGTTGTAAGACGGATCGTTATGGAAGCCACTGTTGTCCGTGTTGCCGTATATGCCTGGGTGGAACTCAGGAGCATTAGGACGGAACGAGTTGCGGTGGCCCATGGCAGTGCCAGGGCGAGACGGCACGTCGAACTGACCTCGGTGGTTGCTGGGACCCGCAAAGCCGTTGGGCTGCTGGAATCCGCCACCGAAACCGCTCTGAATGTCCCGGGTTCGCGGGTAAGAACCGGCATGCTGAGTATGGGCGCCGCTAGATGCGTGTGTCCAGCCCGCGGAAGACCCAGAGCGACGACCAGGGCCATGCATGCCCGGGAAAGAAGTGGGAGGGCCATTCTGGGCAGGTGGAAAGCCCACCATGTTCTGCTGGTAGTGGAACGGCTGCATAGCATTGTCCAAGGTGGGGACCATCTCATGAGATTCAGAACCACGAGCAAGACGTGCATCTTGAGATTGCTGGAGCCGCTTAGCTGGCTGGGGCTGGTTTTCCTTCTCAAGCGCGGCGATGCTCTCGGTACTGAGAATGGCAATAGCCCTGGAAGAGTTCTCACGCTCTCCGTGCATCCAGCGGGAGCTGGGGCGGTCCATGAAGTCCTTGAGAGTCTGTTTTGGTGTCATCAGCTGAGCCATTTCTTCAAATACTAAGAATCATGGAAACTTACCTGAAGCAACTCAGTCACAACCTGCTCTCTATCCTCATCTTCCTCGTTGTTGCGAGGATCGAGGCGGGCCAAGAACTCGAGAACCGTGTTCTTGTGGTTCTCCTGCTCGACGTGGTAGCGCGCAAGACGATCCTCCAACTCCTCGTACTTGCGGTGAACCTCAGCAACATCACGCTTAAGCTGCTCACGCTCCTCGGAAATGATGCTGGCCTCCAATTTGTTGGAGCAAAGAACCTCGTCGTTGTACTCGAGATCGATTCTGATATCCGCGATCTCATTGACAGCCTGGCGGAGAATGTCATTAACCTTTTGCGAGTATACCTGAAGGCCATCGCAAAGGTCGTTGGCAATGTTGGCCGGAATACCAGGAGTGCGGCGGATCGCCTGCTGGGTAGTCATGATTCCGGCTTGAACTTGCCGAGCGGGGATCCAAGCAGGCTTTCATCTCTCGGTCAGTAATTTGGTCTAGCGCAATGAAACAAAGCCGAAATAGGGAAAAACGGAAGATGCAAGGTGAGGATGAATACAGGGCGATTAGAAGCCCCGGCTGAAGGTGAAAGAAGGCCCTAAGGTGAAGTATAATGCGACTTACATGGTCTCTAGCCAGCTCGGAGCGGCGACTCTCCCGGAGAGGGCCAGCCAAAGGTCCGTCAATCTGACAGTGAGTAGCCATCTTTGCGATAAGCTGGTTCGTCTTTGCGAGTTCAGGGTTGGGCTTAAGCTTCGTTTTGTCTTCAACGGGGGCAGGAACCTGTTGGAGTCTTCGTGTGTCGTTGTTCAAGGCACCCGGAGTATGATAACCAGGAGTCTTGATGTTGGGCGTAATTCCGAAGTCTCGGATAGATGTAGCAGACGGCAATGGGCCAGATCGATGTCCCAAGGCGTTCGGCTGTACGGCAGAACGACCAGTTGGAGTTGCAAATGCCGTTCTCTCAGAGGGGAAAGAAGCCTTTCCTGTTGAGAAATGGGAAGGATTTCGACTGACAGCACGATTTGAGTTCTGACTGTTTCCCTGATCCTGACTCCTGGCGGAATTGAGGTTCGTCGGCTGGAACTTCGGTGGCTGGGGCAGCTGGTAGTTCTTGGGATTGGGCTGGGAATTTTGGTCAGAAAGATCGGCCGCAAAGACATCTGAAGGTGATTGGGCATCGCGAATGGTGCTATCAGAAGACGAGCTGGGAGTGTTTCGGAAGGGTTCGCGAGTCGCCGCAAACTGAGGCGAATGCTCGGCGAGACAAACGCCTCCGCGTCCAGAGCCAGAGCTCGCGCTGCCTGGGTGGGCCATCGTGACTACGCAAGGCCGATTGCGTTGGAAAGATATGGCCGTTCAGGAGGTGTAGGACGAAGTGAAAGGCAGTGTGGAAGAATGTGGAAATACTCGAGGAATATTTCTAGGCTGGTGATGAATGGGCGAAGAGGTTGAGTAATCGAGAAGCTCTGGAAATCGAGGGTGGGATGTAGAAGTGGTGGAGGGGTACGATTTGAAAAGGAAAAGTGAAAAAGTTGATATCTTCCACCAAGGCAGGAGCAGCCCACACTAGCTCCTTACGGGCAACCAGGAAATTTCGAGGAGAATACACACAGAGATGGGTAGGGTGAAGTAGGCGGTGTCCATTCTACCACCTCGCCTAGGTGAGTCCGGTGACATCCCTGAATCTATGCACCTTGCCAAATAGCCAAAACATACTCATCAACCCACTTGGGCTAGCCTATAGCTGAGCCAGAGCCATTTGACACTAGAAGAATGAGATGAATCAATGAGGGGGATGTGGATAATTGAACAATGTGCAAGCTTGTCCCCCAGACACTTGTCTTCAAGGCCACAGAGGAAGAGATGGTGACGGCCACTTCAGTCACCACAGTGACTCGAGCCATATGGCCTAGCCATGTAGAGTTTGTAGCAGTAGGAGAAAGAAAAGCAATAAGGTGAAATGAGCGAGCGAGCGGAAAGATCACAGATTAATGAGAATTGCCACATACCGAAACAGCAAGATTGTAAAACTCGACGGTGCCGTCGAATGTTGAAGCAAATATTTGCCCTTATCTAGAGAATCGCTGGAGCTATAAAGCCAGTGATCTGCAAAGTATGAGCAAGTCAAGCAAACTCTGGCGACTCCGTTTTGACAATCTGTTCTTCTTGTCAGCTGGACCTCGAGAGCAAATAAAGGAGAGAGAGCTTACCGAAGGGTCGATGGAGGACAGCAAAGTCGTTCCAGCGTTCTTCTAGTGATCTCAGGTCGAGCCTTGGTGTCTAGAGGCAAGCTCAAATTCCGATGAGAGGCACAAGGGCTGGACGGTCGTCTTCTGAAGCTCCTTGGAGAGCAAACGATGTTGTCGGGACGAAACCCTGAGCATAGCTGGTCAGTGAGCCGCATAAAGGGAGCAAAGTGATCAGAAGACGATAGAGGCGCCGATGGGAGTAGGAAAGAGTGTCCTTACCTTGGTAACGTTACTAAAGTGCTGTCTGCTAACGGAAAACGGCGTTTATCGACCAAGCAGGCGTCCAAAGAGAGCCTCTTGGAGCCGCAAGTTGGATGTATGGATTCGAACGGACGGAATTTCGAGAGGAGTTTGATGATGGAATTCGAGGCGTAAGGGAGAGAGAGAAGTAAGATGTGATAAGTATGGATGAGGGAGAGATGGATGGGCATAGATGATGTTGGAAGGAAGAGGTTGTGGCGAAGAAAGGATGGTGAGGTGGGCAAAGAAAGAGAAGAAGAGGGGGAGAAAAGTTTTCAGGTATCCTCAAAAGGGCGAGAGCTCACGACAATAGCTTGCACTAATACTGAAAAGGGCGAGAGCACGGGAGGAACAGACTTGGTTTACCCCTTAAGGAGCACGAGGAGACTACGAGGGCCAAGATATTTCAGGTATTCTCAAAAGGGCGGGAGCTTACGAGACGAACTTTCACCAATTCTCAGAGGGGCGAGAGCACAGGGCGAACTGAAATCGTATATATCCAGAAGGGTAAGAGAGAGTTATAGGGAGGAAGATATTTCATGTATGCCCAAAAGGCGAGCGCTCAGGGGCAAGGAGATTCCATTCACCCTCGAAAGGGTGAGAGTTTAGGGGAAAGAATTTGCATATGGTCCTTAAAAGGGCGAGAGCATGCGGGGATAGTCAGTTCTCCTTCTCGACATGACATTCTCACCTGAAGAGGCGGGAGTACTCAGGGGCTTCCCGCCATATCCAGATCTCACGATGCCTTCTTCCTTGACCTTGACATGTCGAAGGGGTTTGGTAGCTTTCGATGTTTTCAGGGGTTTGCGTATGTTCGTTTTTTTTCAAGTCATGCAGCAGGCTGACAAGGAAGTTAATCGAGTTTTAGTCATCAAATATGATTATGAAATTTGAGAGTCATTGTCATAATAACGGATGATGTTGTGGTAATCTCAGGTTTTGGTTCGATGGAAAGTTTCTGTGATGGTTGAATTCACATGTGAAGCCTTTGGACGAAAGAGCTGAATTGTGATGAGAGTACGATGAGGCATGAATTATAGTTTCAGACGAAAGGACGATGTTGTGCTACAGACGGAAAGAAACCCACAGGACTAATGAAGAAATTCTATCTAGCTTGGGAAGGCATGGGGTGTGAATTCATCACAATAAGGACACTGTTCCCCATCACGAGCAACAAGATGGAACTTACTGCCTTGACTAAGAGTCTTCTCGCACCCACGAGAATTCGGTGCGTGAAGGTAATCTTGATAAAGAGACTATCTTGGAAAGTGCCAAGATGAGCACATGACCTGACGAATTTGTAGGCTTGAAATTGAGGGGAAAGTAGCCTGCCTGGCTATGGAGGATAGCTGCGACATCGGTGCGATTGCCTCATGACTGAAGAAAGCCTTTATTTGTCTTGTGATCAAGCAGAAAGAGAAGAAGGGAAGAAGAAAGATAAGAGCAAGTGTATTTTTGCAAAAGCCTGCCTGCTCAGGCCCATGGAGTTGAGCAACGAAGGTAGCTGGCATAAACCGTTAGCGGTTTGGAAACCTCTCTAGTCGCACTCGAGAGCACTACTCGTTCGAGCGTACACAGGTCCGGCAGGGCCGGAGGTCATGGTTGAGGACACAGATAGCCGGAACCACAGTCGAGATATTGTCATATCACGGCACTATAACTAGGGCTGGTATGTACCTTAGACAGAACAAACAGACCGGAAAGGAGGTATACCCCTAGAGAACGACATAGGGCCTAGTACTAAGCTGTCGGAGTGAACGTTAACCAAGTACTCTCGCCGTCACAAGTTATGAATATCGCTGCCAGTTGTGTAGCCTCACAGCCAGCCTGATGGCCAGGTTGGACAACTTGAACGGGCAACGCGACTTGGGTGCAAGTAAGACGATAACGATATAACCAATGGCAGCTAGCCATCTCGCTGGCCCATTAAAGATCAAGCAAAATTTGCTAAGAACAATTTTAGTACCTAATGTGGTGCATAAACTACAGCTTCCTTTGTTCCTTACCCAGACGCCGTTTTGGCAACCGGTCATTCGCTCCGCATGTAAATGGAGGACTTGGAAGGGAACAACCTAAGGTACAAATATCAGCCAGAAAAATTTGGCGATCGAATGTGTAATCAAAGCTTTTTCTGCATAGAATCAGTGCGATGTCAACCTGCTCTCCAGTGGTGTGGGGTAGGTAGGTAGGTCTTGGTCTCTGACGTGACAAAGACTTGGCAGGACACGGATGGCGGCGGCCAGAGGCGGCTAAACCGTGCAAGTCTCGCGGTCGTCAGGGCTCGATCTAATGAGCGAGATTGGAGAACGGTGGCATCGGCCTAGTACTCTTGTGAGCGAGTGTAGAGTGGTATAAGTATGTAAAAACTTACTTTAGGGGGGTCCTAGACGAGTATTTTCGGGGCCATGGATTAGCTTTTAGATCGCTCGTGTGCGAGAGAACAAACTGCTGTAGACGGCATCTACAACAGGTGACGCGTCGATCATCCTGCCTCCAAAGTAACGACCGTTGAGGCCTCTAATGGCGTTCTCGCCACCTTGGACCTTGTCGAACTTTAGGTAGATGTCGCCCTTGGAGTTCGGATCGACGGAGATGTGTACGACGCGGCCGTATTTGGTTTCTGCTTCCTGTCGAACGTCATCCTCCAATTCCTTGACCCATTCCTCTCCTTCTTCCCTAATTGAATGTTAGCACCGTATGAAAAGGCGATTGGGAGAAAGTGGCGAACGTACTCTTCAGGGTCAAACATGTTGTGCAGGACAACGCATCGGCTGGCCATGTTGACATTGACCGGCAGGGGCTTGGTCTCAGTCTTTGGCTTCAACACTTGTCGCTCATCTACTCCGTTGGAAGCATCATCAGTCCTGGCAAGTTTTCTCATCAGGGCATCACGGCTATAGTTGTTAAAGTTGACACCGGCGACATCTGTGTCGTCAAGGGCGCTGGCGCCGCCAGACTTTTCGCTGTCTCTTCCACCCGCGCGGTCGAATGCCGATGTCTGGGGGCCGCGGCCGCCCGCACCAGAAAATGCAGAGCCTTGGAACTGTGGATTTTGGCCAGGAAATCTCTGCAAGATGTTGGCAGTGCTCTCAGGGGTAAACTTATCGTTTCCGAGGCCAACGCGAATCGGGCGACCGGCAAGATCGAAGCCGTTCATCTTCTCAAGGGCCTCCCTGGCTTGGCTAGCTTCGCGGTATCTATCAAGAGTTAGTACTGCCCTAAACATTGGGTAGGAGGGAACCATAACGTACTGCACGAATCCATAGCCCCGGCTGCGTCCATTATCGTCCTTCTGGAGCTGGACAAATTCAAGTTCGCCGAAGGGTTCAAAGACAGCCTGTAAATCCTGTTCGGTGACGTTGAAGTGTATGTTGCCCACATAGAGGCGGTGGAAGGGGATCGAGTTCGGGTGAGCGGTGGTGGTTTCGGAATTGCGAACCTGTCGGTTCTTCTCGGCCTCTGTGAGCTGGACGATGATAGGGATACCTAACAATTTCTGTCCGGTGAGTTGAAGCGCTTGAGTAACTGATTCCTCATTTTTGAATTCAACATAACCGACTCTGTAGACATGGTTAGCGAATCTTCGGCGAAAATCTGGTGAAACTTGAACATACCCCTTGGATCTTTGGCTAATGCGATCTTTGACAATCTGAGCCTCATTGACAGGGCCGACCTTCTCGAAGAATGCCTTCAGGTCGCGTGTGCGAAGACGGGCGGCGAGCTGCTGGACAAAGACAGTGCGGCGATCGCGTTCATCTTCAGTAAGTTGTGGTGTTGCCTCACGCTTGGAAGTTTCCTGACGATCGTCATCCCTAGCCCGGCGATGGTCCCCGGAGTAGCGATCGGAGCGATCACGGCGTTCGCGATAGTCATCGCGTGATGAGCGGTAGCGGTGGGGGGATCGAGATCGCGAGCGGGCTCGTCCGCCTCTGTAGTAATCACCATCTCCTCTGTGACGACGTGAGTGACGGCGGTCATCATCGCGGCTTTTGCTTCTCCGCCTACTCTTGTGGCTACCAGCGTCGCTCCGAGGGGTGGATGTCTTGATGTCGTCCGGGGTTCCGCGTCGGCTTCGTGTCGTGCTACGGTCGCGGCGTCCGTGGTCTCGACGACGACGATCGTAGTCCCTGTCGCGGCTTCCATCGCGGCCGCGATCGCGCTCCTTGCGCTCGGAACGGTCGCCGTTGGGGCGTTCTTCGACGTCGTGTGTCTTCGTCTCGGTAGAGCTTTTTGCGGTGGCGTCAAGCAACGCCTCTACGTCTAGGCCCGACATCTTGCGCTGATTTTCAAAGTGGAAGGGGTGAGGGAGGATGAGTCGGCGCTTCTTTCCCGTGTCTGCTGTCTAGCTTTTCTAGATGGCAGATTTTATCGTGGCGTGGTTGCAGAGGGGAAGAGCGAGGTAATTCGTGGGATGGAGAGGTTGGCGCAGCCACACGAAAGCGGCGGACAGAAATCTTGGGCCAGGCGAGACAGTGAATCGGGTTAGGGACAGCCCAAGCGCTGTAGGAGGACCTGCCAGCCAAGCAAATCTGGAAGGTGGCCACTGGCAGCAATCAAGGAGGGCGCCTTACGTAATAACAATGCTGACTCAGACGGGCAAGTTCCGCACACCACGGTAGCATCGTACCTCAGCTACCTTATCTTGCGCTAGACGACCAAAGAGTACCTACGAATAACGCTTGCCTATGAGAGACTGAGCCATGAGAAATACATCTTCCTGACCGTGAGCAACTTCCAGATCATGCAAACACGTGACAGAGAGTTGTTGAAGCTAAGGATGCAGCATTGCAACATGCCAAACTGACTTCAACCTGGAGGCCCGACCAGACCCCCTCTACGACTGCCCGTGAACACGTTTGCTGCAGCGGTTCGCCGTTCAGATGCGCCCATGGCGTTGACAAAGCTACTCCCATTCGTTCCTTCACCAAGCTATGATCCTCGCCATGGGCAAACATCAAACTCATCAACTGTTACGGCCATGGTTGGACGGGAAAAGAACGTGCTGTCTAGTCATTTTATGGCATAATCTCGGTGTGTGGTATCATTCAAAATACTCTGTACTAAAACAGCCTGTCATGAGAACATGACGGCTCTTCCTGGCCGCATCATAGCTGGCCAGGGCGCTGTAATACGCAAGGCTCATTCGAGCCATCTCCTAAGAACGCCCATGAAACGACCCCCCATTACAGCGTTAAAGTAAAGCCCTAAAAGCGTATATACATTGTGGGACACGTGAGGGTGAAGATGAGCAAACTTGCTCGGTTCGGTATTAGGAATAGGCCCCAGAAGTCGTCATCATGACATGATGTATGTTGCGGTCGTGTGCAGTGGTTTGAGTGGAATTAGTTGGCCTTGACAATGGGAGGAAGTTCAGTGCCGAAGATGCTGTCCCAGAACCGGCTGGTGACTCCGAAGCCAAGCTCGTAGTCGAGGAAGTGGTGCTGAAGGTGGTACTTCTTGAGCTCCTTGTACCACAGAGGAAGGTTCTGGTGATGCAGGAAGTAGTGCGTCAAGTCGTAGCAAATGTAGCCGAAGATACCTCCGCAGTAGACGGCCGTGGCAGCGTGCCAGCTGTACGAGAAAACCCAGTGCGCGAGCTTGTAGAACGGCGTGGCGAGAACAACGAACAAGGTGGGAGGCATGACTAGGCGGTACTTGTCCATGGGCAAGTAGTGGTGGATGCCGTGGAGGAGGAAGTGTGCAGTGATGCCAACCCGGTTGTCAGGAAGCCACCTGATTGAACATGTTAGCCTGATGGTCTTACCACGCTGAATCGAAACGGGGAAACTTACTTGTCGAGATGGAACAGGAAACGGTGCAAGACGTATTCGATCAAGCTCCAGAGGAAAAATCCGAAGCCCCAGTAGCAGACCTCCTGGAAGGTGCTATCCATGCCCTCTCTTGCCAGATAGGTACCGTAGGCGACAGGCGGAAGCCACGCGAGCGGGACTACCCACCAGGGTGTCTTTGACAGAGGCTCCAAGAAGTTGCCAAATAGAGGCGCGGACTCGCCACCCTTGTAGTGGCGAGGGCGGTGGACTTGATCGAGGTAAAACTCCTTGCTGAAGCCGCCGAACCAAATCTGAGGGAACAGAGGGCGGCTCAAGTCAAGGAACTTGTGTTTCTTGTAATCGTTTGTGTAATCCGTTTCCTTGCTCAAATCCTCCTCGCTGGCCATACCGGTCCGGGGATGGACCCAACGTTCGCCGTCCCAAAGCTCGCCATGCTCGTTCATCTGAACGCCCTCGGCTTCTTCAGTCTTCTCGATGGTTCCGTTGGCGTCGCCATTCGCCTTTTCGTTTCCTTTCGCTTGTCCATTCGTTTTGCCATTTGCTGTGCCATTGACCTTGCGAATCCCGTTGACGCCGTTGACGCCGTTAACGGTCTTCTGGTTGATGACAAAGCCAACCAGAGAGTCATCCAGGACCTCGTATGCGGCCTCGGAGTGAGGATGAGAGGTCGGGTCGCGCAGAATGGCATCGATGTCCTTGCCAGCGTAATCGTAGACGAGATCGGCTCCACCGGGATGATCTTGAGCGAAGTCGGTCACATCGTATACGTTGGAACCGATGGTGACATAGCAAGACTTCTTGGAGTTGTGAGCCTCAACCTCGGTGCGAGTGAAGGTGGGGAGAGTTCGCGCCGGCATGTTGCTGATTTTTTTTTTTGACGATTTGTTCGTGGCTATACGTAAACGGCAGAGAAGGATGGGTCGAAAGTATTACTGTTGTCGCTAGAGGATTTCTAGCGCCCGAGTCCAAAGTGGACGGAATAGGAGTTGAAAGACAACAAAGGGAGTGGACGGGTAGAATCGCAGCAGAAGTCGCAGTCGCAGGCCCTAGCGAAGGAGAGAGAGGGAGGTGAAAGTTTGGGGGAAGAAGTGGCACGGAGGGAAGAAGTATTAAGATGCGGTACGGTGTATGTATGGATGGGCGAAAGCAGGCGGTCTATGGTGAGAAAAAGGAGCCAAAAGCCGGGAGGGCCGGGAGGGCGAGGTTGAAAGGCCGGGGCGATGTGACTTGAGGCTCGGTGGGCACAGGGTGGTGAGAGGACGGAGACGGGTCGAAGAATTAATTTAGGGGGGATGTTTGATTTGGGGATCGGGGGACGTGAGGTGGACGTGGAGAGCAGGCGTAGTGGCAGGGCCAAGGAGAAGCTCTCTACGCGACTAGCAATCTCTCTAGGCCAGAAAAAAATACGGCCTGGTGGCGTTACTTTGGCACAGAACGGGACCTGGCGGAAGCTTGGACAGCCGATTCGTGGTTCCACCTGTTGACCACTTTCGCCCGGCTTTTCAGGGTTTACACTGTGCGAGTGTCTTTTCTGTCTTTTTTGGGGGGGGAAGCAGATGGATACAAAGTTACAAACCCCGAAATTGCACCTTTCACCTCAGGTCAGCAACAGTCGAACACATCCAGAAGGGGCAATGAGTGACGGGGTTGACAATGCCAGACTGTATGGGTACGAAGTACAGACTACAGACTACAGACTACAGGAGCCAAAGGGGTGGGCGAGGAAGGAGTCAGGTACTCAAGATGCGGGACTGACGGGGAGGTGTGGGAACCGCTGTTGATAACCCAAACATGGCCTGGGACGACGGTCTGGGACGGAAGACCAGGAACGGGGACTTAGGAGCATCTACGAAGGGGCACATAACGCCCACCCCGCCGTACTTGGTCGTTGCCACGACTGCAACAAAAAAGAAACGCCACACAAGAACAGACCAACAGGCAGGGGAACATCGAAACTTCAAACGGGTGAAATAGGCATTGGGCAAGTTCGGCAAAAATCTGAAGGTGGAAGGGCGGAAGGGGGGTAGGGAAAAGTTGCATGGCAGTTTGAGGCGGGAAATGGTGACTACATGGACATTTTCATGGTCACTTAATCCCGGTGGAATTAGTCCGCGACAATCACCGAGCCCAGCACCTCAAGGCTCAGGCAATAAGCAAATCCAGGACTAGTCACTACGATACAATGCAGTCGGCTGTCGGCCCAGTCAGATCGACCCAGTTGTCAGGTCTGTGCAGAGGGCTCCTTCGAGTACCTATTTACTAGGCATTTACTGGTAGATGGGCTGTCGTGGCATCCATGTCGGTGCGTGGATGATGATTCTTCTCCGCGTCCGTCTTGACCGACCTATGTTGTTGGTAGATTTTTCGAATGAACGATCAGTAATAAATCACATGAAACGAACACCGAGCCGTGGGGCCGCTGGGGGCGGTGTAACTACCTACCTCAAGGTACCATTCCATCGATCCCGAGCAAGAAGAGCCTTAAGAGGCGGCTTCTCGTGGCTTGCAATCGAGGGGCAGTCTTGGAACACTCCAGATAAGATCGGGAATGGGCTCTTGGCCTCCCACAGTCTTAGCACCTCCAGCCATGGGCCGTGGCCCCCCGACCCGAGGACCAAGATCGCAGTGAGTGGCGCGCGATGGCAGCGGCGGCGGTCTGTGACAGCGAGCATTGTTGGGGTCGAGTCTGAGATTGAGTTAGTGGAAGCAAGTTGAAGCGTCTTCTTGCAGTACGCATATTGATGCATGAGCCAGAGATGGGAAGTGCATACAAGTACGTACCCGCGATAAGTCTACCTTACCAAATTGATTACACGTGCAGTCCACCGTCCACCCGGGTGCCTCAATGCTCATACCCATGGAAGGTACCTTACCTCAGCTCACATGGCCTTACCTAATCAACATGATCCAGCCACTTCACAGATTCGTGGCTGATGAGCCACGCGTTGGGTTCTCCAAACAGTGCCTTTCGGGCTGATTAGTCTTCTGGCCTCATTTTCTGAGCTGAACAGGTAATTAGGCTGTGACTTACACAGTATGTTACCATAAGTAAGTGAGTAGGTATGTATCCGGACGGAAAGGTCGTTTATCTGGATCCTGTTCATCTCCCTGCCTTGGCCTTACCAAGGTTGGCTGACCACCCAGTATATCACAGTATCAATCCCCCGCACACAAATGTAGCTGTCAGTATCAAAGTTAAGTCGCGCCCAAGACTAAAAGAATAATACCTAGACAAGGAAACGAACACGGCGGCTAGACCATCTTTGGCACGCAAGCATGCTTGATCATCTCGTTGGGCTGGACAAGATGCTGGGGACAAGCCTGGAGTCTGCCAGGGACGCATGGCATTGGTCCAGGTCCCGTCTAGGTACTTGGTCGGAATGGAATCCCTCGAGTTGAGCCAATGTCGGGGCTCTCCTGCGCGGGTCTGCCCTACCAGTCGGACCCCACCCTGTTGCGCGTAATGGGAGAAAGTCCGGGCGGATCTGATGGAGGGGCACTCAGTGTTTGGGGACAGTCGCCGTCTGCTGTGCTGAGCTCAGCGCATAGAGAGGCGGGGCAGGGTGCTAGGAGTCAAATAAGGTATTTCAAGGTTCCTGCGCATCTGATGGTCGCCTACACAAGCATTGGCGACTTCCATTGTCCCTCGACTTTGGTAACCTACGGCTTTCTTTGGCTTACGTTAACCATAGACAGCCCAGCCGCCGTGGTTGAGCCCGCTTTAAAATCAATCAAAGGTAAAAAAAAATCAAAAATCAAGAGTGGGTGAATGAATGGAGGGGCCTATCTGGGTACAGTCAATGCTCATCAAGCTCATTCTAGGTTGAGCCCAACTGAGGTACCTTAGCGCGTGCTACCGGGCAGCTTCCGGCAAGATGCCGTGGATGCTTCCATTGCTTCGCCAATCTTAAGGTAATTAAGGTATCTGGGATAGCAAATAGGTACTCAGAATCTTCTGCCTCGTCTCGCGATGTAGCATGTCACGATGCATCTGTCGAAATTATACTTAGGAGTAAATGTGCTGCCAATCGCGGTGCAATGCAGGTCAGTATGGCACACATATGACGCAAGCCAATAAGCCTACACTACGGCTCTTGTTTACACAGAGCTCAGCTGTCCCCCACCCCTCTCGCCAACGGAACTGTCCAAACGTATTGATGAAAGGCAGGCAGGTAGGGCAAGGGAAGCATGAGGTGTCGTCAGCAGTGATTCAGACATGCGTGGTGGGGGCATCCAATCGGTCCTTGATAATAGTGCTTTCGACTTACCTACGCTCTGTGCACTATCTCAGACTACTTGTCGCAAAGAAGCAAACTGCCCCCCTCAGCCCCAGGTTGGCAACCCAAGCCTTCAAAGTCTTTCGCGGCACCTCTTTGCCGCTGCGAGTACTACCTCAAGGCTCAAGTGGATTTCGCCCAGACATTAACGTAGGTACTCATAAAGTCGTGGCTCTTGACGCAGACTGCTGCTGTCGCTGCGCTGCCCTCATCAAAATTCCAGCTTGAACTTGTGAATTCGACAAGACCCCCAAATCATCTTCGGCTCTACCTGCCTTGCCCTCATTCGTGTGGGCGTGCCTTACATCACCTTAGGTAACGACTCGGAGCTTACCTCGTCTACTGCCTTAGCCCGGCTTGAACCATCCCGCTCACCTTACCTCACTTCAACTTGCCCTTTTACCCCTCCAAAACAAAACAAAAAAGGCCCATTCTTGACCTCGTGGACTCGGATACTCTGCGCGACCCCTCCATCGCTCCCCCGAACACCCAACGCATCTTTGCGACTGAACTTCACATCCAGTCTTTACCGATTCCTGGATAGCTTTCCGAGCCTCCCGCGACCCTGAACCATGGCGTCATCCGGTCTCGGGAGAGGTTCCATCCTCCTCGCCTTCTGTTTGCTCCTGGTGCTTCTGCCAGGTCGCGCCGCTGCCTTTGGCGCTGGCAACATCCCCTCTATTGCTCAGGTGAGTTCTGACACCTTGGACACCTCGTCCATTATTTTACCGTTTCGTAAACTAATGCATTGCGATCTACGTCTAGGTTGAGGGTGTTAATTGGCGTCATGGAGGTGTGCACCCTTTTGTTTGCTGTGCTTACCCCTATGGTTGACTGACATGCTTGCGCACAGATATCGAGGACATGCTCAAGACCATTGCTTTCTTGCATGGCAAGAAATGGACTTCTATGTTGGTATCCCGGGTCTACTTTGGCAACTGGCTCCGAGACTACTCCCAAGCCGTCGATGTCGGTAGCTTGAAGGGAGTCAACGCTCCCACCATCAGAATCCTGGTATGTTCTTGTCGCGAAGTAGGTATCGGTGTGTTTCCTTTGTACTGACTTCCTTCGACAGGTATGGGTACTCTCCTTCATGGCCTTTGGCTATGCGACGGAAGAATTCGAGGTCACCGAGGAGCGCCTCGGCGTCTACCGCCCTGAGGAACACATCGACAACCCCCTGGGCTACGCTGATGGCATGGACGCGCGCAAGTTCGACCCTCGCCTGCGTGGTCCCGTCGACTCTGTTGAGACACAGATCGATCCCCGCACTGGCATGAAGAACTACATTGCCAATGAGTCTGGTGGTTGGGCGACCAGCGCTGGCTACTTGCGCTTCAGTTTCGCCCGCAGCATCCACTTCGGCCGGGTTTACACCAGCGGTTCGCGGGGTTCTGGAAAAGAGGCCGATCTCTGCGAAGCCCTGCGCTGTCTCGGACAGGCTCTCCATTGTATGGAGGACTTCAGCGCGCACAGCAACTACTGTGAGCTTGCTCTTCGAGAGCTGGGTCACCACGAGGTCTACCCTCACTGCGGTACTCAGACTGAAATCAACCTGAATGGTCGCCGTGTTTACCCTATCGTCACGGGTACCTTCGGTGCTGTGGACTTCTTGCACTCCGTTCTCGGAGAAGCTACGGACCACTTCACGCAGTCTGAGGTAGATGAGATGAATGTCGCCTTGAAGAATGCCGAGGGAATGTCTGCGAATATCACTGGCGGCACCGGATCCCGTGGCTTCTTGGGAATCGGCTCCTCTAAACCGAACGACTTCATCTCCCTCGTCGGTCAGCTTCCTGGCATTGGCGGAGATCTGGCCACCCAAGCTCGCAGTCTGCAAGCCCAGTCGAACGCACAAGAGCAACAGAACACTCGGTCTGGGGGCGACCTCAACCGTGGTGACCTCAGCCGTGAAAGTTCCAACCAGGTCCCCGGTATGAGCACCAACTTCGACCCTGTTGAGACTGCGCGCAAGATCTATCCGATTCTTCAGTTCCGCGACAAGATTGTCAAGTCCATCAGCAACATCATTTCCAAGATCCCGGGCCTAGAGAAGCTTTTGGACCACATCAGTGAGACGCTAACTGCCTTCATTCTGGGATTGCTGGCGCCGTTTGTCAGGCCCATCATCACACAGGTCTCCAAGGTCCTGAAGGACGGTTCATCTACTGTCATTGACGCAAGCTCCAACTCTCAGCTGGAGCCCTGGAAGAACCCCAACTGCTCTGATCCTACTCACTCCATGCTCTCAAAGGACCATTTCACCAACATCCTGAACTCGTGCGCTGGCAGGGTTGCTGCGACCATTTTGCAATATGTCGTCCCGTAAGTAGACTTCATCTATGGACAGGAAAGTTCGAACATAGCTAACGTAGAGACAGGCGAATTCTGTATGCCTGGGAAAACCCGGGTGTGCCTGTCGATGAGGTCGTTAATGATGTCCTCCGGGCTTTCCACCATCCGGCAGCTCGGGACGAGAGGGTTCAGATCCAGAGAGATATGTTCGAGACTGTGCGAAAGTGGGCAAATGAGAGCCCCCATAAGCACCAACTGTCCCACCTGCTCTCATCAGAGTCTGTCAAGGCTGGTAAGAACCATATTCTGTCCGGCGGTGATGGCACGAAGAGCGTTGGAGGTCACACGCACTCTCATGGAGCCTTCGACAGCTTTGGAGAACTGGGACACGGCAAGGTGCAGGGTTCTCTCTGGAATCAAATTCGCACTCGAGATCTTAGTTCCATGGAAGGTGACGACAGGAAGCCTTTGTCAAGCTCTCCCCTCCCTTCATCCCAGCAAGACTACGGATATCACCAGAGCGGCGGTGACACCAGCCACCACTACTCGGAATCCCAGTCTCAGGGTCATGCTTCTGGCTACTACGGTGGCGGCCAGTCTGACCCCCAAGGCTATGGCCAGCAGCCGCCTCAGCAGCACCCGGGCCAGTGGGGCTCTCCTCAGCCTCCTCAGGGCTATGGCGGACCGGGCTATGGTGGCCCTCCAGCCGGATACGGTGGACCGGGCTACGGCGGACCGCCACAGCCTCAGTACCCTCCTCACCATGGAGGTCCACCCCCTCCGCATCATCAGCAGGGCGGCGGCGGCTGGAGCCAGTATCCAGGCCAGCATCGCTACTAGACTGATTTGCGCAGTGTGGTGAGGGGAAGGTTTCGTCTATTAACGATCGGGTCGAGGGTTACAGACTGGAGTCTTTGGAACACGGAAATGGCTTAGGCCGGAAGGAAGGGGCGGAGTACACAATCCACGTATGGCTGATGAGAATGATTCCCTGGGACTGTGCTTAGCAGCACACGAAGTATGAATTGCAATAATTTTTTCCGTGCTTAATGTTCGTATTTGTTGAATTGTATGTATGATTTATCTTGTCCCTCTCGAATGACCAACCCTTGCTGCCAATGCTCATATGGCACATCAACCGATGAATGCCCGTGCCTAGATCCCCAACTCCTGAAGATGTGATAACGATGGTGATATTGCTCCGTTACGCTGAAGAAGACATACATGATTGATTTCTCGCAGTTGTGTGAAGCATTACTGCTTGCCGCGTCGGGGATCCAACGCCTCGGCCCTCCTCTTGTCACGGATTTCCTTGGTGCCGAGACTGCCGACTCCGCCCTCCGACCTACGCTCCCACCCGCCGAGTCTTACGACCTGACAGGTGGCATTGTCGCCGTCATGGGAGACCTCGGTGGCATAGTTGACCACATCCTTGGCGCCCTCTTCGGGCGTCCTGGCCTCCTTGACTACGTCGACAATCTCCTGGTCGCTGAGTGTGCCCGAGATGCCGTCGCTCATTAGGACTAGGAAGGAGTACTGTGCAGGTCCAATCTCGACGCGGGTGATCTCTGGCTCGGCCGATACACCAATGCGTTTGCTTCGCATGTCGCCGAACGCGCGGCTGTTGGCCAGCCCTGCGATACGGTCCTCCCCGAAGCTGTCTGCCGACACCATGGACCCGGCCGGCGCATAGCGGCGGAGACGACGGCTCTCCGTGGGAGTGGTTGGGTGATGGTCTGACGTCAAGGGTTGCGCGAGGCCGGTGGTCGTTGTGCAGAGAAGTATACGGGTATCACCCACATGAGCCACAACCAGGGTAGACTGCGCATTGGGGTGCCAGAATGGTGCTGGCGTGGGTGTCGATATGAGAGCCACCGATGCCGTCGATCCGCCCTTGAAGCGAGCCGGGCCACCAATGCCGTGGCCTGATGGTGGTTTGTGTGGAACTCCAAGAATCTCGTCGTTGTTGACGGGGCGGTCGTTTGCTTGAGGGTCATCGGGATCAGGTTTGCGTGCCTGGGCGGAGATGAAGTCCAAGTCTGCTCTGAGGAAGGCGTACATGAGGACGGACTCAACTGTCACCCCGGGCTCGTCGGCGTCGATTATCTTTTCTTCTGATAGTTGGAAGTACTCAGGGTTGAAGCGCCGGAAATATCCTCCGACGGTTTGTCGATACTCTTCCACAAGGTCTTGTGCCAACTTGATAGCCTTTGGAATGTCTTCTACCTTGACCGAGACTGGTTTGGCCCCTTTCATGGGCTCCTCCCTTTCGGGATTCGTCAAGACGCCGTGTTTGTCTTCCTCGGGAACACGAATGTCGTCCTTGACATCTTCCTCCGTCTTCATAAACAACTCCTCATTGGGGTCTTCCTCCTTGCGACCCGTCTCCGGTGCCGGGCTCCTTGCCAGGCTGCTCTGGAGGCCAAACTCAGCAGAGGACTGCTCAATATAGCCATGCAGCTCATCACGCAAGAACTCGGCGCACTGAGATCCGCCATGCCCGTCGAATATACCAAAGTAGAAGACCTGGGGGTCACCAAGTGCGCTGTCAGCCGAAGTTGCCTCATTGGGTTTTTGGATCGGCCGCCTCTGAAGACTGATAGGAGCCCTTTTAGCAAACGCAGGCACGCTAATCGTGCCAGCTTGGTTGGTATCCTCGTTGTACGGCCGTTGACCCCTTGAGGAGAAAACACCATAGTGATGTTTGGCTCTCTTGAGCGGAATCCGGACCACTGTAAGGTCTCGGCTAGGCATGTTGAGAGCTGCGGCTACTGGAGAGGATCCCGGCGTTACTTTGTGGGGGGTCGAAGCATCGCGGGGCAGCTTGTGACCGGGGCCGGAAGACGTTCGAGAGTCAGGGTGGAGAGAAGATGATGGCAGATGGGTGACGAAGTAGTTGTGGAACAATCGACGGTTTCTCGAGCTCGATGTTTTGCTATTCTTGAGTATGCTTCGTTCTTCGCAATCGAGTGACGTGCGGGGCCGAGTCGTAAGCCATCGGGGGGTTGGCCCTTGGGTGGTGTAGCATCGTCGCGGCGGGTGCCCAGGAAGTGCGACAGAGGTGGGCTGGTCGATGGAAGTCCTAATGCTGGTATTTAGGGGGGAGTATACGCATCGCACAGCTGTGGACGAGATAATCCGCGAGGACCCATGATACGGCACTATTCGTCGCGTTGCGAGACAGCGTGTTAGAGCTGGCATTGTTCCGAAAGGGCGGGATTCGGTTGGCGGGGAGGAGAGCGTCACCGGCACTGCAGCAGCTCAAGTAGGACAACCTTCAAGCTTGCGAGAGCCATGGGCTATAGCTCGTCAGGCTTGAGTGGCGGCCTGGCGAGCCTGAGAGTGGGATTCTGGGTTGGCGAGCTTTGGTCGATGGCGCGAACGAGGGGGAAGGCTTGTCAGCTGTTGCGTCGGCGACGGCGAGGCATTGGCAATGGACTGCCACAGAGCTGGATATCGTGCGTGGCCTCGGATACGTCTCGAGAGGGCGGAAGAGACAGATGGACTATTGAGTTTGCTTACCAGCTGCTGTGCTTGTTTCTGCGATAGACTGGTTGGTCTTGACACTGTGGAATTGGAGGAATTGGTTTGGCCAAGGCACACTGTCGGCCTCGGTTGGATCATGGATGGACCCAGCGACGTAATAAGACCGACCTGGAAAGGAAGGACGGGACGGGGACATGCTGAACGTGGAGGTTCCTTCTCCGTGCCCTGCCAGCTGCCCGTCTTAGCTGCAGCCAATCCCGCAGGCTACCCTTGGATTCGGGTACAGCCCACCGTAGCTCAGGTGCAAACAGTACCTCAACAAGGCACATACAGCCGACAGCTGCCACGGCTGAGGTAACCTAAGGTACGGCAAGGCAATGGAGGGATAATCTTATCTAATCAGCTCCCGAGGTGCACCGTGCCAAATCCCAGCTCTTCCAGGAAGGAAACACAGTAGACCCACTGCGGTGGAATCGAGCAGGCAGAAGGGGCCTTTGTCTCTTGGAGAGGCGAATGACATGAGTGTCACTGACACCGACACTATTTATGACAGTCTTGGATACTCCTACGCACTCAATCTTGAAACGGCTGCCTGACTGACACATTATTCTACAAAAGCCGTGCGATGGCCAAGTATAGCATCGACATACATGTCAGTCCCTGAGTCGCGGCAGAGATTCCCCTCCCAAGTTGCGCTGTCTTACGATGGGAGACTCGGCAGCAGTTCAGGATGACACATCGGATCCGTCCTCGGGCGACTCACCCCCCGTTGTGCTCATATCCGACGATGGGGACATTATTCTAAACGTTACATTCGAGACGTCCAGAGAGACCATTGCTGTGGCTCGCAGGACTTGGCAAGCTGCCAGTAAGAAGATTGGCGCACCACGGATGCCCCAACCCAACTTGAGCCCCAACATTCAAGTCGCCTACCGAGTCAAGCTTTCCATTTTGAGGAAGCACTCTCGGTATTTTGAGAATCTTCTTGGCAACAAAAAATTTGCCGAGGCGAGCAACGTCGAGGAGACCCTCGCTCGCCTGGTTGCGGACAAGCTGAAGCTGGCTGAAGTAGATGCCCGGGACTTACCCTGGATCACAATCGTCGATGACGATGAGGCAACCCGGTCCGTTGGACGGGAAAAGGTCTTTGAGGACTTGATGAGGATCATGCACGGGAAGCCGATACAATCCACCTCTGTCAACATGCTTCATGTGACTACTCTAGCCATTCTGGCCGATCGATTTGATTGTCGGTCCCTCGTCTCAAGATACCTTAGCCTCGAGCTCAAGTTCAAGTGGCCTTTGACAAGTGCTAAACCAGTGCGAGCGGGCACTCAGAAGAAGAGCCTAGACACGGAGAACGTGCTTAGACAGAAGATCCTGGTCGCTTGGCTGTTGGAGCAGCCACCTAGACTCCATAACTACACGCGAGAGCTGATTCTCCGTGGCTCTGTCCGATGGAGCGAATTGTCTCTCGATGAGAATCCACGTACTGAGCTGTGGTGGAGTTTGCCGGACGGCCTGGAGAGTGAGCTCTTTTGGTCCTAGTTTTTCGATCAATGACACATGCTGACTTGGGATCAGGGGAGCTACAGTTCCGACGGGAGAGTGTTTTGAATACCATTGCTTCAGTCCATCGCCATTTCCTCGCCCTCTACTCGTCTCGTGAGAGACAGTGTAAGCTTGGTTACGACTCGAGTTCCGCTTGTGACTCGTTCCAGCTGGGCCAGATACTCAAGTTCTTCACGGCCAAGGAGTTGATTGGCATCGTTGACTTTGGTCCCAGCTCCTACGACAACATCCCAGACTCCTCGGTCATTGACATCGAAGATATACTGGCAATTCTGAAGCAAGTGCCCAGCTATCAAATAGACAAGCACCACACCAACTGCGGTATTCGAGCACGCATGGACTCTATTGTGGAATACATCAGATCGATGATGTCGTCTAATGTCTTGTCTATTGCCCAGGCCGAATGGAAGAACAACCAGGCATCGGCAACATGGATTCCGGCGGAAGACGGGTCGAAACTGGACAGGGAAGGGAAGAAGTTTGAGTTCACCAGGAGCCTGGCAGGCGATCAACGACTCCGGTACGAGGGCAACATGTATGCCGATAAGATGGCACGCAGGCTATTTACTGCTGATAGGTGGGATTGGACGCCAGAGTATTGATCGAATAGAAACATGAAAACTACAATACCCGGTATTCAGAAAGTACTGGAATTCAAATGGAGATGTCTGTCTTCCTCCTTCCAGCATCACGATTGATCGTAACAGCGCCAACTATTATCCTAGGTAGCAGTGTGTTGAGGTGCTCTTGAGGGGTGATATTGCACATTTCATCCTTTGAATACTGGCGAGTACGTACACGGTGACATCACTCCATGGTCTCTTTACAATCCGAAGGAACTTGACCGAAGCCACCGGTCCTTGGAAAAAGAATATTGTACATGTCTCGAGGGTGAAAGGGTTGCACGCTAATGTTCAACCTCAATTTATCCTATGAGTTCGGCCATCCTTCCGACCTCATTACCATACAGACAGCTTTCACATTATATTGTCCACCAGCATGGTATCCTTTCAGTCATGATCGTCCATAGTTCCAAAGGACTGACGATAGCATTCAATTGTCCCTGCTGCTCCAACTATGACGAAGCCGTCACAGTCTTCGTAGTCGATGCCCCCTTATCTTTCTCAGATGTGCTCGCCTGCTCGCTTCCGCTACGGTCATCGGAGAGGCGCCTCTCGGCTTCCCGAGGAGCCTTCGCCTTCATGAAAGGCCAGTGTCCCTTGGTCTCGTGGAATCTCATGAGGAGGAAGCAGCCAATAACAAAGATCCAGTAGACGTTGTAGGAGATCACGGAGCCGTACGTTGCCGAGTTTGTCCAGCCGAGGACGGCGTTGAAGATACCCCAGCCGCCGCCACCGTTGAGATCTGGGCTGCAGCACTTTCGGGAGGTCAGCACTGGGCTGTTAGTCAAGCAGGGACAAGGGGACTAACATTTACGTGCCACACGCTCTTGTCGATATCGTAGGAACCCGGTCCATTTCCGAGTTCTGCAGCGTCGCCGCCGACAACCTTGTTCCACTCTTGCTGCTCGAAATCACCCACCGCCCTGGAGAAGAGTCCAGCGGCAACGAGGTATAAGAGGCATGTGGAGATGACAAGGAATACTTGAAGCTTCGCTGTGGAACCACCTCTTTGCAATTGTCAGTATACAGCCAGGGAACAGGAGGAGCAAAACAACTTACTTGTAAAGGAGGTAGCCGACAAAGGCACCAACAATCAACCCGACGATGGCGGGGAGCGGCACGGCAGTCGCAGGCGCAGAAAAAGACACGCCAGCCACGAAGACAATTGCCTCAATTCCTTCACGGAGCACGGTGATGAAGGGCAGGATAAACATGGCGTACTTTTCGGCGAAGCGCTTGAACCACCCCCGGCTGGCACCGGTCTTCACAGGAGACTCCATTGCCTTTGCCAACTTGACGCGCCACTTCTCTTGCATCTTACCGATGCGGAGCAGGGCAGCGCCCATGATGGTAATGATGATGGCGGCGAGGAGAGAAAAGGCGCCTTCGTAGTAGAGTTCGTGGGCCTCCCAGCTGTTTCGGCCGACCTTGTAGAAGACGGCGATGACGACGGCCGCGGCGACCAGGCATATCACGAAACCGATACCTGTACCGAGCCAGACCTACGGGAAAATGCATCAGCAACGGGCCTCGCTTCATGAGCGTATTGATGCCACTTACCTGTCTGCGCAAGGCCTTGTACACAGCCACATCTCTGTTGGGTCCATCGAGGGTCTGCTTGAGGAAGGCCAGCAGAACCGACACGATGATGACGGTTTCCAGAGACTCTCGAAAGACGACCAGGAAGACTGGTACGGAAAACACGTCGACGGTCATTTTGGGCACCTGTACGTAGGGCGTGTTGTCGATGTCTTGGTCACTGGTTCCGAGCAACGAAGAAGAAAGAAGAGGAAAACAGACTTTTGTCTGACAAGCGTAGAAAGGGGAGGACGGGCAACACAGACGCAGATTAATCTGATAAAATCAAATCAGATAATCGCTGGGACTAGCCGATGAGGGTGCCGGTACTGGTTGGTCTTGTGGCAACGGATACGACGAGCCGAAAGGCGGAACGCTAGCCCAAGTTTGCCTCAGGGCAAATAAGAGAACACAGACATATCTTGATAATCAGGCGACCTTTTCTCCTATGGTAGCAATCAATCATGGATTTATGAAAGGGCGGAACATCTGCTCTGGACCGACTGTAGTCCGAAGGGAAGGTTGACGCGAGGGCGAGAGGAGGGGACGTGGGACAAAGGTGGTGCAAGCTCTAAAACCCGGTTCCAGGCGTAGGGCCAATTAGACCAGCGCCGAGGTCTCATTGTTGCATGCAGACCGGACTATTTTCCCTCACCACAAGCTTTTTCTCTAGTCGATTTTCTAGTCGATTTTAGTACACATTTTTGGGGGTGAGGTTCCTGTTTCTCGTTTCGTTTTACGGTGTTGGGGATAAAGCATGCATGGGAGAGCTGCGTCCCTGTAGACTGGGCTCGCGTTGCTTAGCGCGGGTTGATGGAGAGTGAGGGGCCTCAAACGGACAAGGATACGTGAGGCACTTATGCGCTCGCGATATTGCTCGATCCTTGAGAGTTTTGACGGGCGAGAAAGGGTTGGTGGGCGAGTTGTTCTGATCTGATGGTCGATGTGTAGAGGAAAGGCCCGTGATTCTGTCGATCGAGATGGGATGACACAGATTGACTTGCCTCTAGCCCTGCACTGTTTCTATTCTTTGACACGAAGGACAACAGAATGGACTCTCGCTGAGACGCCCAATTGTCGATCTTCAGCCATACGTCGGCAACGTACAACGCCGTTGAGTGGTGCAGCGGTGCTACACCAAGCAAGCAATGTGGCGGATGCTGGTGGTGTTTTGATGTGGGATGCCGGCGGCAAGCCAGAGACGAGTTCAAAGATGTGCTAGACTGTGACAGTGACCATTGAGCTACCTGGTTCCCGTAGCCGGACTCATTACTCGTAACAATACTACTTACAACTAACAGCTTGTAACTAGTTTGTCTCGACAGCGATGGCGGAGTTCCATCGATAGCATTGCGATCGCCGCCAAAAAAAAGTCTGATGGGCTGAGGGATTTGGGACCAGCTTTCATGAAATTGAGCGGGCATATGGGACACATCAACTGGAAGGTATATTGTCACTTCTTGCCATGGGTTGGCAACCATGATAAGTTGAACGGCCCTGAATGGACACTCAGCGATCAAGAATCCATATACTCCGTAACTCCGTGCCTGGTCCTTTGTTCTTGAGGAACCCTCTCAATAACCTCGTGTATCGGTTCATCCTGAGTTTCTATGACAGATCTCGCTGTTCAGCTCGCTCGAGAATCCTGACAAGTCCAAGAAGCAATTTCCACACTTACCGCACCGACGGAAACCGACGGAATGGGACGAGGTAAAATAGTCGATAGACCCTCTTTCTCGGGTTCTCAGGGAGTCATGGCCTCTTCTTTGACAGGCCATTTCGCCCATCTCACCCACATCGGGGACATCCTTTGGCAGAAGCGAGGCCAGGCGAGATCCGAGTTCGCCTTAGCGCGGGGAGACAAGCTTTTTCTCGGCTGTAGGGGCCCTGGTTAGTTGATCTCCTTTGCAGGTGAAAAAGATCCCCTCCCCACCCTTTTCTTCTGCAAGCTGCAACAGCAACGTGATGGACAATAATGCCGAGTTCCGTGCGAGCCAGTCGCTCCTCTCGCTACTACAACTCCATCGTCTCGCGCTATCAATCGACGCCTGATGTCTTTGGGTCTGAGTGGCTTGTGTTAGTGTGGAAAACTTGGTCATCTTTCGAGTAACATCTGATAAGATGATGGCGCGCTAGTAAGGTAGCGTGTGCCCGGCCGCCCCCTCCGCCCAAGGAGCTGGCACGAGCGGTGTCGGGACCACTGGAAGATCAGATTGATAAGATGTCTTGGGCAAAGTGCCAAAGCCACGAAGGAGCGACAAGGGGAGGGGGGTGTCTACGTGGAAAGGGTCACCCCAGCCAGGGTGGCAAGCATTGGTTCCCCTCGCCAGAAGTTGCCGTTTCTTTGAAGCGAGCTGAGAGAGAGGAGAGCCAGAGTTGACCTGACCCAAATCGAGTGGAAGCTTTGTAGAGGGCCCCGTTTCCCTTTCTTTCGAGCGATGTGAAATCTTCTTGCCTCCGGTCTGTCCCCGGATCAATCTGTCTGAAGGCATACACAAGAAGCCGCTCGTGTCACTGCGAGACTTGTCATCCTCTGCCGCCTTGCTCTTGGCGAATTCTTCCCTGCGCATCACAGAATAGCAAAGGCCGAGACAGAGAAGCAATAGAAAGAAAGAGGTCAATATGACAGGCACAGCAGGCCTTTTGGCCCTCCTCTCCGCCATCGCGCAGACGGCCCACGCTGCCACGGTTTCGTATGACTTCAATATCGGCTGGGTGACGGCGAACCCAGATGGCGCCTTCGACCGCCCAGTAATCGGTATCAACGGCCAATGGCCGATTCCTCGCATAGAGGCCAACGTTGGGGACAATGTTCTCATCAACGTCCAAAACCAGCTCGGGAACCAGTCGACATCCCTTCACTTCCACGGTCTCTACATGAACGGAACAACCCACATGGACGGACCGGCGCAAGTCAGCCAGTGCGCCATTCCACCGGGGTCGTCTTTCACTTACAACTTCACTGTAAGCAATACCCTGCAAGATGGTGATGAGATTGCTTCTGACAGTCGAGCGTAGATCAACCAGCCGGGAACCTATTGGTACCACTCCCACACGCAGTCGCAATATCCGGACGGCCTGCGACAAGTGCTGGTCATTCACGACCCAAGCTCGCCCTTCAAGGACCAATACGATGAAGAAGTCGTCGTGTCTTTGTCCGACTGGTATCACGACCAAATGGCCGACCTCATTCCTCCCTTCATGAGCAAGGGTAATCCAACAGGCGCCGAGCCCGTTCCCAAAGCCGCTCTCATGAACGATACGCAGAACCTCAAAGTCCCCGTACAACCCGGCAAGACGTATCTCTTCAGGCTCGTCAACGTGGCCGCCTTTGCTGGGCAGTACGTTTGGATCGAGGGCCACAACATCTCTATTGTTGAGGTCGACGGCGTCTACACGGAGCCCGCAGAAGCAAGCATGATTTACATCTCTGCAGCTCAGCGGTACAGCTTCCTCGTCACGACCCGAAACGAGACCTCGTCCAACTTTGCTATCGTGGGTAGCATGGATACTGTAAGTCATCACCAAACCCCAAAATGCACCTCGCGCACACCCAGCTCACAAGTGTAGACCCTCTTCGATACCCTTCCGGATGACCTCAACTACAACGTAACGGGCTGGCTCGTCTACGACGACTCGAAACCCACAGACCCGGCAGCGACACTCGACACCTTCGAGCCCTTCGATGATATGACCCTCGTTCCCTACGACAAGCAACCCCTCCTCCCGGCTCCTTCTCAGACCGTCGAGCTCGACGTCATCATGGATAACCTCGGCGACGGCGCAAATTACGCCTTCTTCAACAACATCACCTACAAGGCTCCCAAGGTGCCCACCCTTTACACCGTTCTCTCCGCCGGCGATGCGGCGACAAATGCCGAGGTGTACGGCACCTACACCCACCCCTTTGTCCTCGAGCGTAATGAGGTCGTCCAGATCGTCGTCAACAACCTTGACTCTGGCCGACACCCCTTCCACTTGCACGGCCACGAATTCCAGGCCTTGTACCGCGCCGCCGAGGATGGTGGGACGTTTGCCGATGCCAATGTTACGGAGGCTGATTTCCCTGCTGCGCCGATGCGTCGTGATACCCTCGTCGTTTGGCCGAATGGCAACATTGTTTTGCGGTTCAGAGCGAATAACCCTGGTAAGTTTATCCACTACCCGAAATCTGGCAGCGCATATCTTGCTAGAATCATTCCTTTTCTAACAGTCATCAACTACAGGCGTCTGGCTATTCCACTGCCACATCGAGTGGCACGTTACCTCCGGCCTAATGGCAACCTTTGTTGAGGCACCGCTGGATCTCCAAAAGAACCTCACAATCCCCCAGAACCACCTGGACGTCTGCAACGCAGGCAGCGTCCCGACAACCGGCAATGCCGCGGCCAATACCAAGGACTTCCTGGACCTGAGCGGACAAAACACACCGCCATCGCCTCTTGCGGATGGGTAAGTTGATCTCGAAATAATGACAATGTAAAACTTGCGAGTACTGACAGAAGCGAAAAACTAGCTTCACCACGAGAGGAATCGTCGCCCTCGTCTTCAGCTGTATCACCGGCATCCTCGGCGTTTTGACAGTGGCGTGGTACGGCCTCGCAAAGACGCCAGACGGCCCCTCCGAGTCCGGGTACACGGCTCCGGCGCCGGGCGTGGCCGCGGGAGTGGAGCACGTGGCCGGAAATCATCAAAAGGAGCCAATCATGGTTGGAGCCGGACACGGCGCGTCGGGTGTAAGTCATGCTTGACGGTGAGATCGTCTGCGAGTTTTCACAGTGAGAGCTGTAATCTTGCATGGATGAGGCTAGACGAAGCTTGACTGAGTAAGCCGCCCGGGTGAGAAGGCTACGGAACCGTGTGGTGGCTCATCGTTTGTCAGACGGAGTAGCACTGTTGCGTGGCGATGTTGCACTTGACCAAGTATCTGGCAACGACGTTTGTAAGAGTTTGTGGGCGCGATTTCATGAATAGATGAATCATCAATTAGTCTAATGTGTGGAAGAAATTGAATAATGAAGACAACAAACTCCAGACTCCTGGATCTGACACTCGGCCCAGACCCTTATTTCTTCCCTCCCCTACATGGTTGTCCTCGGCATTCCCAGCCAGACATGTGTGAATGCACCTGGTGCCATTAAAATTCCGTACTGAAGGAATCTGCTCTTTGCCGTGCTCCGATGTTCTCGAGACTACAAGGTCTTTTGCTCGAGCTCCCGAATCCATTCTTTTCCCAACACCCTTCCCAGTCGCCGGTGACATACCGATTCTTCTATGTCGACACAGACTCGTCGATAGTGCAGCTGCCTGTCCCGGTCAGCTTGTGACGGAGAAGGCACCTTCTGGCACGCAAGCTCCTTCGTAAGCCGACAAGCACCAGGAGCAACGTCCAGCAGTGTGACTGCGCTAAGCGCCACTTGCTTACTGACTTAGGCGCTCTTCGACTTCTTTCTGGGCAGGCCCTGCGCCTTCCTCATGGCAAGATCTCCTTCGGCGAGCCACTTGCTCGCATTGACGATTTGCACAATGTTGATGAACTGCTTCGTGGCCATCACGGGGAAGCTGATGGCAGTAAGGACCCACGGCCAGGTGGAATCCATCTTATTCGCACGCGCAAGCTCGAGAGCTGCCGCGCTGTATGGATTCGGGAAGATATGGCTGAGCAGCGACGTGTTGACCTGCGCACCGGCCTGGATCTGCATTGCCTCTGAGTTGGAGACAGAGTTGAGCAGAGAGGGCGAAAGAAGCGGCGAGGAGAAGGACAAAAGGTAAAGCGCGATGAAGAAGAGTTCGTTCAGTGCGCAGAAAACGAAGAGGACAGTCTGCAGGGCATCAAGTCAGCTCAAATGTCGGCTTCAATGCGCTTCAACGAATAACGAACCTTGTTGGTGTAGTACAAATGCAGAATCCAGCTGCGACTCTCGTCGACGTTCTTGTGGCTGCTTTCGGAACCCGCCATGGTGAGAGTGGTGTACATGTGAATGTAGTGGCTCGAGAAGTCGAGTGAGAGGAGCATCTGGAAGACGATGGTCCAGCGAGGGAACGCGCAGGACAGGAAGACTAGCAGGCACGAGGTCGTGCATCTGTCAGTGACCATGTCGAGGACGGCGCCGAAGCGCGTGGATTGCTCGAAGGCACGAGCGGCGTATCCATCGAGAGCATCCAGGAGACAGGATACGCTGTACAGCAGGGAGCAAGTTCGCGGGTGGAGGGGCATATAGTAGAG